ATAGATGATTGACTCCACTACTGTTTATAGATGATTGATTCCACTGCTGTATATAGATGATTGACTCCACTACTGTACATAGATGATTGACTCCACTACTGTATCTATACGATTGATTCCACTACTGTATATAGATGATTGACTCCACTATTGTATATAGATAATTGATTCCACTGCTGTATATAGATGATTGACTCCACTACTGTATATAGATGATTGACTCCACTACTGTATATAGATGATTGACTCCACTACTGTATCTATACGATTGATTCCACTACTGTATATAGATGATTGACTCCACTACTGTATATATATGATTGACTCCACTACTGTATATAGATGGGCTCCTCTGCTTGTATAGATGATTGACTCCACTACTGTATCTATACGTTTGAATCCACTACTGTATATAGATGATTGACTCCACTACTGTATCTATACGATTGATTCCACTACTGTATATAGATGATTGACTCCACTACTGTATCTATACGATTGACTCCACTACTGTATATAGATGATTGACTCCACTACTGTATATAGATGGGCTCCTCTGCTTGTATAGATGATTGACTCCACTACTGTATCTATACGTTTGAATCCACTACTGTACATAGATGATTGACTCCACTGCTGTATATAGATGATTGACTCCAATACTGTTTATAGATGATTGACTCCACTAGTGTATATAAATGATTGACTCCACTACTTTATTTAGTTGATTGACTCCACTACTGTAAATAGATGATTGACTCCGCTACTGTATACAGATGATTGACTCCGCTACTGTTTATAGATGATTGACTCCACTACTGTAAATAGATGATTGACTCCACTACTGTATATAGACGATTGACTCCACTACTGTATATAAATGATTGACTCCACTGCTGTTTATAGATGATTGACTCCACTACTGTATATAGATGATTGATAATACTGCATGGTAGAATCATATCCTAACACATCACTTTTTTTTATCAATATCATATTCTCCCGACACTCATGTGCAGTATAGAAACTTAACAGAAAGTGAACCTTAAACATGTGCGGCTGTTATCAAAGATGCTATCAAACATATAATTTAGCGTACACAATTGCGTACCAAACAGTGGTCTATTTAACAGCTAGCTACCCACCTACATTATCAATAAGGCACGCGAACATGTTTTGAAAGACTGCCGGTCCTAAGTGTGCCAAGCGCAAAGCGGAGTCAAGCACTTATCACCACCGAAAGACAGCGTTCGCGGCGGATCCGGTCGCTATCAGCTGGGTCGTATGTTCGTACATTCGTACACTGATGTCCAGTATCTTTGTGTTATCGGGATACGTTGATTAACGCTATGTTCCTGTAGCAGTTTGATATTTCTCTGAATCTGTGTTTAGCTGATGATATATATAGCTTGTAGGTTGGTGGTCTGATCGATTACCCTATTCTACAGTCGGGTTAGCATGATTGCGTTTTTGGTAACGGCATCGACCATAGTTGTAATATAGCCTCTTATGTTCCTCAATGAGGAAATTGCATGTATGCTTATTTTAGAGATTAAAATTTGTGACAATTTAACAAACAAGAAAGTGGTAGACAGAAAGAAGTAGGGTAGAGTTAAACTGTAGAAATATAAAAGAACTGAGATTAGGTACCTGCATAAAAAGGGCATAACACCACACGAAATACACGAATACTGTACATGAAATAAAAGTGACAAATATATTGCATAACCATTAGAAATCTCTGCTAAAAGCAGAGTCGACTGTACAATGATGGGTATGCGTTTATGAATCACTGTCAAATATAAGGCGACTCTGCTTGTCGTAAGAGGCGACTAACGGGGTCGGATGGTCAGGCTCGCTGACTTGGTTTGATGCATGTCATCGATCACAATTGCGTGGATCGATGCTCATGTTGTCAATCACTGGATTGTCTGGCCCAGACTCGAATATTTACAGACTGTCGTCATATAGCTGGAATCTTGCTGAGAACGACGTTAAACAACAAACAAAACACAATCAAATAGTTCTGATAACGCGAACAGGTGAGCGTATCATGTTCCACCTGTGGTACCCGTCACAAACCATGCAACGGCACCTGAAAAACGCACAGGGATATATGGTACAAGTGGAAATAGGGATTGCATCAGACATCATGTTTGTCACTGATGTGTCAAATCTGGAAATGTCCTCCATATTTATGTTATAAATCGTTTGAGCAAGAGTCGTATAAAGCTCTTTGAAATCTTTGAAAAGTTGTGAAACGTAGACATCAAAGACTTGTGCAGAGGAATATTGCTCGACATAAAGGAAAACTTGACTATTGGAAAGTTGAAATCATAAGTCTTTTGGGTAGTGTTTTGATACACAGATCTACAAGGCACGATTGGGAATGACTGCCCTTCATATATACAACTGTTTAGAAATGAGCTGGTGAATTTAAACGACGCAGAAGTAGCGCAGAAGATGGCCATTGATCTGGTCGTCCTAAAGATGCTGGCCACCGCATGCTTCTGTCCGGATGGACCCGTGAAGGTCCGGGATAGAATAAGTCTTCAGCAACCCGTGCTTGCCGTAAAAGGCGACCATGTTTGTCGTAAAAGGCGACTAACGGGATCGGATGGTCAGGCTCGCTGACTTGGTTTGATGCATGTGATCGATCACAATTGCGTGGATCGACGCTCATGATATTAATCACTGGATTGTGTGGTCCAGACTCGATTATGTACAGACCGCCGTCATATAGCTGGAATATTGCTGAGTGCGACGTTAAACAACAAATCAACCAACCAATATGTCTGGATGATGTATTACAATCAAGTATCCCAATGACAAAAATAGGGTCAGAACTGTTCATCTTAACTGACACAACTCTAAATGAGCATGATGGATATCCAGGAGCCGACCCGATTGAACATATCCATTGACCTTTTGACCAGTTATCAACATAATCCTTTAAAATAAGTTTTCATGCTACATTTGCCTCACGCTAGCTACGAAGCACAAGCAGATGGCATTACCTGACAAAGTCATTGTATTGACGTCAAATGAGAGTATGGATGTTACTTACAAAACACTCGATTTTTGTATATTACCATAGTTAATCTGTGATGAGGGGGGCACGAGTGGTCTAAGGCGCCGCGATTCGCTGTGCCGACTTGTGTATCTTTTGCACGCCAGAAACCTATGATTGTGGGTTCGAATCCCGGTTCGCCCCGATTATGTTTCTAGGTTTGTCAGCACAATACCCGTGCTCGTGGGTTTCACCGAAGTGGTAAACGTCTGAGAGCTGCATCACTTCGGGCTTTCCTCCAACATTAAGCTGACATGCCGCGATATAACTGGAATGTTGTTAAAAGCGCCGTTAAACCCAACTCACTCACTCACTAATCTGTAGTATGGAGTTATATATATATGAGTTTATTGCAACTTGCTTGCAGATGTGTCTGTGTGACTGCATGTCTTTTCCGGCAATATTTTATAGTGCTAGCCCACTGAAATGCCATGCCGCAGTTTAACATGAACACGCCACTCAGACACAGAACACTGAATCCGACCTGACAAGTCCTTGTTTTATCCCCTTAAAGCCGAGTGTCAGGCAGGGTAACAACAAGTAACATCTTTTATCGTCGTTTGGTATGAAGCGGCCGGGAATCGAAACCACGACCTTCCGCTCGCCGCACAGACGCTCTATCCACTAATCCAAGGAGGCGGTTAATCTGTGATTGCATGGCAGGTGATCATTAGTAATATAAAAGAATCTGGTGCTCCTTACCGTCATATGAGTAGTAAATATGAGTAGTATATAACCACCCTCGTACTCCGGATATAACGAATGATAAAGCATGTTCAAGTAATATGGAGGTTAACTTTAAATTTAACTGCATGGTGATATGAATTGGTCATGATTTGTAGCAGAAGTTGACTGAAGTCGAATTTACAACGATTTCTCTCTTGAAATAAGACATCGACATGCGGCGTTCAGAACTGCATTAATGTCCCGAAGCATCGCTCTGTATCTTAAAACACCGGGTGCATCGTATCATAATGTGAGCACTATTTTTAACCCTAATAGGTGAGGTGAAATTGGGTTTAACGTCGCGTCCAAGATTATTGCACTTATATAGCGACGTGCATGCACGTGTATCTGTGTGTGTGGCTGCTTGTACTAGTCCGGACTGATGCCGATTTATAGTGCTAGCTCACTGAGATACCATGCCGCAGTTTAACATGAATACCCCACTCAGACACAGTATACTGACTCCGAGCCGACCAGTCCTTGTTTTAGCCCCTTAATGCCGAGCGCCAGACAGGGTAACAACAAGTACAATCGTTTAACGTCTTTTTGTATGACGCGGCCCGGGATCGAACCCTGGACCTTCCGCTCTCCGGGCGGACGCTCTACCTTTAACGCCACACTCAGCCATATTCGAGTTACATAACAGCGGTCTTTAAGTAATCGAGTGGAGACCAGAAAATCCAGACTGATATTATGAGCAACAATCCACGCCGTCAGGGTCTGATGACGCGCAAGCGGTCAAGTAGCCGAACCTGACCATCCAGTCCATTGAGCCGACTCGTACAAGCATAGGTTGCTGGGGACCAATTATAACCCGGTATCCCCATGGGTATCAATGAACCACAAAAAGGTATTCTTTACCTTCTATTGCTAACACCAGACTTAAATGTGCCAACCGGTCGGGAATCTTCTTTTAAATATAAGTATTTCTTTCTGTGAGTGTCTGACTCAGATGCATAATATTGTAATTTGAAACGTTTGATTGACCAAAATGTATCATGTGTTCTCTGTGGTATAGAATGGTACATAAACAACGCAACAGTCATTGCTGCCCTCATTACACAACACAAGCAGTCATTAGTACATGTGCAACGATGATGATACACCACAGACAATCTTTCTTTTATCTCTATCGCTATCTACCGTCGACTTTGTCCGGGCCGGCAGTGCAAGGTAGTCCCGTATACCTAGCTGATAACGCTAGGACTTATATCCGAGACACCTCCCCCAAAAGCCAGTCTTCATTCGAAACGTCAAGGGGAAAGTGAACATTCTCATAGAATGAATGGTAGTTCCCCGAAGTAAGCGAATGACAGGATTTTTACCACTGCTCTTATTGGCGCTGGCAGTTGAGTTTTCAGGTATGTTTTGATTTATTCATTGAAACAATCAGTGCGTTACAAATATATCAGTGTGTTCTGATATTAGTCTTCGTAATTTTGTTGTGCTTTTGAGGTGAGTGTTTTTGTTAACACATATGTGTTATTGCAATTATAAGTATTACCATTTTCATCACACAACAAAACATTTACAATTTGATATGAATTCCAAGTTTAGCTATTTACTCCTAGTAAAGCAGTCATCTGGGCGGCGGGGTAGCCCCGAGGTAAAGCCGGAGACCCGGGTTCGATTCTCCACATTGAACAATGTGTGAAGCTCTTTCGCGGTGTCCTGCGTGATAATGCTGGAATAGAAACTGTTGTATTGCTAAACCAAATTATTAATTATGTACTATCTAGTTCGTTAATTAATAACAACGGGTCGAGCTAAAATTATTTCTGACTGAGAGAAATCATTATTATAAACATATGATGTTGGTAGCCTTGCCTGTCCAGTATAGGAGTGTGTCAGAATATCGAGGTCAAGACTGTGAAGGTCACAGGAGAGAATTCTGATTTCCGTCTATCGTGCTACAGCCTAATACTGTGCAGGTTCAGGTGTATAATGACTGAAGATATTCAGGCATGCCAGATACCTAAAGATGTTTTTGTTTTGTTAATGTTGTGTGGGGCGGTCGGGTAGCCTAGTGGTTAAAGCGTTCGCTCGTCACTCCGAAGACCCGGGTTCGATTCCTGACATGGGTACAATGTGTGAAGCCCATTTCTGGGGTCCCCCGCCGTGATATTGCTGGAATATTGCTAAAAGCGGCATAAAACCATACTCACTCGCTCACTCACTGTTAATGTTGTGATCAAAAAGCTCTCAAACACACGTACAAATTGAAACTTGGATTGAAAGATTCTACTTTCGCAAAATCATAGTTTATTGCTGGATTTGTTTGTGACCGATCACGAAGCTCTGCTTGTCTTTCAATGTTCAACTTCAATTGACTGGTCCTCCGACCTGTTACTCAAAGGATCACAGATCACAGCCTGATGATGTTATTCGTCTTTTGAGTTATCACACCTTCCTTTGAATTTTATTGTTTCAGCTGTTGGCGCCCAATTTGACTGCCCCTTTGAAACCGACTTCTGCCAATGGACCCAAGCTCAAGGAACGGACAAATTTGACTGGAAGCTGATAGCTGGAAGTACCCTAACAGCAGGGACTGGCCCAAGCGGTGACCACACCACTGGCAGTACGTCAATACGTCAATACATTTACCTCCGCTATTAATACTTACAATTAATAAGCTACAACCTACAATTTACAACAGTTTACACACTTTTACATAACATTATAATGTCCAACGGAAATGACATGGTATATTTCAAACTGTTGTAGATAATTACAGTTTTATTAAGATTTTATGTAAACTGATGACACGGATGCCCAAATAGTCTAAGGAGATTCGTTTCACTCAGTAGCATTACGTCCCTTAGCCGTACAAGGATCTAATGGTCGTGGGTTTCATTCCCATCGAATGTGGTCCTTGATCTGTTCCACAATACCCATGCTTGTGGGTTTCTCTAAAGAGACTGCGTTTGTTTAATACTGATCAGAACTGCATTCAAGCTAAGTCATCCACTGCTGTTTCTGAAGAACCCTATCTAACGTTGTTGACATTGTCCACAGAGGGACACTACGCCTACTTTGAATCTTCCGTTGGTGCAAATGGAGACAAGGCACAATTGATCAGTCCGACGTTGACGATCGCCAGTGGTCACTCAAAATGTCTGGTCTTCTACTACAACATGTACGGGGAGCACGTCAACGCCCTCAACGTGTACGAGAAGACCAACACGGCCAAAATGAATATCGTCTGGACGCGCCATGGCAACCAGGGAGCCAACTGGACGGAGGCAAGAATCAACCTACCAGTGGCTACAAACTTTCAGGTGGGTCAAGGTTATACATATTGTCATATAGTTTGAAATGCTTTCATGCGTTGCATAAGGTTATGCATGCTGTTGTTTCCATGTGTCGATATGATGTCATTTGTTTCATGTAATTGTGTGCTACGATCTGAAGCGAATGGTTAGTTTTGTTGTTGCAATATTTCTTAAAAGATTCAGATTAGTATTTAATATTTGGCTGAGAAAACATTGCAGTGAGAAAGAGAACATAACATTTTTGTTATTTCCCAATATGGATTCGTCTATAGGTTGTAATCGAAGCTGTTCGAGGACGGGGATGGAAAGGAGACATCTCCATAGACGACACTAAGACTGTCAACGGCCCCTGCCCTCCGCTAGGTAATAACTCAACTACATGTTACTTACATGGCTTAATGATACAAACTCGACCCAAGTCTAATGCGATATTCGAACATCACATTATAATTAGTCCTCTGGGAACAGTTCATCATCACCCCGCAGAGAAATAATGTCTTAGTTTCGCAAGGCAATAACCTTGAGATCTGGCAACACTGACAATGGACACCAGATGATACAATCTAGTTTCCCTTTAAGACGGTTTGGTGGAAATGTGATCTATCGTCGCTTTGATCAATGTGAATTCTCGTTCATTTTATCGTGTTGGACAGTAACACATCCTTTTCTGTTTCTTCATACGAGAGGCATTTCAGATGAAGATACACTGTCCAAACTATATGCCGTGTTTTCCAGGAACCATTTTACCATCGGTACCCCCTGGGGCCAGGACTACTCCGATGCCGGTGTCAACGTCGTGCAACTTCGAGACGAAAGCTGTTTGTGGCTACACTCAGGACAAGAGTGATAACTTTGACTGGAGATGGTCCACTGGTTCAACAGCATCCGCCATGACCGGTCCTAACAATGACCACACTTACGGTACACCAGCAGGTGAGGATACTAACCAACAGATCATGGCTGATTACCTAACGAACATCTTTCTTAAATAAGAGCCTTTGTCATTTTCCGCATTTATTTAATCTTCAGTGGATGTTTTACGCCATCAAGTTCATAATGTAGATTGATTTCCTCCCAGGCCACTACATGTACATGGAGTCCTCTGATGCCCGACCAAATGCAAAGGCAAGGATAATCTCTCCAAGACTCCCAGGAAGTGGAACACGATGCCTTCAGTTCTGGTACAGCATGTTTGGTCAGCAGGTGAACACGCTAAACGTCTACGCCAAGTCCCGAAGTCTAGGCAATGTATTGTGGACACTGTCCGGGAACCAGGGGATGGACTGGAAGATAGCACAAGTGACCATACCAGGGGGATCAAACTACAACGTAAGTCTACTGCTGTCTTTTTATTACCTCTCTCTCACATAATGAATTGTTTCCGTCTCGTTAAATATACTGTTTCAACCAGCCCACATACAGTCGTGTATTTCCTGTTACTACAGATCGTGTTTGAAGCCAGTCGAGGCACAGGTGTCCATGGGGACATCGCCATTGATGACATCCTTCTGAAACAAGGCTCATGTCCACTGCCGGGTAAACCAACCAAACATTAAAATATTGACACAAACAAATACTAATCACAATCTTACAAACTTCACGCCCCGTCCTACAGATGTTCTCCCTGCGAATACACGTACAGTGAAACCCAGTTTATCGGGATGTGAGTGTTCCCATATTAACGACTTTCTTGATTAACGAATCATAGGCAGATAGTTTTGTCTCTTGTTTATGTATCTAAGCATTCCCAATGCCAATCGTCAGTAAAACCAAGTTTACTAATTAACGGGTTCCCTTTAAATGGAAGAAATAGCTCCCTGATCAGAGTGTTACAAATGAGTGTCAAGATGTAGGTGATTAAAGGAAGCCCCATATAACAGTGTTATCAATGAGTATCAATATGTAGGTGATAAGAAGTTGTTCCACGTTTGACAGTCATCTTACCTTTTAAGTATCATGCTGTGTTGTTGCCCTTCTTAACCCTGCATTCCGCCTGCAGCGACTTGCGACTTCGAGCACGGCACCTGCACCTGGCTGAACACCCAGAGGAATGATGACTTCGACTGGATCATCCACCAGGGCAGCACTTCCACGGCCAACACGGGACCACCCAGCGACCACACATCCAGACGATCGACAGGTGCGTATAGTGATTTGATAAAGCATTCAATCGTCTCACAGAAGACTCAGACACGATGCTAGTGGTACATGTCTTGCTGGAACATTGCTTGTAGCAGTGTAAAACCTTGTGTACTTGACACTTGGACGAATATTAACGTACACAAGTACGATAAGGACAATACTGCAAATATTATCACTGAATTTGTAACGAAAGGAGAACCGTATATAGTTATAGTTAATAGAGTTATTGCTGATGTTCAGTAAGTTCGTTTTATCCCCCAGTTCGTTATAAGCATGTTTTATAACCGTAGGTAACTGTATTTACCAAACAATGTTCAAGAAGTAATGATGGTGCGGAGATATATTCTGTTACTGTTCATAAGCACCACAACAGCAATAACAAGAAGAAGATTCATTATATGTTTCTAATGAAACACATACTATCAATGCTCATCTATTCTTCTTCTTCTTCCATTATAAATACGAGCGACCCGTGAAGATTCCAGGCTAGAATAGGTCTTCAGCAACCCATGCTTGCCGTTAAAAGTGACTGTGCTTGTCTAAAAAGGCGACTAACGGGATCGGGTGGTCAGGCTCGCTGACTTGGTTGATGCATGTCATCGATCCCAATTGCGTGGATCGATGCTCATGATATTAATCACTGGATTGTGTGGTCCAGACTGATTATTTACAGACCGCCGTCATATAGCTGGAATATTGCTGAGTGCAGCGGTAAACAAAAAACACTATAAATACGAGCATGAATAGGAAAAGAGTGTTGATGTCTTGACAGGTCACTACATGTACATTGAGTCAAGTGCCCCACAGAAACATGGAGACAGAGCCCGCTTTGTCAGTGAAACACTCCCAAAGAGTTCCCAGAGGAAATGCTTCCAGTTCTGGTACAACATGAAGGGCAGCGACATCGGCACCCTACGCGTCTACGTCGTCACGGGGCAGACCGAGACGGTCGCGTGGCAGCTTAGCGGGACACAACCGTCAACATGGGGGTTCGCTAGAGTGCCTGTCTACTCCCCACACAACAACTTTAATGTAAGAATCACATGTATCGCAATAATCATAATGTGCTGGGGATTTCTAAGACCAAGTACGGATAGGACGAAAGGCCTTGATTTATCGATTATGCTTAATTAACACGTTTATACGGCGTATGTCTATTTCAGATCATTATTGAAGGCATTATTGGAACTGGTCCTAGTGGAGATATTGCAATCGATGATCTGGCGCTCAGAACATACACATGCGGAGGTTTGTACATGGATCGTGTTGTTTTTTGTAGTTCGCGAAGTTATTTATCACCACATGTGCATCATACATTACGACGTTATTGTTTACCAAATGTTGGCGATGTTTTACATATTTGTATGATTATATTGTTAATGCAAAACTAACAACTTGGCTCCGTCTCCATATGCTATAGAATATCGTAGCGCACCTTGATCAGGGTGAACGTTCGCTTATAGCACTAGAAAAAGAGATTGAACACGCTCAGAGAAGAACGGAACATCAGTCAACTGAACACATGTTGTTTTCATCAATAATATAAGTAACACTTCCCATGATGTTTTTTCATAAACAGGGCCCTTTTTTTTTCTAGTGACGCCAACAAAAGCTAAGCCTCTGTCAGCAACAACTACAGCCACCACCACATTGAAGCCGACATCAACTACTCCGAGGAAGTCCACTGCCTATGTTCCATCATGTACGTAAACATTTTTGTGGACCTTCTCAACTTTCACTGAGGTACGGATATTCTCTCTTCAAAGTCGCGTCCCTTAGGTTGCGAGGTTTGTCAGCGACATTCTCGTTCTCGTCAGATCACGAAAGGTAAACAGCTGAAGCCTGCATCACTTCAGGGTGTCCTCCCACATCAAGCAGACACGCCGATTTGTAAATACTGTTTAAGGCGGCGTTAAACTAAACTCACTCACCCACACTCCTTGAAAAGTAACACATTTTCACAGATCGATAGGGCTAGTTTGTCAGCAAGGCCTTGAGCGTACGATTTCAATTCAGTTGAACCAAAAAGTATAATGCTATGAGTATGCGTTCTTGAGCATTGTGCCTTCAGCGTTTGACAACAAATGACTGGTTATAACTAGAATACAAAGTATACCGCTCTAACAATACCCATTTCCTTTACTTTCATAATAAAATGCAAAAATATTTATATAAAAAATGCATGCATGTTTCGTTGGTGGTCAATCGTAAGACAGGTTCTTGTTGAGTTATATGACATTCCTTGACTCACTCTCTAGCAAATCCTCCTATTTCAATTTTTGGAGGAAACCAGCATTCAATATGGTACATGGCTTAACGCTTTTGGCATTTTAAGTAACAAACTGTTATCCATAAATTAAAGTGTTTTGGTCTATTTCACTGTAACTATAGAACAGTCGATGTTTCATGGGTTTCAGCGTCTAAGCCTGTCACCTGCAGTTTTGACAACGATATGTGCAGCTGGATTCAAATGAAGAACGACAACTTCGACTGGACGCGACATCAGGGATCAACATCGTCCATCGGGACTGGGCCCCCGAGTGATCACACAACAGGCAGTAAGTATACTACGTGATATGTAACTCGATCCACCCAAACAAATAATACGGAAGATATTTGATAATAACAATTTAACTACAATAACTGGCAATGAAGTACTTTAGTGTTTGATTATTCACGCGTTTTTGCCTTATTAGGTGTATATTGCTGCACCATGTAGTGCATATTTCTAAACCTGATAACTTCTGATTGATTTACAATAATGTGCATTGTCTTAGATATTGCCTGTCGTTTGGGGCGACTACACTGGACCAGGTATGGTGAGGTTTGGTAACGAGCAGTACAACTATCCAAGTAGAAATGCGATAGTATGGAGAATAGCTTCACCTTCCCACAATGTCGACCTCCAACATTGGAGATGATGATAGAGACATTTTTCACGTATTTAAATCCTATGTGTTTCAGAGGGGTACTACCTCTACACAGAGGTGAGTGGAAAGACGGCCAACAAGACTGCCAGAATTCAAAGCAAGACCATCACCCCTCGCATGGTGACCCAGTGTCTGTCTTTCTGGTACCACATGCACGGCGACCACATCGGCACACTCAACGCTTACATCAAGTCCACCCCCACCATCGGTAGCCCGGTGTGGACCAAGACAGGAGCCCAGGGATTGAACTGGAACCAAGCACAGATCACCGTATCCAGAGGGCACACGCCATATTCAGTAAGTAGAATGCTTAGGGGTTCACAAGCTTGGACGTATTTTCCTATCAATAGTTTATTCGTTTCATGTACCACTACTGCTGCTGCTGCTACTACTACTACTACTACACCTAGTACTACTACTACTTTTACTGGCTACTGCTACGTCTACTAATATTACTAATACTATTACTATTACGACTACCACTGTTATTACTACTACCATATCTACTACTGCTTCTACTGCTACTGCTGCCACTATTGTGTTTATTACTTGTATCCTAGGGAACCTTGTTTTGCTATTTTGAAAAGTTGTTGAAATGATGACATGTTGTTGCAGGTTGTCATTGAATCTGTGACTGCTAACGGGTATAGGGGAGACATTGCCATTGATGACGTGGGATTGGCAGATGGAGCATGTACAGGTACATTATATTGCAGATTCTGTCGCCATCATCAAATAAATAATTAATGTGATAAAGATATTTAGCCTTTTCTGTTAAAATGGGTAACGATGTACTAAGTATTTTTTAATTTAAAAACAAATAGAAAATGCTCATGCTTACTTTCATAAAAGCTGCAAAACTTTGTCCAAAATCAAATGAAATCCATTAAATGATTCCGGATGTGTCATTAGCATTTGTTTATGAATCACTTTCAGATAGTTATTGCACCAAGTATTCGCAAAAAGGCGAGCATATCCCGCTTCACAAACATATGCAAAAGCAAGTCAATTATTCACCTGAAGAAAAAATGTGAAAATTTATTTCATCAAATTGAATGTAACTGAATATTATTCGGGGGTAACCAACTCATTCACTCATTCACCCGCTCTCTCCCAAGGAGCAACTGGACCGACTGTCCACACCACTGTCCACCCAGGTCAGGTCGTCAGGAAATGTGACTTTGAAGATAAGGCAATCTGTGGCTACACCCAGGACAAAACGGACACCTTTGACTGGACGTGGACGGCACATACAACGACCAGCTACGGCACAGGACCTAGCAATGACCACACATATGGAACAACAAGTGGTAGGTATCTGTGAGGTTAAGAAACTAGGATTCCATTCCCAGGTTCGCCCTGAAGGTTTCAAGATGCCTTGCCTTGGCAGTGCGTTTCACCAAAGTGGCAAACGTCTAATACCTGCATCACTTCGGCCCTTCCACCCTCATCAAGATGATACACCGTGATAAAACTTGAATATTGTTGGCGTTGAACCAAACTAACTCACTCTTGGTCATCTATGGGATAATGACGTTATGGGTCTAATAGTTCTGGAATGATATACCACGTTAACGGCAACTAAATCTTCAAAGTTTCATCTTTGAGAGTCCGTGATAGGAAGTGGTTTATAGACTTATTATTTGAACATGCAATTTCAATATAAAATCATTTTTGATAAACATGTAAAATATAACCATATAAAATGCAGCTGACGTCGTAGAGTAACGTTCCAAGACAACCGAGACCGGAGATCCAGAGACGAATATCAACCTTGGCCTCACCTGATAACAAATATCTTTTTCGTGATAACCGAGGTTCAGGATAACCAGAGTGAACAGAGTGTTTTCATCTATTTTCGTTCAGGGCATTATCTGTTCACTGAAGCATCTTCCCGTAGACAGGGAGACAAAGCACGCATCTTGACGCCAGTCTATCATGACACCCAGGCAATGTGCGCCCAGTTCTACTACCATATGTACGGGGCTACGATGGGAACTTTTAACGTCTATGCTGAGGTATGTCAAATTCATATTTTCATGGTGTTTCTCCGTCTTGAATCGTTTTGATGTGAAACGACCGATTCATATTAATTTCGAAAAAGTGCTGATATTTATTAATCAATATTGAATCAGGAAATTAAAAATATTTTTATAAGAGTATTGGGTGATCCTGACAATAATATTCTTGTAGTTTCGAAAGAATATGATCACACATATTTTCTCAAAGTTATTTATGTCCTTTTCATAGAATACGTATTCTGAAATGACCTGTAATGATATTATCTCCATACGGTCATATATGTATGTATATGTGTAACATTAAAAACTCGTTGCAGGTCGGAAATAGCACAGGTCGACCATTATTTTCACGTAAGGGTAACCAGGGCAACAAATGGATAGTTGGTCAGGCAACAATCCCAACATCCACTGCAACTTCCGCTTTAGGATACCGGGTGCGTAGTCTACAACACCTCCCCACCCCTATAATGCATTTTATCACTGACACTATATTCATTAAATCTTTAATGTCTGGCACTAAGAAATTGCATTCATCATTCAATCAGCGAAATATATAACGTGTGGCTAAGGTCTTATGACAACAATTACCAGGGCGATAATAATAAATGCTTTATATGGTATTTAGATGATGTTTGAAGGCGTCCGAGGCGCAAGCTACAGATCAGATATAGCACTGGACGATGTCAGTTTCACTGTGGGTGCATGTTCAAATCCTGGTAAGTTAAAAGCAAATGCTAACATTTGGCCGAAAACATAAGCTTGTCACCTACCAGTTTTCATTTACGCTACTGCAGCACATGGTTTACAGAGGAATTCACTCTACTGATATAAAATAGATGGACACAATGATTGACCAGATTGATCTTAACCCCTGATACCTGACTATTAACATTTCTTTCTTGAAAAAGGACAGCTGTCACTGTCCGGTTCCCGGTTCCTGGTCCAGAATTATCGTTGTAATATGTGCCCTCTGGAAATTGAAATTTGTCTCAGTGTGATAATTAATATTTTAAGACTTTTAGATTGGTCTTCAATAGAGTGTGGCAATTTCAGTTATTTCCATTTGATGTTTGTCAGTTCAAATCGAGATTGTGTATGCTATTTAAAGCTGAAAGAGCACTATTGTGTGTCTGAACGGGGAATTAGTTCTCTGTTACTTTCTTCATCTACAGGCGACTGCACATTCGAATCTGGTCTGTGCACTTGGAAGAACACTGCCATTGGAGATCAATTTGACTGGACTGAGGACTACGGTGGGACGTCAAGTACCTCTACTGGACCTTCAGTTGACCACACCCTCGGCACGTCAAGAGGTGAGCAGCCCAGTATATAACACAGATCATGTTGTTATGATTTAATGACGGTAAAAGTGAATGAGAAGAACTTCTTGTTTAACAATACCTTTTTTATGTCAAAGGACGAGATGGACGACTATCAAACCAGCGGTTTATAAATTTATGACACCATGTCGCCATTGTTCAATGTCCTTGACAAAGAATATTATCTGAGGTAAAATGCATTGTGACCCAGAGTTTCAGCAGTGATGGTGCTACGTCATGGTTCATCAAGTTCGCTAACACCTGGCGTCACAGTTTGTCAAGTGTTTCGTGTTTGTCTCATTTTTGTCTTGCTCAAGATATACAATTTGACAACCCCTAATTGACATCTTTATGTGTGGTATTTCCAGAGACGCTTAGACAATGAATTGGAACTATAAACACATTTTGTTTCATTTTGTCAGATACGAATACCTTGAACATAAACACATTGGCGTTTTAATTACATGTGCAATGCAAAATATAAAGGTTGTTCTTAGGCCATGCCGACCATCTAAGTTTACCTTCTTTCATGGGTAAAATGTGAATTGGGTCAATGCCCAATTTTGTATTGAAGTAGTAGCTATATTACGTTGTGTCAGTTCCACGTGAAAACAAGTGATAGAGGTAATATGATGGAGATACACGACCATGGATACCACCTAAGGTCATGCTGTTTTAACTGGTATATTTTCAGGCAAGTACCTCTACATTGAAACCTCGGCCCCACGACTGACTGGAGACAAGGCGTGGTTGGTCAGTGAAAGCTTTTCCCCTGTGACGTCCAGCGGCAGGTGCATCAACTTCTGGTACAGCATGTACGGGGCGACAGTCGATACTCTCAACGTCTACATCAGAGTGCCAGGTAAGTCGAACTTCCACTGCATGTAATCAACTGTGAATAATGATTTGGAAAGAAGATCATCTCGGTTCATATATATCTTACAGTATTAACTTATAAATGAGGAGCAATGTAATTTTCTTTGACTTTCATAAACGCATGATTGTATCGAATTAAACATCCTCATAATTGGTATTTCAAACTATCCTAATTTGTAACAATAATATGTTTAGTACGGAGATGACGTTCATAATTAATTCCTGTTGCAAGTACACCTCAAATCCTGTGATATTGATTGATGTCAAGTTTTCACAGTATAACAGTCTGTCAGTAATCAAAAAGACTAATCTTTATGACGCCTGCCTCATGCTTTTTCGTAATAATAGTGTATACATGTGTGTCACCCAGTGAACTTTGTTGTTAAACAAACTTCTGAAAATTCTCAAATAGGGCGAACAGACTACATGATCTGGCATCAATCTGGTAACCATGGCAACGGCTGGTTCAATGGTCAGGCACCAATCACAGAGAAGACCAAGAGTTACACCATCGTGTTTGAAGGGATCCGTGGCAGGAGTTATTCTGGAGACATCGCACTTGACGATATCTCCTTCACGACGTCGAACTGTGGAAGTAAGTGCTCAGTAGAGACTGTCACAGGAGCGATTGTCTTAATAAAGTAAATACCTATTATTTATATGCACTACATGTCTATCATGCTTGTGTTTCATTTGTGCAAATAACACAGTCATTTTGACCTTTTGAAAATAAACCAAATTGGTACCATTTTTTTTTAACCTAATTATACATCTCATTATTTATTTGACTCAGTACTTCCGACGAATGCCACTGCTGCTCCACAGACTACGGCACGAGTAACGACACAGGCAGTGGGGAAAGGAGCGTTTCCCTGCGACTTTCAGAACGACTTTTGTGGCTGGGTTCAGAGTACTAGAGCGGACCAATTTGACTGGACGAGGAACCACGGTGGCACGGGCTCGTATGGTACTGGTCCCTCATCTGACCATACCTTTGCCAACTCCAGTAAGAGTCCTTGAACTATTATTGCATTCATCTCCTCACAGCCACATTTCTTCGGCCAGTTTAAAACAATTTATAAATCCGTCCGAGTTTCCTATAGCAAATATTTACACTTGTCCTTGATTTATCATATTTCAAACCCTATGTTGGTTTAAATGGATACCATTGCTGTAATTTGGCTAGGATGTATGCCCAACGCCGTGTCAACACATCACACTACCTGGGTCAAAACTTACACGAGGATTGATATTTTAAGACATGTCAAAATCTCAAATGCAGACATAATCTTTTTAGGACTTTAAGCATCATGGTACCTTTGGCAATAAGTGGACAACCATTCTGCATTCTGCATATCCGGACATGGATTCAAGAATTAATCAGGTTCTTTTGTATTTTAGACGGCTATTACATCTACATTGAAACGTCAGGCTCAAGGAAAACTGGCGACAAGGCTCAGCTGTTCAGTCCCCAGGTCAAGGCAGGGCAGAGCTGTATCACCTTCTGGTACAACATGTACGGTGGCAACGTCGGGGCACTCAACGTCTACATTCAAACAGGACCAGCCATTCCCTCAAATCCTACATGGAAGAGGAGTGGCACTCAGGGCACCCACTGGATGAATGGGCAGATTTCAGTCAACCTCAAGACCCCTTTTAATGTAAGAACAAACAAGGAATCAACCTAATTGTAGCCACATGAACCTTAATCAAATTATGTTTTGTGAAAGCATGAGGAACACAGACTATTCTTGAATGCTCATTATTCTTCACAGAAGAGCACTATGACTTTAGTATTATTCATATGTTTTAAACATTTATCTTTTAGCTATATATGGTCCCTGAAATCAACAGATGTCATTGTGTTATGTAGTTCATTTATGTTAATCCTGATAATTTCTTTCATAACAGTACCGTCCGGATAAACGGGTGTCAGTTTTGACACTGCCTTTCCATTGGTAAAAATTATTCATATCAATTCTGAAGATGTTGTCCAAAACGAAGATTAATTCTGAACAAAAAAACTTATTGATATTCAGCTTAAAATAAATGTATTGAGAAAGCATATTACTGTTTTAAATTACATGTGACAATCTGATCATTGTTACAGGTGGTGATAGAAGGCGTGAGAGGCAATGGCTTTCAAGGAGATATCGCCATAGATGACGTTAACATCGCCAATGGCTCCTGTTCAGCAGGTGATAAAGTGTTTAAAAACCTCATCTCGGTTGACCAAATATTAATCGTTCTAAGGCACACATTTTACATGGCAAGTTAGTTACACATTAAAGAACGTGTAACGTTGTCCAATGTCAACATATTCATAATTATCAAGCGGGTGCACAGAATTGTAAAAGGGGGCACTTGAAATTAAACACATTGCCAAATGAATGCAAATAATTAAATAACGTAGACAAATATCGTATGTAATCCAAACCTGGATCATTGCTAATTGTGTTGTTAATATGTCACCAAAATGAAAGGGTTATATGTTTTAATACACAGAACAAAAAAGTTCGGGATCATGAAATTGTTTTTGAAATTGAGTGCTCAGTCTTCATTAAAAACATATCCCAAAAAATATTAACGATCCCTAAATTTTTTCAGTTTATGCCTTCATGATGAATGTTCACGGCTCTCAAGATATGTGTATGTCTATCTGTTTGATAGCAACGTATTCTCTTCTCTGATAAAGCAATGATAGGTCTAATCGTGTGAACACATACTTCAAACCAGAATCATTCAAAAGATCACAATGTAGTCTATCAGTATCGGTTATTCTATCCCATTAGTTCACATAAGGCATCTATTAAAAAATGTACCTTATATATTTAGTCATGAAAGGCTCCAGATTGGCCCCAATCGTGAACCTCGATGTATCAGCACCGAAGTAGATAGACGCCTACAGCTGCTTCACCTTGGGTTTCCTCCACAATAATGCGATCTTACTGTAATATTCTCTGTCACTCACGGGTCAAACATTCATATTATACAGGAACAACAGTGGGGCCCTCGTCAAAACCAACCGCTGACAAATGCAACTTTGAGGCCAGTAACCTTTGTGGGTTCACTCAAGACCACTCTGACAAGTTCGACTGGACAAGGGCTGTGGGGTCAACCTCTTCCTCTGGCACTGGACCTGGCAGTGACCACACTTATGGGACAAGATTAGGTATGGATGTCCGTCCGTTCTTTCGCAAACATTAGCAGTCATGAGTTGCTGGTTGCTTCTTCTTAGAACCACATCGTCAAACTGAAGTCATGATACTTTGAATTTCAGTTGTAACACGTTTGTGTCTGCAGCCATTTACATGCTATAATTTGTGTGTTTCTTCTGTTGCCTTAAGGTAAAGGTGTCAGTACCTTAACGCTTCAACCACGGGTGATTCCTGACGTTAATATCAGTCATGTAGTTCCTTTTGTTACAGAAATATTCGTTTTTGGGCGCTTCTATTTCTCTTCTTGTGCAACATGTTTCCACTTTCTTGACGCAGGTCACTACATGTATATTGAGACATCTGCTCCTAGACGACCCAATGATGTTGCACGACTGAATTCCTTCATATTGACTGGACCCACCTCACCAACATGCGTAACTTTCTGGTACCACATGTATGGAACTTCAATCGGTACTCTGAAAGTCTATGTCTTGAGAAATGGTGCCAGGGGTTCTCCAGTTTGGCATTTGTCAGGTAAGGCGTAAAGATTAGTTATTATTCCGATAGCAAGTTCATCCAGCCAAAACTGGGAGTGATGTCATTGAAGTAAATACCCGCCACGCCGTTGGCGATGGATTTATATCTGTCACATTGTTTGAGTGAAAGCATCGATAATAAAAGTGACAAATGATTTCGATAATCATCCAACTGTATCCAACACAATAGTGACCCTCTTTCTCTAGATCAAGGAACCACACAGGTGTGTGTATATATATGTGTGTGTTTCAGATACATACATGTATATATATATACGTTTGTTTATATATATATATATATATATATATATTATATATGTGTGTGCGTGTGTGTGTGTATGTGTCGTTCGTTCACCAGTAGTTCCTTCGTCAAATTGCCACAACCCGACAAACCCGACTCACTAACTCACTCACTCGTTAACAGGAAATCAAGGTAACTCATGGAACATCGCGAAGGTCTCTCTCAAGACTGTGTCAAGCAATACGCCTTACCAAATTGTCTTTGAGGGCATCGTGGGAAGAAGCTACCTGGGTGATATTGCGATCGATGATTTCAGCGTGACAGCAGGCGCCTGTTCAACAAGTGGTAAGTTAAATTGTTAATATCGTCAATAATTGAAGTAAGGGTACCTTTAACCAAAGATCTATATCAAATCTTATATTAAATTATACAGATTCATGAAATCTAACATTACGATTCATTCGAATGTGACACCAGTGCCTTTAAAATAATCCTCTTGGAGAGAAACAAACATCACATTGAACCAAAAATCAGAAACAGGATCAAGAGTGTTTAGTTGTATCTGAAACATACCATTGGCCCAGACATTTTTCTTGAGCCGTGCCATAGACTAGAGTGTTGGTTCAAGGCTTTGCTCTTCAGTCGGAACACCGTGAACATTGTATGATGTTTCTTTATTGGGGTCACTCCATGGCCGGAGGTATCCCAGTCTTCTAAGACGCCGCGGTTTGCTGTGCAGATTTGCGTCCTTTGGGCACGCGAGAAACCAATGATTGTGGGTTCGAATCCCCGTTTGCTATGATTATGTTTCTAGGTTTGTCAGCACCATACCCGTAATCGTTAGTTTCACCAAAGTGGTAAACGTCTCAGACCTGCATCACTTCAGGCTTTCCTCCCACATTAAGCTGACACGCCACTGTTAAACCCAACTCACTTACTCATGGCTGGAATATTGCAAAATGTAGAGTAGAACCCTGCTCACTCACTAACTAACTCATTTAGCAGATGACATTATATATAATATCACTTTTAGATGACGTACCAAAATATTTTGTATTCAATAAACTTTCTGTATTTTTAGTGAACTGCAATTTCGATAGTGGGCTGTGTTCGTGGCGAAATGACAAGACCGACAAGTTTGACTGGACTCTCAACAAAGGCACGACGGGCAGTGGAGGCACTGGGCCAACAACTGACCACACCAGTGGACATGGTAATGTCGGAATGTGTTATGTGTCAAATGATCTGTTTCTTGAGAAGCATTTTCCTACCTCTTAAATGACATTTTGAATGAATAAAAGCGACAAAACCCGTTCCATAAAATGCTACCAAATAAGTACGTTTAAGTTTTGGAGAATCTGTCACACATAATATAGAAAAAGTATATAAACTGTACAATTGTACAGATATCCGTCCTTCCGCAAAGGTTTCACGAACGGAATTGTTAGTCTTTACAAACACGGATGGTAAAATAATAATAACATTAATTATTATTATAATAATGATTATTTTCCATGTATAGTAAAACGCAAAATCTGGTTGTTATTTCTTTAGATTATGACAAATATGGTTTAGACTCGACATTTGATCCTGACATGACCTGGCTTATGTTCTCAAGGGTCTGTGGGAAAGCCCAGTTGGTGGAACATTCGCTCGTTCTGTTCCTTACATTGTGTGAAGGCATTTTTTGTATCCCCTGTACAGTGTTGAAAGGTATATAACCATCCTAAGTAATTATATGAGGTCATTGGTGTTCCAGGAAAATATGTCTTCATCGAAGCCTCAGCCCCAAGGGTTTCCGGAGACAATGCCAGACTCCTCAGTGCCAACATCCCCGCCTCCAACACAACCTGTTTCCACTTCTACTTCCACATGTACGGCACCACGGTTGGCACGCTGCGGTTGTACTCCCAGCAGTCAGGCTCGAACCCACTGCCAATATGGGAGTTGACAGGGGCCAAGGGAAATACCTGGCAACAAGGGCAAATTAAAATACCACCCACCACATCAGACTTTAAGGTACAGTCAACACTTTTTGCTAGACCAAAGAAATATATATTTTCGTTTTACTAGTTTCTGTGGCAATATAGCAAGGAGCATTAGACGAAAATATAATCAGGATTGTCAAGATGTAGAAGCAGTGGATATTTGAAACAGTATAGTAGGGAATGAATACAGAGGCCATTATAAAGTAAGTACTCTTTTTTCTGAATATTGACAAGTAATAGAGAGGATATAACCAGAAAAAAACTTATCTGTTATCTTGTGATGCATGTATTCCTAATGTACGTATTAATCGTATCCTCAGTCCGAGTACACCATAAATATTACAATAAACCAAATGAAAGATGTAGAAAAAGCTAATCATGCTTCTACCGTGTGCAGATCATCGTGGAAGGTGTCCGAGGTGGCAGCTGGACAGGAGACATTGGCTTAGATGACGTCACTATTGACAATGCAGCTTCATGCCAAAGTGAGTTCCAAGATTCTTGGTAATTTAACCCCAAATAATGATTCAATACTATCGTGAATAAGCATGCTGCACTGAATCGCAAAATGAAGACAAACACAATTCTTTGCGGTTATATTAACAGTATGTATCAAATCAACAGTGGCAGAGATGGTCCAGTGGGCAAAGGTGCACAACTTGCCACGGATCAACTTGTCTTTGTTTCGAATCAGAGAGTCGCCTGAACTATGATCCATGTTTTTTTCACTATCGTGCTAATGCTCGTATGCTTCACTGACGGTTTAAACGTCTAATACCTTCGTTTCAGGCCACGGTGTTGAACTGACATCAATGCCACTACACACAATATTCTGAGCATTAACATTGTGTTTCAGGGATTCCCAATGCAGCAAGACCAACCGTGACCCAGAAACCAACAACTCGAATAACCACCACAGCCAGATCAACGCCGAAATCAACACCCAGCACCAAACCAACACCAAAACCTACAGGTTAGCATAACGCATTTCTGATGATCATGCACATTTCAGTAGTGACTTTACTTTTAAGTTGATATGTTACCTGCAAAAACATAAAATTCATGTTTTTTTCACTGTAGCACATTTGTAGATGGGTAACCAAGCTAGTGCTGAACGTGTTGTCATTTCTGGCCTTAGACTTGGGTTCGAATATTTTCGAGTCCACACATCATTGATGTCTCCCGCCTTGCAATGGCTCTGAAATGATTAATGCCGGTGAAATACCTACTCTCTCACTCATTCTTTAATTTTGCTGTTTGCATCAGGATCACAACTGACACTACGTTGTTTACTGTCATGTGATAGTCACGTGAATGAAACTAATTCAAATGTGGATTCCCATCAGAGAGATCACCTTTTGGATATTTTAATTCCTCGCTGAAAGCCGAAGATTACACTAAACGTGCGAAATCTGTTTTATTTTATTTTAGATGGAATGTTTTCTTGTCCTAAACTCAAGTAATTGTGTCAAGCCAGAACGAATTTCATCCTCATCTTGGGTTTAACGCTGCGCTTGCGATCAATTCAATTTCATATTGACGTTTGTGTGGCTGCTGTAACACAAGTCCAGTTTTATGCTGGTAGCCCAGGACGATACCCTGCTGTAGTTAAGCATGGAAGCCTTTTCAGACACATAATATTCAAACACTCTGAGATGGCCATTCCTTGTTTTATCCCCTCAATGCCGAGCGCCAGACAGCGTAACAACAGGAATCATCTTTGACGTCTTTGCTGTGACGCGGCCAGGGGATCAAACCACAGCCCTATCGCTCTCTGGCGCTCTTCTACTCCATCGGGGCAGTTCCAGTGTGTTACAAATCTTTGTCCGTAACCAAATATTTGTTTATTTTTTGTGTGATGACAGTGTGTGATGAAGATCGATCATTTTCACACAGGTGGCAAGAACTTTAACTGCAACTTTACCTACGACACGTGTGGTTGGACGCAGGACACGAGTGACAACTTCGACTGGGCGAGACATAGCGGACGTACAACGTCCAGTTTGACCGGACCATCGGGTGACCACACCACTGGATGTAAGTAGTGATGTTGGATGATGGTTGGTAGCCCAGTGGTTCTGCCCTCGCCCATCACAGGTCCGGGTTCGAATCTCTAAATATTCCGTATATTTTTCTTTTATCTACTGGGCTGTTGCTAGAAGACATATTGAAGGTAGCCATATACCGCCATGTGCAAACGTTCATAGGACGAGACTTACTTAACTTTCCTATTTGTAGTATCACAGTGTTTTCCTAACCAGTACGTTTTACACCAGTGTCGTGAGCAGAAAAACACATCCATTTAGGCGTTTAAAGCTCACGTGTAATTTTCAAATCGAGTATGGCTCTATGGTTTCATATAACGGCGTGTAAACTATGTCACTCTCAAAATTCCATGGCGCGAATTGTCAGTCGTTTCGTCATCTGGCTTGCAAAAATCAAAATACTGCATGTCCTAACCCTTATTTCTTATTGTAATTAAAATAAATCTGAATTTAATCTGACAATTTTTTTTTTTCGAGGAGCCCGTTATTGGCATCCCTCGCCTTGGTATTGCTTAAACAGTGACTGTAATAAGTCTCTCCTTTTTTCTGGAACAGCAAGCTTCTACATGTACATCGAGACGTCAAGGAATGGTTACAATTCTCTCGCTCGGCTTGTCAGTCCACCTCTCACCTTGACCAATGGTCAGACAATGTGCCTCACCTTCTGGTACAGCATGTATGGCCAAACTATCAACAACCTAAAAGTCTACTACAAGCGAAGTGGCGCACTGGGGAATGCCGTGTGGTCGAAGCACGGAACTCAGGGTCCTACATGGAAGAAAGCTACTGTTGACATCACGGGAGCGTCTCCACTTCAGGTGGTCTTTGAAGCCAGTCGTGGAACATCCTACACAGGAGATATCGCCATTGATGATATCAGTGCAGTTGCTGGCTCCTGTTCGGGTAATATTAAACATACTTGTTTTTATTCCCAGAATTTCCAAGCTATATAATTGAATGAAGGTGCGGTGAGCTAGACTGGATGTTAAAGCATGGGCTTGTCAAGACGAAAACCCGTCGATATTGTGGGATTATTGCAATCCCAGTTCAGTCAAACACACTGAAGCAGGCACCACATACTGAGTAAAAAAGTTCTGGTGTCTCTTGTCGTGATTTTGATGGAATTTTACTAAACACAGTGTATAAAAACATACTCACTAACTCACTGAGTTTTAATTTTTATCATCATCACATCTCAATACATTAAAACTATTTCTTTGTTTTTTTATACAATAGGCTGTCGATTTAATCAAATTGTTTATTTTCTCACATGCATCACTTAAGAGGAATTGCTTTGATATTTATTCGTGTATTTTCAATTTTCAATAAAGTGTTTTGAAAAAAGTGTTCAATCACAATGTTTAGTCGCCATTTTTCGTGAGATCGTGTTTCTTTGATGATGTTTTAGGGTCTTCAGGGACGGCAACAGGAAGCATCCCGTCCCTGCTGTCGTGTGACTTTGAACCCACAGACAGCTGCGGATATCATCAAGACACTTCTGACGACTTCGGCTGGACCAAGACGACTGGGACAACGGGTTCGGTTGCCACAGGCCCCACTGCTGACCACACCTACGGGACACGTGCCGGTCAGTTGTCACATTGTCCTGTCACACGCACCTCACACTGAAGCCCCTGTATCATTTATGTTTCAAGCTCTGTCTGAAGGCACATGCTTACTCTTTCTTCACACTGGACCCTATAATTTGTGTTACATTTTGGAATTGTTTATATATATCAAGGCCAGATCGTAGACTACCCTGAACTTTGTAAACGTACATATACTTAGAATTGTGTGTTTAAATTAAATACTTCAATGTCAAGAGTTCTTTTTGTTTTCACTTTCAATTTATTTTATACTCGTTATTTCTAAATATTTCACATTCGCAATCTAATTTACAACTATTTCATCCACCATATATAATGTACAGGGCACTATTTCTACATCGAGACGTCAGCACCCAGGAGACAGGGTCAGAAAGCTCGGCTCCTCTCCCCCACCACCCACACTGGGGGGACCAACTGTCTCACGTTCTACTACAGCATGTACGGGTCGCAGATCGGCCAGCTGAATGTCTACACCAAAGTTAACTCCCTAGGGTCACCGATCTGGACCCGGAAGTCCAACCAAGGCAACAACTGGAATGTGGCTCAAGTTACGATCAAACCACAGTTTGCTTTCCAGGTAAGAGTCCAAACACTTTAAGTCACAGACAGAAAATGGGTCTCCTTAAACACTTATATTTAGGGTGCGAAGGTCACGTTGCTATTCCCTGAGTAGTGACGTTGTACCTGGAGACACCATTTGAGTCGAATCTCAGACAACCCCTGATAATATGTAATGCTTTGACAGCACCTTACCCTTACTCGAGTACACCACCAGTAACAATGGAGGCAATCAAGGTTAGAATTTCTTTAGGCTATGTACTCAGTGAGTATAAAAAATTACGCATGTGACACATTCCTTTCTTTAGCCGAAGGGTAGTGAGTGAAGAATATAGTTTTCATGCCGCTATGTGACCTTTGTGCGAGGGTAAATAATGACTTGATTCACATCGAAGCGGTCTACAGTTATTAAAACCCTTGACCACGAATGTTAAAATTCAAACATTTGCGCAGCATGCTCGAGTTCGATGCTTAGACAACTGTGTCACAATGGTGTAGGGACCCTGACAGTCTTTGGAATTCACTGATACCCACATGGGTAGATAACTTCATTCTATGGTATAACTATTCACATTTTTTTTTCAGCTTGTGTTCGAAGGGGTTGTTGGATCTGGTTACCATGGCGATATTGCAATTGATGACGTCAATGTCACAGCTGGAGCCTGTGTTTCTCCTGGTATGTTTGTTGTGATACTCCTACATATCAGTTGCAAAAATCTGGAGAAAAAATACGAACAAGGGGAAATCTATTTTACAATTCTCAGTGTTGTTATCAAGACATTATCACTTCGGGACTTTTGCAGAGGTAACATTAAAACATAAACATATGCCTATGGTATGTTTTCTGGATTAATACTTTCCCATTTTTCGTGAGGACAAAATATAATACATGTTGTCCAAATTTTGTGGCTCTACATTTGTAATGTTTTCCCTAGGATGTATTTTTGCATATGGCTCTAATGTCGTTACAGGTACGTGCAACTTTGACAAACACACATTCTGCACATACAAGAATGTAAAGGACGCCACAGACGATTTTGATTGGTTGCTGCAACGTGGCCACACATCCTCTGTCAACACAGGCCCCACCGTCGATCATAGCATGGGCAACACGCAAGGTCAGCATCATTTTTCTTGCATAATCTAGATTAAGAGCATTATGCCCTATTAAGAGCGTTACATGAAAGAACCCTTCTTTAAAATATTTAATATTGAACTATTGTCAACGTTACCAATTTCTAGTCAAAGTCAAGATGTTGACAGTTGTGCCATATGTGAAAATTAATCCTTTTCTGTGAGTACTTCAGGCATCATTAACTTCAAGATTGATATTCATAATAAAATGTTAGATACAAGATAAGAAAGAAATTAGCTTTGAACGACACATTTTGTTTGCCAGGACTGCCGATTATGATTATTTGTTTAGCATGACAGCAGTCAATTTCAATTGCTCTTACAAAGTGAGAATCCTCTGCGAGAAGGTTATGGATGAACCACTAAATTCACAGATGTAAAGGCACCAGATTCAACACTGCCAGGCTGACACACATTGAAATAACTGAAATTCATATCCATCTTTTACGTCAGGAACATATGCCTACATTGAAACAAGTGCCCCAAGGAAAGCAGGTCAGAAAGCTAGACTTTACAGTGAAACGTTTAAACCAACGGGAGCCAACACCACTTATTGCTACTCGTTTTGGTACCACATGCATGGCGCATCTGTCGGAACTCTGAAGGTCAACTACGTCACCAATTCTACCTACCCTGGTACCACCTTGTGGCAGCTGTCTGGTAACCAAGCCAACGCATGGTCATTTGGGCAGTTCCCTGTTAAATCGGTTACGGAATTCCATGTAAGACACCTAACATTGACAATTATTTTAAGGATTATCAGTGAGACAGTGAGGATTGTCAGTGCGGCTTCAATCTTAAAGCCCCAGTCAATTCTCTTCCCAGGTCACTTCTCTGTCCCAAAGTAAATTTTAAAAAGTAAGCTAGTTCACGCAACCCCAATCAAATGACAAACATGTCAAACATATTTTTCTTTCAAAATATGGTTGGCTTTCATCGTTTGAATTTATGTCAATACATTATGTATGACGTAAGATTATGTTTCATTTACAATTTTAAAGAGGAAGTCAATATTTATTTCTTGCTTTTAATGATGGACTTTCATGTCGAATTCACAGTTTTATACATCCCAATGTTTGCCTGGAATTGACGTCTAATCTGAAGTTTTGCTTCTCAGATTATGTTTGAAGCTACGGTCGGGAGCAGCTATACTGGTGACATCGCCATAGATCAACTTAACTTCCACCCAGGGGTATGTGGCCTGACTCCTGGAAAAGCACGCCCCCTCGGGCAGACCACGCCGGCGTCAACCACCCCGAGGTCGACATACCCACCTACAGCCACGTCATGTAAGCTTAAACTCTTACATACCGTGAATCTCGTTAACCTCATGCTCACTTTACACGATATATGGTCAAAGACCATCAGACCCTATTGTCCGTGTGGATGCCTTATCTGTGGTCTAAAATCAATTGAGGATAATTAGTGATACAATGCAGATAAACTTAAGGACACGTAATGAGTATGTAACGAATACGCGTAACTCGTAATCTAAAGTTTCAAACTTTTTATCGATACTTTTTTATTTTCCTCATCATTTCCTTCATCGAAAATTTCAGCAACAAAAATTGTTGTTACTTGTATCTTTGGTTGACTTTAAGTAATAATTACCTATTTTTTTCCAAATGTTCGACAGATGTGTCATGTGTGAGCCGGGGATGTTGCCTATGTATGTTTAGTAAAAAACATTACACGCCACGTCGATCACAAGAATATGTTTCGAAGTAGTTTCAAAGATTTACATAGAATTCGCCAGGACTGACCATCTCATTAATAAAGGTTTGTGACATGGAAATATCTCAATATAATATTCAAGGTGTACTTTTCAGTGTCTGGAACAATTAACTGCAACTTCGAGAGCAACATGTGTGGCTGGACACAGGCCCATAATGACCAGTTTGACTGGACTAGACAGAAAGGCACAACAACATCAGGTGGTACCGGGCCGGGAAATGACCATACCACTAGAAGTAAGTTGGTTTTGGTTGTGTCGCCCAAACATATTGGCAAACATAAGGATGATGGTTTGTAAGGGACATGCGTTCAATGGTCCTGCTGGATCGTATCTGATATCCACTGTCATTAATCTATTCTTATGAGAACCCTTTGGAAAGATAGTGGCCTGCATGTTTCAAATGCTTGTCGTTAGAGGCGACCCAAATGGGAGAAATCATGGTTTTATGGGATCTTGCTGACTGCGGTCATCAGGCAGCATGCTTATATTCTCAACCACTGCTATATACAACGTGTTGTAGACGTAGTATTATTGTTTGCATAGTAAATCAGCATTCCTCACCAATTGTTCCAGAGGGGTATTACATCTTCATCGAGACATCCTACCCCCGACATAATGGGGACAAAGCTCGCGTTGTCAGCCCTGTCGTCAACTCCCAGGGCACCAAGTGCCTGCAGTTCTACTACCACATGTACGGCCCCCACATCAACGCCCTCAACGTCTACACACAAGCTGGCTCCAACTTGGGCACGGCGATCTGGACCAAAACCGGTACCCAAGGCAATAAGTGGATACAGGGATCCGTGGACATAAATATAAAGGGACAGTATAATGTAAGTGTTGAAGCTCACTATAAAATATGACACTCCTTAAGGTAATGGTTAAAAAAAACTATAACCAAGACAGTTTTACTTCCGTGTTTTTTAAGGCTAATTTCCATATAGATCTATGCATTTCACATACAGGATTAATATAATATCAAACACAATGTAAATGGTAACTTCATTATATATATGACATTCATTACTCACAAGGTTGTGACTGTGTTTGTAGGCTTTAGGATAAGTATAAAAAAAATGTTACTTAGCGTTGGGTGTGGACAGCTTCGTCGATTTGCAGACTGTAATTCTTGATTTATATCAGTACCAAACCAGTGTTGAAATATTTCACCAAATTGGCACACGTCAACCTGCATGGGCATTCATCCAGTATTAATTTGGACCACGTGATATAACTGAAAGGTTCCGACTAAATCTAACGCTTTAAACACCTCTATTGACCAATGTCCAGGTCGTGTTCGAGGGGGTTCGAGGGGTCAGCTATCTTGGGGACATTGCCCTTGATGACATCACATTCAAAGACGGCTTTTGTGAGGGTAAGAAACGCCCTTTCTCATTTTTCATAAAACAAACTTTGATGTGGTTAAAGGCATGGTAAATACAGAACTATCATGAATACATGAATATTGATGATAGGCGGTCGGTGTATCTCATACAGGGTCATCAGTTTAAACGAAATTCAACCAAATATATACTCAATACACACCCCTGTATTGTAATCCTTGAAATACTTTTGCAAACAAAAAAACCCACCATTTTTCAAAGTAAACATCAGATTAATGTCCTGAATTCCCTTGTTATAAATTTCAATCAAACTGGATTCCTAATCCGTACAGTGTGTTGGTTCAGATAGTACATTTTTTTAGATCGTTCCGTAATCCATGTGATACAGAATTGCATGAAAACGTATTTCTAAATTATTCATTTTTTACAGGAAATGGGACAACCCCCAAGCCTGGTACCCTATCGAATCCTATCGGTAAATGTGACTTTGAGACCCCATCAATCTGTGGCTACACCCAGGATAAGACTGACAGCTTCGACTGGACCAGAGCCAGCCAGACAACATCATCAGTTGGAACTGGACCAACTAGTGACCACACCTACGGGACATCAAGAGGTAGCGTTGACCTTCTTTATGTCTATGATTGTGTTATTATCTGCTGTTATAATTAATGTGTGAAAAACGTTTTGGCTTCTCCATGACATCACAAATTCCTAACATTGCCTCATTAAAAATAGGTTAACTGAAAAAAGGTTTGAAACAGGTTTTCTTTGATTCATTTTCATTCACAAATTTTCAACGGATGATGTATGTATGAAACACTGAATGATGTAATAGCTGTACCTCGTGAATACATTCTGTAAGTCACTGCTAAAGGCTCGCAGCTTGCACCATTCATTCACTCGGAACAGGTGACACCTATTCCTTCAAGTCAATGATTATTTTTCTGGCTGATACCAAGCACCAACCCGTGATCAAACAGGTTTCTTGCTAATATCATACATCGTCCTCAGTAACCAACAATGACATTTGATGTTACAGGGCACTACATGTACATTGAGACATCAGCTCCACGTGTTCAAGGAGACATAGCACGTCTCGTGTCTCCCACGTACCCAGCCTCCAATACTGACCTGTGTTTCAACTTCTACTACCACATGTACGGTAGCCACATCGGTACCCTCAACATCATGGTAGGTCAGACAGAATCATGTATTGGGGCGTTCCCTGTCGGTACCCTTAACATCAGGGTAGATCCAGACATCATAACATATGGGGGAGTTCAGTGTTGGTACCCTCAACATCAAGGTAGGTCAGACAGGATCGCATATGGAGAGGTTCAGTGTCGGTACCCTCAACATCAAGGTAGGTCAGACAGAATCGCGTATGGAGAGGTTCCGTGTCGGTACCCTCAACATAATGGTAGGTCAGGCAGGATCACGTATGGAGAGGTTCAGTGTTGGTACCCTCAACATCAAGGTAGGTCAGACAGGATCGCGTATGGAGAGATTCCGTGTCGGTACCCTCAACATTATGATAGGTCAGACAGGATCGCGTATGGAGAGGTTCAGTGTCGGTACCCTCAACATCAAGATAGGTCAGACAGGATCACGTATTGAGAAGTTCCGCGTCAGTACCCTCAACATCAAGGTAGGTCAGACAGGATCGCGTATGGAGAGGTTCCGTGTCGGTATCTTCAACATTATGGTAGGTCAGACAGGATCGCATATGGAGAGGTTCCGTGTCGGTACCCTCAAGAAAAAGGTAGGTCAGACAGGATCGCGTATGCAGAGGTTCAGTGTCCGTACCCTCAACATAGTGGTAGGTCAGACAGGTTCACATATGGAGAAGTTCCGTGTCGGTACCCTCAACATAATGGTAGGTCAGACAGGATCGCGTATGGAGAGATTCCGTGTCGGTACCCTCAACATTATGGTAGGTCAGACAGGATCGCGTATGGAGAGCTTCAGTGTCGGTACCCTCAACATAATGGTAGGTCAGACAGGATCGCGTATGGAGAGGTTCCGTGTCAGTACCCTCAACATTATGGTAGGTCAGACAGGATCGCGTATGGAGAGGTTCCGTGTCGGTACCCCCAAGAAAAATGGTAGGTCAGACAGGATCGCGTATGGAGAGGTTCAGTGTCCATACCCTCAACATTATGGTAGGTCCAGACATTACGTATGGGGGAGTTCCATGTCGGTACCCTCAACATCAGACAGGATACATATACTAGTGTCTCCTGACCGAGCTTGGATTGGCATAGAATGTAATTATGAGGGTATAGCCGGTACATATATACTCTCTTATACTACATATTCATTTCAAAATACATCCTTTATACCGCACAATCGTATCACTATAACACCTTATTGTTTCAGCTCTGCCACTGTAGCCATTCCACCATACCACCATACAAATACCGCTGTATCACCATATTAATACCAGCATGTATATACCACAATAATAATGCCACTTTACCATCATACCACTGTACCCCTAACCACTGTATAAGACTGTTGCTATTCACATTAATGCTTCACAAAAGAAGAAATGATTACTTACTTGATGTACGTGATTTGTAGAATGAATCCGCTGACTACCCGTTTAATTTGATTTACCCTATTCAATTCAAACAGAACCTGTTAGAATATGTTGCCATGTTCAGTTATAGTAAACACGAACATTTGTTTATATGTTTGTTTTAGCTGTTGGCAAACAAACAACTGACGACTGTGTGGACCCTGTCTGGTAACCAAGGAATGAAATGGTCACTCGGCTCAACTACCCTTTCAGCAAATGACTTGTCACGTAGTAATTACCAGATCGCCTTTGAAGGCATCCGAGGCGTCAGCTACTTAGGTGACATCGCCATTGATGACATCAGCATCACAAGTGGCGCATGCGCATCCCCAGGTGAGCATCGTGAACTTTAATTGAACTAAGTGGATTCTAATGCCTTTCAAATTCTAGACGTTCATGCTGTGTAACTAATGGACTAACCCCATGTGAGTTACGTCCCTTAACTGCCAGGGTCCGCTAGTCATTCAATCAATCGGTATCACACCCATTTTCGTAGGTTTGATCAGCATTCAAGGCTTCAGTAAAGCTATCAAAAAGATGGACAAGTGTATGATTTTTCCCAATTTGACGCATCAGTAATAACAGCCATGTCCAATGTAATTCCCTTTTTTGACTTGTATCATTTGCTCCCGTGTTTGTTCAGGTGAACACTTGATTTTACTTTACATTGTTTGTGAAGGTTGCCACCAGTGTTGCAAGATACCTTAGCCTTTTGCAAACACCTGATAACATCACTATTTGGTGGTGATTCCTGAACACATGCTTATGATACAGTAGGAATTGAGCAATGGACTTGTGAATGTGGAAATGGTTTTATGACTGATGTTCTTTTACCTGAAAAGAAAACGTCACCAACCAGTTTGTGCTTTCCTCCCACATTAACCGGACAGGCAGTGATTAAACTGAATTATTGTGTCAAACGTGATGTTAAACCAACTCAGTCATTTGCATTGTTCTGTCATGTTATCCAGGATCCTGCAGTTTTGAGAAGGGCTACTGTTCATGGACGAACCTTCAAGGCCAGGATGACTTTGACTGGACACTTAACTCTGGTCGCACGTCCAGTTTTAGCACGGGGCCATCATCTGACCACACTCTCGCCAACAGTGCCGGTAGGTCAAGTCATTTCATTTTCGCATCTATTTCTGCCAATGAACCAGGGGTAGACAAAGCCAGCATTATTTCATGACCGTTAAAACGAAGCGCTTCCTACAGCACTGACAGTACTGAATATAACTGACTTATATAACAACTGGCTTTTCAATACTAAGTCTTACAATTAACTTGCTAACAGTATGACCTAGTAGTTTGACTCTATTATCCTTGGTTGGTGCTCACGAGTTTCACCAAAGTATTAAACAACAACGACTTGCATTTTCATCCCACTATAAGATGAATCGTGGTGATGCAACTGATATACCTTTTAAAACGGCCTTTCACAAACTTGTCTTTCATATTTATTTCTCTCTCTCTTAAGGTAAATATGCATTCATTGAGACATCATCTCCAAGAAGATCTGGAGATAAAGCGTGGCTGTCAAGTTCAACATTCACGCCATCATTAACACGTTGCATCTCCTTCTGGTACCACATGAGCGGAAGTCAGATCGGCACACTCAACGTGTACGTCATCGTCGGCAACGTCAACACAACAGTGTGGTCTCTCAGTGGCAGTCAGGGCGACAAATGGCTCAATGGCCAGGCACCCATAGCATCAACGACATCTTACAGAGTAAATATGCTCATTATTAAATTTACATGAATAGTAACACCCAACCCCAGCACAAAATATGTTTTTTAAAGAACTGCACAAGTGTTCCCATCACATTTGTTGCCAATATCGTAACACGAATAGACAAAGGAAAATAAGTAATCATTTAACTTGTTCAACACCCAAGCAGCACTTTCCTTTCATTTCTGGTTTGCACACATCATATCTTCAAGAAAAACAATTCTTTTATTAATTAGATATTCTAAACATTAAAATGTATTTTTCAATGTTATACTTTGTTACTGTTTAAGGTGTACTTTGAAGGAATATGTGGTGGCGGATATCGTGGAGACATTGCCATAGATGACATCTCTATAACCCAGACAACGTGCGGAGGTACGATGGTTATACTACTCAGTATTTGTTAGGAATACTGTATTCTTGTACTTCATAGCCCAGACAAATTAACCCAACATTGTCTAGTTTCTGATCTGAATAATAAATACTTTGAACGATATAATAACGTGATGTTTCCAGTTGTACCTGCTGCAGCTAATGTAAATGGAAATGGTACCATCGCCCCTCTGACGTTGACGACCGCCACTCCTACACAACCAGGTATGTTAATACGATCACAAACAGAGATACAGAAACGAAACAACAAAAGTCTTGACATTTATAAATAACAGTTTTTATTAAAATGTATTTCATTTTCTACGGTCTGTATAAAGAGATAAAACTATAAAGATAATGTCACTGGGTACAGTTCTGTCTGCACTGGTTTCATTGTACATATCCTGAGGCAATCAGTAAGTAAAGTCATGATCATCCCTATCAAAACATGAGTAATATATGTATATTGTATACAACACTGTTGTACCTCCCAGCGACGGGCCCCTTCTTCTGCAACTTTGATACTGGGCTGTGTAGTTGGACTCAGATGGCTACAGACACGTTTGATTGGTCAAGAAACAAGGGACCTACGACATCTGTAGGAACTGGACCCCAGAGTGACCACACCAGTGGACGTAAGTGGACACACCTGTACCTTGTGTGATCAGTAACCTCTGGAACGCTGCATGTTATTTTCATGATCCGATACAATTGAAAGCATCCATGTCAGTCTGTTTGTTGTTTAACAATGCACTGCAGCTACATGGTGGTGGTCTGCAAATAATCGAGTCTGGACCAGACAATCCACTGATTGTTCATGCCTGTAGGTTCATTACATATATGCATTAGTGAACTGTGTTAATAGTAGACAATGAGGCCTCACTTAAAATGCACTTCGTTTCTTGTATACATCAGTGAACAGTGGTGCCCGGGTAAAGTTAATTCATTTCCCCTAGTGAATGCCTTAGTGAACAATATAGAACACATAAAATGTATGCATTCATATTCCTAATACATAACATACATTTTCCTTTTCATGCAAATCATGTTTGAAATACAAGTCATGAAAAGTGTTTCCAAGAGGACATTGGTAAAATGTAATGCATCTTAGAAAATAGTACCCCATTTATTGTCTGTGTATCCATGTGGAGTGTATCTGAAGTTAGTTGTGATGTTCTTTTTCATATGTTTTCGTTATGAGTGATCTGTAAATATTGATCAATTGATACTGATGAAACCAAGAACCTTGAAAACCCGATAGCCAAGAACGCTAGTTAACTAGGAATGATTACATGTTGAGTATGGGTATACAAAGGTTGAATAGCTTGTACACATCAATCGTGATTCCAACCATTTGCTGATACAAACGATTTCAGTCAGATTAATCTGGAACCCGGTTAAGTTTTCCTATCAAACAAATTGCAAATGTATTTGACCGAATATGATATGTGCACGATAACCAACTTATGCTACTGTTAATGCAAAAAATGTTATTACTTTAGATGGCTTCTATCTGTTCATTGAGACCTCGGCTCCACGAAAGCCCAATGATAAAGCTCGAATCATCAGCCCCTCAGTAGCGCCCGGATCCGGCACACAATGTCTCACCTTTTGGTACTACATGTACGGCGATCACGTCAACGCTCTGAACGTCTACGCCAAGACTACACCTGCACTGGGAAACCTCATCTTCACAGTCAAAGGAACCAAGGGCCCCAAGTGGATTCAAGCAAGAATAGACATTCCATCTAAAGTCCACTTCCAGGTAAACTTTGATTATGTTCATTTCTAAAGCGACAAAATACCTACTTGACATAAACGCGACGTGATTGGGGAAATGTTAAGCTACTCTATACTAAATTTTCACTTTAAGAATTGTTTAACAGTGAAATCGCTTCAAATATTAGGTATAAGGAAACACTGATAATATGTCGCATTTTCCAAGTTCAAAACATTGTGGATGAGGATTCCACCTGTCCTCAAAAGTAACATTGTCTCAAAGAATACTTCAAGTTATTGGAGTTTGTATGTGGTTCCACTATCATTTTAACGTTTATATTATTTGTACCTGAAAGATTAACCTCTTGTTTAAACAAACCAGTTTCATGGTGACATTTAGTGTCAGGAGTGTACATATCACTACTATAAGTTAGAAAACTACGTATCATTATCATATTCAGGTTGTGATAGAGGGCGTGGTCGGTCCAAGCTACAGAGGCGACATAGCTATCGACGACGTTAACATCAACGATGGACAGTGCACCCAAGGTATTCAAGCAATACAGTAAACTACGGTTATAACAAACACAAAGTGACCACTAATTTTAGTTTGTTATCACTGTAATTTGTTAAAAGCATATATACAGCATAACTGTAGCAGATAGTCGAGACAAAAAAGTATGTTTGTTATATCCGTCAGTTCGTTTTTAGCTCGTTCATTATAAACATAGTTTACTGTACTGAGAATGATCCAGATCTAAAGTTTGATAGACAAAATATTTTTTTAATCAAATATGACAAATTATAAATCATCTTGCACCAACGTTTTCTTTGTAGCAGACAATTATTGTTCTCAGAAATAGTCCGAAGCATAAAAAAAATTTATAACAAGACCTTTATAGAGTATTCAAACACCCTGCATGACAGGAGATGATGCTTCAGATAGTATACAGTTTTGTAAATGTTCTAAATGCAAAAACAGGTATTCCTAATTTTAAATTAATGGGTCAATGTTCAAAGGTCAATTCGTTGTGCAAAGATGTGTCCAGAATTCGTGACGGGATCTTTGATCATTGTTTCAATTATGATCCTTTCTTCAAAAAAATGTATTTCTCCTCCGAGCATCACTTTGGACTTTGAGCTGACAAGCAATTGTACATTGAATGCTTAGCAAGGTTAAACTGCATTGTTACAGCAACACCCAGCCCAGGAACAACAACAGGTCTTGACTGTAACTTCGAGAGTGCCTGTACATACACACAGGACAAGACAACTGACAAGTTCGACTGGACCAGAAACGCGGGAAGGACCAGCTCATTCGGCACAGGTCCTTCCGGTGATCACACATACGGGACCTCTAGAGGTATGATAGCTTTCTAAACCATGCTTTACCAGAATGGGCATATGTACTGAGGAAAAGGCACGGACAAACATACGTGAAGACAACATATCTAAAAATAAATAATGCCAGGTTAAGACGTTCTCTCAGTGTGGTACAAATCCAATTCGAATCCAAAATGTAATAAATCCTTTCTTGTTATTCAAACTGCTTTCATATTATGATGCCATGCTATTTTACCATACCGTTTGGTTGTAGGTCATTACATGTACATCGAGACCTCTGCTCCCCGAATTCAGGGCGACAACGCCCGCCTTGTGTCTGGCCCCTACACCCCATCTGGTGCAAACCAATGTCTAGAATTCTACTACCATATGTACGGATCCTCCACTGGCATGTTCCGTGTCTACTTCAAATCCAACAACAATCTGGGAAATGCTGTGTTCACAAAGCAAGGTTGGTCGGGACTAAAGCTGTTGCGTTGGGACGTTTTCGTTTGTAATTCGGTGTAGTGGTAGGTTTGCGATGTAAGGTATCGTAGTTCACTGTGAAGGTATAGGTCCTGTAGTAGTCTGAATCCGACAGCCATGGGCTAAAACCTATTTCCGCTATGATTATAATCCTTTATGGATTTCACAAAAGTGGTAAATGTCATGCCTCAATTTAGGCTTCCTTCTAAGAGGCCAGGACATAAATTTAAGTCTAATTCTAACCTTCTAACCTCTAGCTGTGTGTATGAGAATGACTGAGTAAAAGAGGCAACGTAATATTCTTCTGTTTCAGGAGCAATTTACTAAACCTAAGAAAGAAAGATGTGCTTTAGAAGGGGTGGGCAATGTTAAAGTGTGGGTAGAATCAACGTGTCGGCTTGGGCACTGCTCCTTCCAATGGCAAACAACTGGTATCCTCCTCACACATCACTGTATACCATACCTATAATGTGTTTGCCTTCCATCCAACAGGTAGCCAAGGCAACCGATGGATTCGAGGTCAAGTGTCCATTCAAGCAAACACAGCGACGTTCAACGCTGTGTTTGAGGCTGTCAGAGGCAGCTCCTACAACGGCGACATCGCTCTTGACGACATATCTGTGAAAGCAGGGACCTGTGCACAGAAGCCAGGTAAGTGACTGATTGAACCACAACAGACTCTGTTAACTCGAAGTAAATTGAGTTATACATATTTTGATATAAGCAAAGGGATATCTTGAGGGATGCGACTGGTGAATAAAGCAGAATCATCTTAAACGATATATCAATCATGAGTAAGTTCGCGTTAATAAGGTCTCTTTCCAGGCGGAATTGTGCCATAAAAAGTTAATCAATGAGAAATCAGAAATTTATTCAGTCATAGTTGTGTTTGCATGCTCATTGATAGAATGTGCTCAGAATATGTTGTAGCAATGTTCATGTAATGTTTCAGCAATTTATTTCAATTATTTATCGTTGAATAAAGTATTCAATGGCAAAAGTGATTGTTGACATTTGGGATTTTAGAAGCACAGTATTCAAAACTGTTCTCTGTCTGTTTGAAGTATCCATGTGTATATATAGTTAGTTTGGCTAACAATGATGTTGATTTTGAAATGTAGTTTGAATGTCTTTTTAAACACATTCAATATTTTAGTTTATCTCTGTTAGATCTCTATGCCCCTTTGAGATACATGTATACTCAGTTAGGAAGTGAGTTATAATTTAATGACTCACTGGCATTGTGTCAGCCATTTTGCCACCTAACACATGTACTGAGAAGATCAACATGTGAAGTCATAAAATCGTTATCATTAATATTATACCCCCCCCCCCCCCCCCCCCCCACGAAGTCCGTTTGCAACTCAGAGGGGACATATTTTCTACAAAACTTTTTAAGTAAGAGAAATGAAAATTTACACATTGACATTACTGGTCGCGATCTTACATGAGTCCGAACATTGGTGTCTTGAATTCTTTTCTTACAGAGTCATAGTCCTTGCTCCGTGTTTTACAACTTAGTACATACTGAGTGAAATTGGGACAAGTTTTCTCGGGAACTACTGAAATTACATGAATGAAAATTTGCATGCTTATATGAGAGATACTTGTCAAGACTGATTTCCAAAATTGGTGCCGAAAATTATTTTTTTACAGAGTTATGTCCCGTGCTCAATGCTTTTCAGTGCATATTGTCTCTCTAATGGGGGACAAGTTTTCTCAGAAACTACTGAAATTACATGAATAACACTTTCCATGCTTATCTCAGAGATACTTGGCAAGACTGTGTTCCAAAATCGGTGCCGTTAATCATATTTGTCCAGAGTTCCTGTGCTACACGGTTTTAGATTTTGAGCATACACAGTTATGACTCTTGATCCATGTTATTTTACAAACTGCATAGTGTCCCCAATAGGGACAAGTTTTCTTGTTGGTACTGTTATTGTTATTATTTCGGTTATTATTTGTATTCAGATTGTATGTTTACAAACTTTTGTCTTAAGTTTTGTCAAAATGTGATGTTTTCTGCAGGAAATTGCGACTTTGAAATCGACAAGTGTAGTTGGAGTAACATGAAAACGGATGACTTCGACTGGGTTGTCGGGAGTGGTACGACAACTAGCTCATCAACTGGCCCGTCTAGCGACCACACAAAAGGCAATAGTCAAGGTAACTATTTAAAAAACCACATATTTATTTACTGAACTGCTAAAGGAGAATATAAATCTTCTCGTTTCAGGTTGAACATCTGCAATCTGTGACAGTATAGGGTTTCGTTCCATTTTAAGCTGACATTCTGTGATATAACTATTATTCCAAGCGACCTTAAATTCAACTCAGTTTGTCATCTTTATGATTGCTTTTAAACCCTGCACTACCTTCCATAGGAAAATACCTGTTCATTGAGACCTCTGCCCCAAGACGTCCAGGAGACAAGGCATTCCTCCAGAGTGCCTCGTTCATGCCCACCACGGGCCGATGCATGTCCTTCTACTATCTTATGTTCGGCGCGACAATCGGGACACTCAACGTCCTCGTCCAACCACAGAACCAGAATGCGACTGTGATTTGGTCTCTCTCTCGACAACAGCTGGGTACATGGCAACAGGGGGTTGTACCTATACCTCAACAAGGAGGCAACTACCAGGTATGTACACACTAAACTCACTAAAACCAAACACGAACTATCTCGCTGGTCACTATCAGCGTACAGCAGCTTAATTGATTTCTGATGTGCTCGGGGTGTCTTTTGGGTAAATCCAGGCTTTATCTTCATCCACAGTTGCTGATTGAAGGGATCCGCGGCCCCGGCTACACTGGCGACATCGCCATCGACGACATAACCTTCTCAACACAGAACCCTTGCCCTCTGACACCAACGAAGGCTTTGGCAACAACACCAATGCCGCCCATAACGACCACAGTTGCTCTTGGAACTGCACCAGGTTAGGGGCAAACAAGAAACAAATATTTAGCTACAATTGATCAATTCCAGTAGGGATGTGTGGATTCTGTTTCATCAAATGACTTTGAGTTTTGATGAATAATAATATTATTAAGAATTTTGTATGCTTATATTGTACGACATTAATATCTCACTGTTATAAGTCAGAACATTCAGATTCCATTACCATATGTGATTCTCTCTGGAGGGTGGCGATGTGATAATGTGTAACCAACCATCAGTGTCCCCCACAGTGTTTTATACATCTTGCTGAGGCAACATAAAACCTCACTCACTCACTCACTCACTTGCAGGTGGTTTCAACTGCAACTTTGACTCCAATGCCTGTAGCTGGACACAAGACAAGACTGACGACTTCGACTGGACCAGAAAACAAGGTGGAACATCCAGCTCTGGAACCGGGCCAAGCTCCGACCATACAGCCAAAAGTATGTCATGGGAGATAACATCAGACATTTCGAATGCAGAGAAATCAGAAGCCTTATGCCCCTCCCGAAAATGACATAAAATCCCCCTTGTCATGGGAAGAATGACTCCTGATATGTATACATTGCGTTGACAATTGACCAAGATATGTGTACACAATGGAGTATCAAGGCATTCAGTTATACCAGGGCAGGTACACATTCACAGAATGATAGTGGAACCTAATTAATCTGAACAATGCTGTACATTAAAAACGTCTGATTCGACGTAGGTAATAACGGGGTCCGGATAAACAGGGTTTCACTGTAAAATTGTCACCCTTAATGTGACATCATGTGGATTATTGTGTCCCCTTGAACATGATAACGGTTTACATATCTACTTGTGCAAACTGTTAGCATTTTGACATTTTTTCAGATGGCTACTACATGTACATTGAGACGTCATCACCACGACGACCTGGCCAGAAAGCTCGCCTAATCAGCCCGCCAATCATCGGTAATACACGGATGTGCCTAGTGTTCTTCTACCACATGTTTGGCCCCCACATCAACACGCTCAATGTGTACTTCTCCAGGAATGGTACTCTTGGGACCCCCGTGTGGACTAAACAACACACACAGGGCAACGCCTGGAAGAGGGGGACGGTGCAGATAGCAGGGGGAAGCACAACCGCTTCCGTCACTAATGTAATAATTCTTACTTAAATTTGATGATTGTGTAATCTAGGGACACCCGACCTTATATGCTTAACGTTTTACCTGAAGGTGGTCCTAATTGTAATTGTATTGATTTGTGTTATATCATGTTGTAAATCAGTTTTCCTCTTTAATTAGTCTTGTGTGATGTTTAGTCATTTTGGCAAATTATGTTAAGGAAACAAATAATTCTGATGGAATGTATTTTTTCCAGATCGTATTTGAGGGCTTGCGAGGAATTAGTTACTTGGGAGATATTGCAATCGATGATGTCAGTCTCGTCCCAGGTTCCTGTTATCAAGGTAGACAACCATTTTTCTACTCACATAGTCGTCTTAGACTAGACAGTTTAAGACACTGCTTACAGTTATCTAGGTGTGTCATGCTGATGTTGTGAAAAACACTAGGTGACGCAAAGCGTTGGCCTTACAAGTTCAGTGAAACCAATGAGAACTGGTTATGTTAATGACATATTTGAAGGAATATGGGGTTTGAACCCACAATTAACGAATCCTAGAAAGACTACAGAAAAAGAACGCTAATCAAATCGCGATGATTACATAACTGGATCACCGCTGTCCCCAAAGAATTAAGAGGTATCTGGTCTCGTACTAGATGCAAAAATCTCATTCTGGTTTGAATATGTATTGCAGCAACTGTTGCCCCGAGTCAAGGGAGCATTCCTGCCTCGCCTATCGACTGTAACTTCGAGTCCTCCAGCATGTGTAAATACTACCAGGACGAAACGGACACCTTCGAGTGGACGAGAAGGTCCTCAGGCACATCATCTTATGGAACTGGACCGAGCAGTGACCACACATACGGAACACGACTAGGTCAGTTGTGTGTTCGAATGTATGTTAGTTCATTGAAAATGCCATTTGTTTTGTCAGTATAGTCATGATATAACCACTATGTCAGTTCTAGAATGGGATTGGTTCGACAGAATCATCATTTCAGCAAAGGAAATTATCTTAAGGTCCACCAACACAAGACATGTCTTCACACAGACATTATTTTTAATATAGACAGTAACATGTTTTCAATGCAGGAAATGTTTCTACATCAACGACCTTTAAACGCATGTAAAAATGTATTCATGCATTTTTTCCAGATACAGCAATATTCAATAACACTTCCACTGTACATCCTCTTGTTCAAGGTTCCTACATGTACGTCGAGAGTTCCGCCCCTCGTCGCTATGGTGACACTGCACGTTTGTGGAGTCCTACATTCTCTGCCAAAAATGGCCGATGTCTCACATTCTGGTATCACATGTATGGCGCAACCATGGGAACACTATCAGTGTATGCTGCCCAAAACACCACCAGGGTTATCCTTGGTTCACCTATCTGGCACCTCTCTGGTAATCAAGGCAACATTTGGAAACAAGAATATGTGCAACTTCCGAATTACAATTTGATGCACGTGAGTTGACTTTTACCTGTAAAAACACAGTTGAATGAAATATATAACACATTTGTATCCAGTAATATACAGTAGTAACCTTGTGGCAAGTGTTGATATTTTATTTGTTTTTGGAGATTGTCTGAAATCATTTAGTTCTGTGAGTAAGTTAACTAACAACTACCGAAAATGAATTTCACACAATCATTTTCTATTCATTTCAGGCTGTTTTTGAAGGGCGCATTGGCAGAAGCTACACTTCAGATGCAGCCATTGATGATGTCAAACTTCTCCAGTCCTGTCCAACACCAGGTATTAAACATCAGCTTATAACCCAATTAACATAATAATGCAATGGATTGACATTGTAGAAATGTAGCTTTTAGAAATATGATGATCAACACGACAAATTTTCCCTCAAGTTACAGAGAATATTACTTTTACTGAATAAGTTTTTATTTAGGAATACCAAGAGGCATTTTACAGAGGGAAACGTAGTCTATCTTACACAATTACTAATATTGATCAATTGCTCCACAACAAGGAAGCTACGTGGATCTCCATACACGCGTTGTGGACACTCGCAAACAAACGTACTTCCCCAAACTGTGACTTAACGAGTTTCATTTTTCAACTTCATGACATACAGTTACAATGTGGTTTTATTTGGGTGCTGGAGGAATGACAAGTGAAATGTCAGCTGTCATGATGCCTTCGATTATCATGTATTTGAAGTCTTTGTGACATCTGGTATTTACCTTGATAATATCAGCAAACAACCATCAGTTCCCCAAATATATCCCGATAATAACGGATCAACAACAACTGTTTTCAGCAATATTCCTGAAATACATGAACGAATATGTGGCTACGTCATATTTTGTTACTTTTGGTATTCAAACGCCGGTATTCTTCGAGAGAGGCCAACACGTTCATCACTGGGCAACTGTTCATCCTAGAAAACGTTTATGAAGTCACTGACGTTGGTAGAAGTGCTACATAATTTCCACAGGACATATTCATGTTGGCATCAATATAGTATATGTTTTATGTTTTAATTGTATCCAATGCTAAATATCATAACACAATAGTGTACTATGTATTTTTTTGAATAGGCGATTGTAACTTTGAAAGTGGTACTTGCGGATGGTCCAATTCTCGCACTGACCAGTTTGATTGGGTGAGATTGACAGGAAACGTTAACAAATATGGAACCCACCCCAACAAGGGAGACCACACCTTCGGCACATCCAAAAACGGTGAGTATTTCTCAGACATCGTATATCTGTCAATCTTCAAGATGTCCAGTGTGATGTAATTATGGTTTATACAGCTGACCTGACATCTTTAGAAGTGGTGTGTATCAGTTTGTTTTTTGTTGTTGTTGTTTAACCCCCTCAGTCAGGAATATTTCAGCTGTGTCATGGAGTCTGATCGAGTATGAATCAGACAAATCAGTGATTGACATTATTGGCAACGATTCACTCTTTCGGGGTACCCTGACACGTATCGACATTACTCAATAACAACAACAATTCTTTTCCAAACACTTTGGATCAGGGTTCAAAGTAGAAATACAAACTTTGTCTTTTAAGTGATCCTTCTAAACAATATCAGTCTCGTCGAATCAGGAAGAACTGGACAAATGTTGCTGGGTTTTTCTTATATTTCATCACTGAAATGTGGTAATAGATTCGACATGATGATAAAAAAATAGTTCTTCAAAAACACGTAGATGTTCCATATTTCTCAATATTTAACGGTCGGTAGTATAGGAAACGCCGTATGTAAAATAACAGGTCAAAAGTTCAAGATTGTCAGATGCCTACTTGCATTGATGGGGAAATAGAAGGATGTTAATCAACTACTTCATCTCCACAGGTTCCTACATGTACATTGGAGATGGTAGAAGCGTTGCCGCCAAGGCCACGGCTGACTTTGTGTCCCAATCCATGAGTCCTACTGGAAACACAGGGCGATGCATCGTTTTCTGGTTCATGCAGACTGGCACGTCTTTCGGTTCCATCACCATGTACATAGTGCAGGTGGGTAACAGGTCCATCTGGCCATTATTCCAATATTAACAGGCCGCTGTATGTAGCTGAAATTTGCTGGCTGCTGAATGACATTCACTTTGTGATGATCTATTCACCTCCAATTAACATGCACAGACACACCCAGTGTTTCCGTCAATTGCTCAATAGTGTAGCGTGTTGCCTTTGATTGGTGTTGATGTGCGTTGCCGTGTATTTGTAACCACTTAATGCCCATGTAACTGTGGTGGTGGGGTAGCCTAGTGGTTAAGATGTTAGCTGGTCGCGCCAAGGACCTAGCTTTGATTCCACAAATGGAAAGGATTTGTGAAACCCATTACACCTCCAATGTTACTGTGCTATTGCAAAAGGAGGCATAAAACCCAACTCACTCAAACTTGATATTGCATTTACAGAACTCAACCCGGGTTCCTATCTGGTATATGGACGGGGCTCAAGGAACCAGTGCCTCGGCATGGGTGTACGGGCAGGCTACCTTCACCAGCACTAAACCTTACACTGTTGTTTTCTCTGTCGTACGTCTTGGAGGCGCCCACGGCTACATCACTCTCGACGACATTACCTTCAGACCAGGGCAATGTGCATGTGAGTACTTCTTTTTCTCGTACGAGTGGGGTTCGGATTTAAGGTATTTGATTCTTGGTGTCTCAGGATCCGCTGATTGCAGGTACGAATCTCAGATTATACGTCTTGGGTTGCTTTCAGCATACCTGTCCTCCACATGTACACGACATTCATCAACTTTATATTTCATCCCTCATCATAGTTACACTCCGTGATATTACTGAAATACTCCTCAAATTTACCTCCCACTCTTGAAAGAAGCTGGCTGCATTTTGTTTGGGTGTATCTTACTCTAAACCATTTATATTTTAGTCCTGCCTGCACGGGCAGCAACCGGATCATCAGTTGCTCCACAGGCCATGCTCTCGACGACACCAACACCGCTAACTGCAGGTACTGTCATCACCTGGATGTGCTTGGTTCAGAATAAGAAATGTATTGTTATAATATTATAATAAGATAAATTTATTGTATGGTAATGGAAATCTTTGACTAAGGCCATCCACGCCAATGATGTCACCAGTAAGTTTGTCTAAAGGGAGTATTTTAATTTTGTCATGCCAAACAAAAGACAGACTTCTGTATCTATAAAACAGCTAGGGCTGTAATGGGGTAGTGATTTAGCTGTAAATAGACTTCAGACAAAAGAATAGCATATTGTCAGAAACATTTGTTGGTGATTTAAGAGTATGTTGATTTGATATTGATTAACATTTAATTAACTTGATGAAGGAATGAAACGAGTGAAATCAGTTTCAATATGAATTCCTCCGTCACGATGGACCTGTGGTTCTTAGGTGACAACTAACGCATGACCTACGAGACCTGTGAAAACCTGAGGCAAGGTCAATATGCACCTTATCATAAGGGTTGCATTAGACCGATGCACACCCAAGTCGAGATACGATATGTTTCTTCACCATTAAAAGGTGCTGGCTCGTCAAGGAGTAGACCAAGCCATGAAGCACCACCACCCCTTTACTTGTTAACATTGATGTGAATATTTACATTGTATATTGCAGCTCCATCTCCCTATGACTGTAACTTTGAGACAGGCCTATGCAGCTGGAAACAAGCAAAGGATGACCAGTTTGACTGGACTCGAAACAAAGGCGGCACATCGAGCGGGAACACAGGACCGTCCGTTGACCACACCAAAGGAACAGCCTCTGGGTACTACGTCTTCATCGAGACATCGACGCCTAGGGTTAAAAATGACAAAGCCAGATTGGTCAGTGCTGTTGTGAAGGACACAACCATCAAATGCCTCCACTTCTGGTACCATATGTACGGACCCGATGTCAACACGCTCAACGTTTATACAATGTCTTCTGGAAAGCTTGGCAGCCCTGTGTGGACCAAACATGGAACCGTTGGGAACAAGTGGATGGAGATTGATATCAACATCACGCCCAATTCCACTTACCAGATCGTTTTTGAAGGTGTCCGTGGGACAAGCTACCAAGGAGACATTGCCATCGATGATATCAGTCTTACAAATGGATTGTGCGGTTAGTGTGTTTATATATTAAGCTCCGTCGTGATTCCATCGCGTTATAAATTCCCAATGTTGCCGTAAGCTTCGCCTATTAAGAACAGGATGGTTATTGTGCGTAAGTGTATCGTCACTGATGCTATCAATCACTGATGGTTATATTTTGCCAAATACTTTGTCTGTTGTTTAACGTCGCAATCAGCAATATTTCAGCTATGTGAAGTAAAAATCGAGTCTGGACCAGACAATTCAGCGATTGACATCAGCGAGCCTGACCACTCGAACCCCTTAGTCGCCTCTGACGACAAGCATTATCACCTTTTACAAGCATGATTGCTGAAGACGAATTCTAACCTGGATCTTCACGGGGTGCAAACTAAGAAACATAGATGGAAGAATACAATTTTTAAACTTATGGTCTACCAGTAATGACTGTCATTTAAAAACAGTATGACAAACAAAATTAGAGAGCTGATCTGGGAAAATGTCATTAAATTCAAATGACACAAAAGGATGGAATGACGCAAATCACCATTGAAGGGATGGGTTTAAAACTGGCATGGTCAAAAATTAAAAGCACAGGCTAGGACGTTTGTGTCTATTTGTATTCTTTTGTTCCATGAACATTATATCATAGCATCTTCGTCGCCAGTGTAAGTGCGCATTTGTTTAAACTTTATTGTAAATAAAACATTATTTTTTTCAGGGTCCCTCCACACATGTGGATTTGAAGATCCAAATATCTGCAGTTATCAACAGGACCCACGTGACAACTTCGACTGGACACGTACTCATGGACGAACAGCCTCCTTTGACACGGGACCCTCGGACGACCACACCTATGGAACAAGCTCTGGTGCGACAAAGCTGCCACGTTATCTCGGCGTGGTCAGAGTACCTTAGGAACTCAAATACCTTTACATTTAAGAAGTGAACTGTTACATGCGATACCATGAGTTGAGTAAGGATAAGGGGACTCGACAGGGTGATTACAGGTCAGAGAAAGATCACAATCAAAGTAAACGTAAGGGGAAAGACGATAAAAGTGACAAAACCCTTTCCACAGATATGAATAAAAATAACACTTGAGCCATTCACACGTCTGTCATTAAAGTACATGTAAAGGTGAATATGGTTGGAAAGCCTTGTGTGTGATCTTCAGGTATGATTACATTGTTCAATAATACTGATTAATATGCGTTGCACATGGAGCACATCCTACAAGTAAGGGCGGTCAGGTAGCCTAAGGGTTAAAGCGTTCGCTCGTCACGCCGAAGACCTGGGTTCGATTCCCGACTTGGGTACAATGTGTGAAGCCCATTTCTGGTGTCCCCCTCCGTGATATTGCTGGAATATTGCTAAAAGCGGTGTAAAACCATACTCACTCACTCACTCACTCCTACAAATAAATACTCAAACAGTTTAGCAACACGTGCATTGTAGACTGTTAATATAAGTATGGTCAGTTCAAGTATGTTCACACTATGTTCCAGGTCACTACATGTATACCGAGGCCTCTGGCAAAAGCAAGGGACAAAACGCTAGACTTATCTCCCCTGTTCAGAAGGCCACAAACGCTGCTTGTTTGACCTTCTGGTACCATATGTGGGGCAAAGCAACTGGTACCCTTAACGTCTATGCTAAAGTCGGCGATCAGTTCGGTGGAGCAATATGGACGCGGTCAGGCAACCAAGGCAACCTCTGGTTACAAGGGCGGGCGACTGTCAAATCTCAAGGAAGCTGGGAGGTAGGAGTGACTTTATGACCATTTGGTGAATGAATATGTGTTCACGCTGCTCTTCGTAAATGATCAATGTCTTTGGGACACAGGTAGCCTTGTATTCTAAGTCAACCGTGCGTGTTGCAGAGTTGCGTCACTTAGACACACCAGGGAATAATGAACGTGGGTTTGAATCCCAAATCCCCCTTATTATATTTTTGGGATCTTTTTGGGTAGACCTAAATATGAAACCGATGAGACGGTAACACTTGTATCTTTAACAACTAGCTCAGGTGGAAAATTTGTTGAAAAGATTTTGATGTGTGTAGCTTCAGGCTTTCCTCCCAAATTTGGCTGATACGCCTTGATTAAACTGAAATACTGTCCAAAGTGGCGTTAAATCAAACTCACTCTTTCATTCACTTACTGACTCACTCAAAACAAAGAGACTGTGTTGTAGGCATTCCTACAGTTGACTCTCTGCTTTCTTTAGGCTGTGTTTGAGGCTGTCATGGGCAGCGACTACACTGGTGACATCGGTCTTGATGATGTCCTCATCTTAGACGGAGCCTGTGGAGCCCCAGGAAACTGTAACTTTGAGAAGGGCAAGTGTATGTGGAAGAACATTGGAGGAGATGACTTTGACTGGATCTCTGGATCAGGAAGAACTTCAAGTGCTTACACGGGACCAGTCTCTGACCATACCACCGGCGGTGCCACAGGTGCGTCTGCTAGAATTTTGGGTGAACATGTACAAAGCGAGACAATCTGCAGTGTATTGTATGAACATGCATTAAAACTCCGAGGCACATGTCTGGTAGTTTTAAACTTATTTTGACTTGTGTTGATATATTAGATGACCCGAAGGTAAGATGCTGTGTCATCATCTAAAATAATTACTTCAAATAATTGAGGGTGTAAACAGTAATAACCAGTGTCTTTTTGCTAACCAGATTGTGAGGCAGATATTGAAGATGTCATTTGATTGGGATGTCACGATAACCTATGATGAAACATTGGTGTCCAATGCATTGTGATGCAATTACATTGTAGCGATATCTCCAAGGTGATGGAGACACACATACACATACACACACACACACACACACACACACACACACACACAAGCGCGCATGTGCATGCACGTCGCTACATATGTGCAGTTGTCTCGGAAGCAACGTTAAACCCCATTTCACCTCACCTCTGGCAAAGCATTGTCAATAAAGTTCGTTAATTAGTAAATCACATACTGTAAATAGGATGGGAACTTGGAGACATAGGTAAATTACCTTACCTTGTATTGCAGGAACATACATGTTTATCGAGACATCTGCTCCTCGGGTACCAGGCGACAGGGCGTGGTTTCAGAGTCCTCTCCTGCCTCCCTTCACCACCACCCAATGCATGAGCTTCTGGTACAACATGTATGGACACTCGATTGGTAAGATAATTACAGCAGGGAGGAGATATGTTCATTAACATTCACTTACACTATATGGTATTATTGAAACAGACCACGGGATGACGCAAGGTAACTGTTTGGTAGGAATGCAGTATGTGAACAAGTGTATTGTATCATATATTATGTAATCACTAAATAACTGTGAAAAATGTTTGTTTTTTGAACGAAAGCTGGTTGGTTAACAGTGGACAGTGTTATCTATGTCTTCAAATGTTTCTGTACACAGGACTTCTGAACGTGTATATTGACAACCAGGCCAACACCACTCACACCTGGGTGTGGGGGCAGAGTGGAAATAAGGGTCAGGCTTGGCTTCAGGGACGGATGCCACTGTCTGTTCAAAAAACTAGCTTCATGGTAAGACCAACGATGTCCCCTTGGTATTCTGACATACGCCCCAAACTATTAAAGGACTAGTTTCAGGATAAGATCAACAATGTCAGTGGAAGTTTAACGTTGAGGAGTCCAGTTTAATCAGCAACTGACAGTTTATTTAGAGTAAAAAACGTGGATAAATCCCTCCGATCTATTTTTGTTGTTTTAAAGATTTGTATTTATATTTAACATGACTATTTTCTGATGGGCACAATGATTAAAAATAGATACACGGGGACATATCATTTTATATTTCAAGGATGTGTGAGGGGGGTTGAAAAACATAATTTGTGCCAGGAATAACAGGTTTTATGTCAATAAATGAAAGTGATATCTGGATGTTCTTAAAAATATTAGTTAAATACTGATTGCTCTTGTCCTAACTCATAGCCATTCATTGCAGATACGGTTTGAAGGCGTGCGAGGCTCTGACTACTACGGAGATATAGCCATAGATGACATTACATTCACCACCTCAGCTTGTGGATGTGAGTTTTAATTACAGGTTAAAATACATCTGAAAACTGGGATCCCATTCAATAGGCTTATGTCAATACACTAACCACCAGCATACAGGAACGAAGTCACACCGGTAGGACAAGACATACTTACACTGACCGTGAACACCTGGTGTCATCACTAATTTTCAGTGTCTGTTTGTTTATTTGTTGTTTAACGCCACACTCAACAAGATCTTCACGGGTCCTAATTGTCAGTGATCAACTCACATAATTTGCACTACTATTTAACCTTTTACACCCACCAGAGTTTGTTTCTCTGACTATTCTCTGGCATTAATGTTATATTTTGTGGATATTATTCTCCTTGATCCAAATAAATGCCTCCTGCAATCATGACATGGATGATGGTGATTGGATCAACAACTGTTTGAAGTCATAGATCATTCTTATATTGCAGATATACCTTCATCGGCAGACCCGTCAAAGATTGCATCGACCACTGTTCACTTGACAAGCCCAACACCCAGCACATTTGGTAAGGAATGATCAGAGCCATAGGTGTTTGTCATAACTGGTAATATTTTTTTATTAATTTTTAACTGACTCCGGAAGTTGTTCTCTCAAGTGTTCCTTTTTATCCCAAAATGTACAGTCAAGAGTCCTCTATCACTGCAAAATAGTTGAGCTCCATGAAAAGCATATCCGTGTATATACTGAATAGTTCACATAAACGGCACTTTCATCTTTCCACTCAAGCCAACGGCTCAGTCGTCTGTATAAATGTGAAAGAACTTGCAATTCAAGCAGTATTAGTGTCAAAAATGATATTGTTTGGAATGTGATTGTACTACACATGATCTAAGGACAAAATTCCATCAGAATCTTTAACTGCGCACCAAAAGTAGAGTTAATGTATTTTAACCCAAACTCTTTCAACTTGAAATATAATCTAAAGCTGTCACTTCAAAGTAACTTAAGTTACATCATACCGTAATTTGCGTTCTAATGCTCCTCCCTCATATCCAGGAATAATGTTGTAGATGCAGTTGTTGGTGTTCAATCAGAATACATGTTGCGCTACAACACCAATTTAACATTGCAGTTTCACAGTCCAAGTATGACTGTGACTTTGAGACTAACCTGTGCTCATGGACCCAAGCCAAAGATGATCAGTTTGACTGGACGAGAACACAGGGTCCAACCGGCAGCAGCAGTACCGGTCCAACTGTCGACCACACCAAAGGGACGAGTAAGTGAAGTGATGATAATAAGTGAATGAAAGAATAAGTAGGTAACTTCTACGCCGTCTTCAGTAATATATTACATGCAGTTGAGTTAAAAAATGGGCTTCACAAACCGTACTCAGACCCGGCGTTTCAACATGGTGATTGAATGCGTTGTTCTTTAGGCTACTTCTTCTCAACAGATTACTCATGCAAATATATAAGAAGGAGAAGGATGATGATGATGATGGTGATGGGTGATGAATCAATAATATTTGATTATAGGAAATGGCTGGTACATGTACATTGAAACATCAGCGCCTCGTATCGAGAATGACACAGCACGGCTCGTCTCTGCCCAGCTGACAACCAATCAGGCCTACTGTCTCCAGTTCTGGCACCACATGTACGGGCCGAACATCAACAGACTTACTGTCTACCTACGGGTTGGTACTTCAATCTATCATCCAAAAGTACTCTCATTGCAAGTTACTTTTGAAATGAATATTCTTCTCTAATCTGTGAGATTAAAAGTAAGAAGGCTCCTAAATAAAGGCAATTATTTTCAATGATATTACTTCTTTGTTAATATTGTAGCACTAACTTATGTTATGTTTATTAGTATTCTGTCTGTAGATGTTTCTCGTGGGCGGTTGAGATATGCTTTTGTTTGGGTGATACTTTTTTACCATAATTAAATGTTTGGAAGAAAGTTACCACTTTGGTGACCATCATGCAAAGGGCTTCAATGATCTTCTTTTTGAGCATGTTTACTGTATTTCATCTCAGCATGGATCAACCCTTGGTAATCCGATATGGTCCAAAATGAAGTCCCAAGGCAACAAATGGATCTTTGGACAAATACAGATTGCAAAACAAACATCATCAGTCAACATCGTGTTCGAGGGAATCCGAGGCCCCAGCTATGCCGGTGATATTGGCCTAGATGACATCAAGGTCATCGCGGGCACGTGTCCCTCTAAAGGTTAGACCACGATTTAGACACTGTTGCTGCCGTTGACAAGGCTCGAGTTGAAGAGATGTCCAATCTGTTTAATGATCCAGGCTCATATGACACCTGACCATCACAAGCTTAAGACAGCATGTCAAGAATCATGCAGTAAATCATTGCAGGTAGTCTTCAATATACCAGTGTCATGTCCATGTAACGAATTCATAGGTTCCTGTCTTTGCCATTTCCCACGTCACCTACGATTCTTGTGCTCACTTTCAGACGGACTCAGCTGCACATTTGAGCCTGCAGACCTGTGTGGATGGACACAGGACAAAACGGACACCTTTGATTGGTCACAGCAAGGTGGAAGGACAGGATCATTTGGCACAGGTCCAAGCAGTGATCATACACTCGGAACGATTACTGGTAAAACATAATGAAATACAGATCTACTTTTTGTTTCTTTGTTGTTTAACCCCTCACTTTGAAATCTTCCAATTACATGACGGCGGTATGTAAATATTTTGATATCTACTGACATGTTTAGAATGACAGCATTCATGACTCTCCAAGGGAATATTGATGATCAATGTAATAAATCTATTTTTGGAAAATCTCCAGTATGCAAAAAAAGGTATTTTTCCTTAACTTGAAAATATGGAATTTTGCTTGTCAGAACGACTTCACTGGCATGGTACAGTTTGAATTATTGATGTTACACTGTGAAAAATATAAGAACTGATAAGAGGCAAATTTGAGGAGCTGTGGAGTACAAAACAAAAGTCTATACATCAATACAGGAGTTTGTTCCGTTTTCTTTTCTAGGCAAGTACATGTACATTGAGACGAGTGCTCCACAGAAACAAGGCGACTATGCACGCCTTATTAGCCCGACGGTCAACACACTGGCACCCCAGTGCATGTCATTCTACTACAACATGTATGGTAAGAACATAGGCATGCTCCAAATCTACATCAAGACTACAGGCAACCTGACGTCCCCAATCTGGTACAAGACACTGAACCAGGGCAACTCGTGGATCCCGGGACAAGTCACAATAAGTGGTCAACAACCCTACCAGGTGAGCAGTCTGAGCTAATCGCTGTTTCAATGTGTAGTGAAACCATTTTAACCGGACCCCGTTGATACCGGCGTCAGTAAAATTGTCCCGAATAACACATGTTGGTTTAACGAATGATGGCATTGAGTGTTGTACATATATGTAGAAGTTACCCACAGAAAGTGGTGGTTTCCCCAATAATGGGTGCCAGACTAATGAGGTTACACTGAAACATATACAACAGAGATTGCCATGTTATTAACGGGTAAGCCTGTATTGAGTATAGTAGCGACAATCCGTATGAGGCGATTACGAAAAATGGAATCCAAATTTTTCCTCTGAATGATAACGTATGACAAGAATTTTGAAATACGACAGAAAAAGCGAGAGGATGGTGAAGCCAATCAATTGTTTTCAAAGTAAGATTCAATTCCAGTTTCAACTGTTTCTTTCCTTTGTCATCGTATTTAAACTTAAAAATATTGATTTGTTGGTCCTTTCATATCTATACACATTTTTTGCAAAATGTAATGTGTCTTACATGGATAACCATTGCAGTTTTTTTTATCATAATTTTACAGGTTGTGTTTCAAGGCGTCGTTGGAAATGGCTATGAAGGAGACATTGCAATCGACGACGTCAGTGTAGCAGTGGGCGCTTGCCAGATGCCAGGTAAGGGTATTGTAAAGTTGACATGGCAATGTTCACAAAATAGGTGTTGGGCCAACTGTCTGTCACAAAACTCTTCAGGAAATGGACATTTATACCACAGTTAGCACGTTGTTTATAAACGTGGACATGCAGACAACGTTTCTTCAATTCCTTGATACACACACCAAAAGTAGAATACTCTATGAAAATATAAAAACGCATGTTGACCATTGGTTCACCCATTCCATGGACAGAGGAGATACCTTTTGCGTGAAATTCATTATATAAATAGTGTTGTCTTTCATCGGACAAATATCAATAGTAATCATCACCATAAACAATCGTTCACACGACACGATTTAAATGCCAGGACAATGTTGACAAATTCATGCCATGAGTTGTGTTGAATGAGACACAAAAAAAGCCTGATTCGCCGTGATCACGATTCTTGGTTTGTCTCCAGGCTTCTCCAAAGTGGCAAACGTCTGAGAACAGACTTTTATCCTTTGTTGTCCACACTTTTGACCATCTGCTGTTGAAACTCGAAAACACAATATTTATATAGGGTTCTGAGATCGTGTCTATTTGGTTGTTTGGAGATTCCAGCTTTTTCTCATGTCAAAAGGGAACTGTGACTTTGAACGTGGGCTCTGTACCTGGCGAAATCTTCATGGTGTAGACAAATTTGACTGGATCATCGGTATTGGGTCAACATCAAGTCAATACACTGGACCAAGCTTTGACCACACCGTAGGAACATCTGCAGGTACATATTCATGTCATGGTTTTCTCTATATGCACGTGTTAACGTATGTCATCATCACAGCTATTTCACATACAGGCACGTGTAAGGGATACCAGGAGATTGGTGCTGTATTGCTCCACTTCTCATGATGACCTCTTCCCTGTTCTTTATCCTCTCCCACCACACCTGTTTTCTTCAAAGTCTAGCCTACATTTCTCGCCTCACCCACTCACTATAAATCTTCGGTCCATGTTACAGGGCATTACGCCTTCATCGAGTCGTCAGGCCGGACTGCGGGCGACTCTGCAATGCTGATGGGCCGCCTGTTCAAGCCAACGAATGGGATGTGTATGAGTTTTTGGTTCCACATGTACGGTGCCGACTCTGGCACACTGAACGTCAACCTCAAGGGCCCCAACACCACGACAACTATCTGGACACTGTCAGGTGACAGAGGCGATGTCTGGACACAGGGTCGGGTCAAGATCTTTAACAAGAACCCCTTTAATGTAAGTCCCGCGATTATAGCTGAAGAAACAGTAAACCAGACTTCACCAATGTGGCTTGATTGTATCATTGTACTTCAGTTGTACCAGTATGTTCCTATTGTTTATGTCGACCTTTCTCCACGGCACATCATTTTGGTATCATTGTACATGTACACACGTCTTCAATATTGACTGTATAATTTCGTGTGCGATATCAAGGACAGAACTCTTTGTCAGCAACAGATTTCTGTCTGATCCGGATTGCTGTCTAAACCAAACATACACCCAAATCCAGTGCAAATCTTGAGAAGACAGATTCCACTGTATTTAATATTTATTCACGGTTGCAAAATGCTTCAAAACGGTGGGATCAATGCAGTCCAAATGACTTGCCAGCCTTATTGAGTCTGGTTATACAACAGCTGCTTTCTTACCAGGAAACGCAAAGCTAGACTGCTCTGACAACCAATGGATTATTCCGTAGAATATTTGCAGTTGCTTCTCGTAACATTGCTCCAAAATGAGACAAAAATTATTTTGTGACTTATAAACTGAGAATGTGTCACGGCCTTGACATTGTTACACCTCAGTCGTAATTCCTACCCGGAAACTCTAATCAATGTCAAAGGTGGAGTAGTAGATATTCCATTTATGGCTTTAGATATAGTCAAACTTGTATTTGGTAATCGAAATTATATTTTGTACTTCAAACAAAAGAATATTGCAAATGTATGTTTACCACATGTAAAACTTAAAACAACATCTTATATAACTACTTAACTGTACTGTATTTTGCTAAACACCAGATGATATTCCAAGCAATAAGAGGAAAAGGATACAAGAGCGATATCGCCATTGATGATGTCGTATTCACAGATGCCTCTTGTCAAAGTAAGTGTCTCTTGATCAGTAATGATAATTCACCCATAAGAGGGTCCAAATTCGTTCCTTTTATTAGTTACGTCCTTGTGATAAGTTAATCAATATTACTTAGAAGGAAACGAGGTTCTGATCAATTTTCAGCCTTAAAGTAAAATCCATGAAACAGTCTGCATTTACTTCGAATATTGAAAATGTAGGATTTAGAGTATTGATCTCTTTGACGAATACAAGCAAATAATATTTTTCAGTCCTTCCATTCGAAGCCAACCCTGCCGGTCCTACACTGTCTCCGATACCAACGTCGTCATCAGCACCGTCCACTACGCCGGGTGAGCAAAGTTAACACCTAGACGTGAATAACGTGTCGTTTCCTTCATAACATTGTGTAGGCTATTGTTTGATTATGTTGTCTGCCTGCTCCATGTTCACTAAGCCACTGAAGTGGTTGTATCTCAGCAATATGCCATTGACGCGTGGTTGTTGCGTTGACATTCACGGAAAACATTTTTCGATTTCGAAAAGGACACAGTTATGACTTTAGACCTCAGTAAAACTCACACTTGGCTATATTTTCGGTAAAGGTAACATCTGTTTTGTATTAGATCTTTGTTTATCAAAGAACGCAAAGCTGGACGTCCTAATAGTTTGTGTATTCGCCATTCATGTTGGAGATCAATGTTTGACGCCCAGCATGTTTGTAATTCGAAAAATCTAGTCTTAATATTTCCATTTGGGCACAGTGACACGTCCTTATAAACGATCTATGGATAACATTATTTTGTTTCAAAAACGACTTTGTGTGTATTGTTTTATTAATGACTTTGAGCATATAGGATAACAACACTGGCTTCCAAACTACGATGTAGGTTACAATGACAAAATGTGAAAAGAAATGGGTGAACATAATAGGACATCTGTAATTGTATTGTGTCACATTATTATTAATGTATCATAAACCATCACAAAAAGTTATTCGATGATGTCATACTGCCTTACAGTTCCATCCCCTTATGACTGTAACTTTGAGACGGGCTACTGCAAGTGGACACAGGCCAAGGATGACCAGTTTAACTGGACCCGAGCTCGTGGCCCTACCGTCACTCAGGGGACTGGGCCCTCTAGTGACCACACTACAGGAAATGGTACCGTGATTTTCTGGGAGTTGTTTCACAATAAATAATGATATTCTTTCTCAATTATTATATATATATCATAAAATGGAATATGTATTTATTTCTGTCCTTGTGTAACTAACTAGTCAAATAACTAACTAACAAGTCCTATGGCCTTGTGAAGACACAGTGGCGGAGAGATTGAGCACGAATTCTGCAGGACACATTGGGAGAGAGGCCTTTTTGTCCAAACGTTTGTTATGAAACTAAAAGTATGTTAGATGTGCAAGAATGTACAAAATTACCATCACAGCGTTATTTCTACTGGCGCTGTTATCAGTATAATACAAATCTAAAAAATTTCAATGAATGATTTTTAATTAGATCTTACTAAATGGTAAATATGTAATTATATTTTGAGAATTTGGACCTTTTGGACCCATTTACCTGGGACCGTACTTCCTCTCATCATAGAAAGATAAATCCCTCAATGTAAGTGCACTTCAGATCTGGTGTACAAACATGCATGTTTTGTTACATGGAAAAGCAAAACAATAACATATTTATAAATACTGACAGTGCCTTGTTGATAAATATGTTTGTTATTCTAGGAAACGGATATTACATCTTCATCGAGACTTCATATCCGCGAAAGCCAAACGACACAGCCCGTCTGTTGTCCCCAAGTCTGTCAAGCACATCTGGCTCATGTCTGCGCCTGTGGTACCACATGTACGGCCCTCACATCAACAGACTCAGCGTCTACACCGTCGTCGCCACCAAAAGAACGCAGATATGGACCAGAGCAGGAACTCAGGGCAACAGTTGGAAGCAGGCTGTCATTGACATTACAAGTCCACAGACATTCCAGGTACGACGATGATGATGATGGTGGTGGTGGTGGTGGTGATGGTTGTGATGACGATGATGATGATGATGATGATGATGACGATGATGATGATGATGATTGTGGTAGTGGTGGTGGTGGTGGTGGTGGTGGTGTTGGGTCAGGCAAACCAATTGTTGGTAGTGTTCGGACTATGTACAAATTCAGGGTACAATGAAATACATCCAGGTCAGACATTGCAACCACCAGATCCTCATTGTAGTTCTTATGCTCTTACGACCAACATGTTGTGCTAGTGCTTCCTTTCCGACATGCTTTATGTCCCGCTGGATAATCAAGACAATGATTGTTGTTATCTTTTGGAGGTAACAAAAACGATGACAGTGACGACTACAAAAATAGTCATGATTCTGGTGTGACGACAAGGATGACGTTTGTAACTGTAGAAAACACTTTTATCCGAACCATGCAATCCAATAGCACTTATTGCTGCTTCACGAAGCATGTCCTTGATGTCCCTGTGAGCAGTACCACGTCGCCCTGCACTGGGATGCATCACACCCACCTGCCAAAGCCTCATTTTCACACTTTATTACAGATTGCCGTTGAAGGGATGCGTGGTCTAAGTTTCCAAGGCGACATAGCTGTTGATGACATTAACTTCTCCAACCACCCATGTCCTTCATCAACAAGTAAGATAAGAGTTCATGATAAATACTTGTTCGTGTACCAAACCCCTTTCAGAAGCCAAATAACGTATTTCCTGTGCAGATGAACATTTTGTAAGGTGTTGCTTGTCCAACCATTAATGGAGACACTAATATTTTGAAAACATAACTATCTTTTACGTTTCAATAATATTTCAGTTGCCGACTGTGATTTCGAGGACATCCACCTGTGTGGCTTTCATCAGACCAGGACAGGCGACAAGTTTGATTGGACTTGGACAACACAGAGGACCTCTAGCGTCAATACTGGACCCAACGCTGATCACACATACGGAACCAACAGAGGTGACTATGAGTATTTTATGTAAACTGTTACATCCCCAAATATGGATCATCCGTTCTTTTCAGTCATCCCAGTTCACTCTTCGGAGCTCTTTAGTTGTGCCAGAATCCGATAGTCATGGGTACGAATCAAAGATTCGCCGTGATCATGATGCATGATTTGTCTTCATGCTTTGCGGCCGAGTGGCAAACGTCTGAAAACAGATTTACAATTTTAATCCTTTGCTGTCCATACTGTTCACCATCTGTTGTTGAAACACAAAAACAACATATTTATATGGGTTTCTTAGATTGTGTCTATTTGGTTGGTTAGATTGGAGATTCCAGTTTTTTTCAGCTTTCTAATTGTATTTGTTTGTGTAAATTTAATCAGTTTTCTAATCATCGTAATATTTTCTTGATCATTTCTAAGTAATGTTACGATGATTATATTTATCAATTTTTCTTCTTCTGTTCATATTGTGTTTGTTTAATATCACATTTTAGGAATGATGTGTTTGTGAGATTTCTAATTATGATCATATCATGCTTCCACAGGTCATTATCTGTACACGGAGGCCAGCTCTCCACGTCGGAGGGGTGACAACGCCTTACTAATAAGTCCAATCTACCCGCCGAGCTCCGGCGAGTGTCTTCAGTTCTATTATCACATGTACGGTTCAACAATGGGCTCAATGAATGTGTACAGACAGCCGGCTTCTGGTCCAAGGGTAAAGATCTGGAGCAAATCTGGTAACCAAGGCAACACGTGGCAGATCTCCCAAGTATCCCTGACAAGCACCACCAATTTTACCATAATATTTGAAGGCATCATTGGCAGTAGCTACTACAGCGACATGGCCATCGACGACGTCAGTATCAAAAACGGTCGCTGCGCCCTACCAGGTGCGTGGACGATCAATGATAGTATCGTTGTGTTACAATATTAATATAAAAAGGGTAAATTGAAAAATTGACTTTATTTATTGTAAAACTAACACCAAACGAGTCGTGGTGAATGTGTAACTGGGAAAGCTGCTGAACCGATTTTTGATTAATTCCATTTACAAATGGGTAGATAACTCTGGGTGGGGGAAAACGGGGGATGGTGTGTGAGAATAACACAGGATCGTTTGATGGCATTTATAGCTAGATATAACCATTGCTTTGGCAACAATGTTGCTTTAATTGAAGACACATCGATGTGGCATTAGTGGCGTGGGTCCTCATCACGCTTGTTCGAATTACTCGAGCAAATTAAAGTCAGATGAGTTTGAGTGAAATGTGAAGCATGTGCGGTATGTTGATTATCAAAAGGGGCGGTGCTAGTGTTTTATGATATGTCATTACAGGAAACTGCGACTTTGACAACGGCTGGTGTACATGGATAAACGTAAAATCTGGAGACAAATTTGACTGGCTGCTTTTGAAAGGTCACACAACAAGTTCATATACGGGACCAAGCTTCGATCACACAACGCAAAGTGCCAATGGTAACATAATTGAAAATATTCACAATACCATATCTTTTTCATATTCATTCACACATGCTATAAAATGCAACAGTGTCACGTTGCAATAATAATAGTAATGATAATAATAATAAAGATTTGTTTTGTGCACTTTTGCACATATTAATTGTCTGATGATCCTCTTGTGAAGCATGACAAGACTCATGATGAATGTTGATGGTTCTGTACTGCTAGACAGTACAGTAATGAGTGTCATCCAAGCGAAGTGCCCAGGCTTAGTTTTTCAAGGAGAGACTTTCTGAACGATAGACTGCATCAAGTTTATGTGCAGTGTGTTGAGAAGATCAGCAATCCTGCAGATTCCTTCGCTTGGATGAGGTCGTCTGGCCTGAAAAGTGAAACTGAAGGCTTTCTGTTCGCTGCTCAGGACCAGCCATTTACCACTCGAAACCGTCATTATGTGATTTTGCATCAAAATCAAAATATGAAATGTAGATCATGTAATGAATTTAATGAGACTGTCCAATACAGTGCCCAGCTTTGGCACAAACACAGTATCTGAAACGACATGATGGTGTAGCTCGATCATTTTATTACCCTCTTCGCCATGCTTGTGGTTTTGACACAGAGGTCCCACCCATGGTACGACCCGGAATATGTAGAGGGCGTCATGGAAAATTATAGATACAAAGTTCTTTGGAGTAGGCCCATTTACAGCCTTAGACGTATCAAGGCCAACAAACCTGATCTTGTCCTTTTTGATAAATCCAATGAAATCGTTTATATTATTCAATTTTCTTGCAACCCAAGTACCAAGTTGTCCGACTCCCCGTTGTTCTCGGTGCATTAGGTTTGGTACCTCCAAAACTGTTGACTGACATTGGGAGAGTACGCGGGTTTGCTACCAGGGATACAGCCCTTCTGACAATCTGGGTAATGCAGAAGGCTGCAGTGTTGGTGAGTCAACGTGGGTTTGAGTAGGCAGCACTGTCTGAGGTGCGTGTAGAGAGAAGTCCCATTCGCTGTCTGAGCTGCATGTAGAGGGGCAAGGGCCCTGAGCTGATGATGAGCCTAAGTTTGACAAAAGACACTCATTACAGCTGGACAGGAAATGGAATCCAGTGGAAGAGAATAGTCGCTCTTTAAGATTGTTCTTGGTGTTTGTAGGTCAGTACGCCTATATCGAATCATCCAGCCCCCGTCGTCCAGGTGATAATGCGCTCCTTGAGAGTCAGGTCTTCCCTTCCACTGCTCTCCGGTGCTTCAAGTTCTGGTACCACATGCTAGGCAGTGGAATTGGGACCCTCAATGTGTACAAAGTGTCAGGGAACAACAAGGTCTTGATGTGGTCACTCAGCGGAAACCAAAAAGATTTCTGGCACTTCGGGCAGTTTGGAATCAAAAGCCCAACTGGCACATACAAGGTACAAATAAAACTATCGGTAAACGTGAGTGAATGAGTTGGATTTCGTCCGCTTTGAGCAACATTTGGGTCACCAGAGAGGAAAGACGTTTAATCTTTTGAATCACATACAGATTAGTTACTGACGTTGCAAACGTCTAATCTTTGGAAGCACATGGGAAAACTTTACTGACAACATCAACGCTTAATCTTAGGAAACACTTACGAGTAAGTTACGCATGTCGTAGATGTTTAATCTTTGGAAACACAAGCAAACAAGATATGCATGTCGTAGAGTTTAACCTATGAAAACACATGTGAACAAGTTACACTTTAATCTTCGGAAAAAACATACAAACAAGTTTTGCACATTGTCGACGTTTTATCTTTGGAAACACATACAAATAATTTTCGCAAATCGTAGACGTTTAATCTTCGGAAAAACAAATGAACAAGTTACCCACGTCAGACGTTTAACATATTCTGCTCTGGTTTACTGTAACAATGAGATATGAATACCTTGTGAAGCCTTGATTTTCTTAATCACCAAAGGTCACATGTTACCCTTTATTGCATTTTAGATTCAACTCGAGGGCATTGTTGGGAGCAGCTACACAGGCGACATTGCTGTCGACGACGTCAGCTTCACTAACGACAACTGTGCCAGTAAGCATGCTGTGTCACCTTGAGAACTTTGGAAATGATGCTTATTCTGTATATTCCGATGACGCTTTGCCGTATTCATTGCATTGATGTTAAAATCAATATGATGTTGATTATTGATTATTATCATTTAAATGATCATGGTGAAATTACGAAAAGAAAGTACCGGAGTTTATATGGTGAGTAATAAATATAATATTGTTATATTTGTTGACCTGCCCATGATGATAATGTTAACTTTGCTGTTGCAGTTCAACCAACTACAGCCAACCCCAGCTTGCAGTCGACAACGTCCACAGTGCCACCTAGTCCAACATCACATTTCTCAACACCCAGTAAGTTAAAGTCTAAGTCTAAGCAACTAGCTGTGTTCTATATTCCGAGTTGCGTCCCTCAGCTAACATGGTCCGTTGTTTCCAGGGTTAGGATCACTCCATAAACACGTACTCAGGCATAGTCTCTCACAAACGGCAACAACTCTACAATTTGAGATTTACATGAGATTTGTAATCGGCTCTAAACCAAACGGAATCACCATTTGTCGAAAACATGTTGAATGGTACATGAGAGTGTCAGAAAGCATATCAAAGGCACAAAGTCTGTCATTAATCCCATTTGTTGCAAGTTAAATGTACCAGAATAGGTGAAACTGAGATACATGTACCTTGTATTACGTTTTGTTGCAGCACCCACTCAATACGACTGCAACTTTGAATCTGGCACATGTATGTGGACTCAGTCCATGACTGACGACTTCAACTGGACCAGGTCCCAAGGTCCCACAGGGTCACTGGAAACTGGACCCACTAACGATCACACCAAAGGCACTGGTAGGTCCCTGTCCTTTCCACTTAGACTTGTTTGGAGTCTTGTCCGATCATCAACAAACATGGAGTGTTTACAGCTTATGTGGAGATTCCCAGGGAGGCCAAGTCGTTTAAAGAAACTACATTCATTAAGTGTTTTCTGTCTCAGCATTCAATCCATGTACATTCGAGTCCCAAATTCGGGCTCATTATGATCCTTGGTTTGTCAGCACCAGAAGGATTTACATTGTTTCTTAACAACTTTTCACCAAACTCGCTCTATCACTCTTATATGCTGTTGCCACACATGTAGAAAATACAATAACCGGTATGTCTGCCATACCAGTAGAGGCAAATAACATTCCTAAACCTTCCAAACTTACAAAGAATAAAAACTGAGAATATTTTCTGATTCAGGACAAGGATGGTACATGTTCATCGAAACATCAAGTCCAAGGAAGCCAAACGACACTGCCCTTCTTGTCAGTCCGGTGATCCAGGCCGGGCCTACCAGATGCATCAGTTTCTGGTTCAGTATGTATGGCCCGGATGTTAATACGCTCAATGTTTATATGAAACCATCCACGGGAGGTTCAGGGAAGGGAACGCTCATCTGGACTCGGTACGGAACTCAGGGCAATCAGTGGAACCATGCTGATGTCACCGTCATACCCAGTGGAAACTACCAGGTAATCCTCTGTGTATTTTGATGAGAAGCAATGTCTTGCAGTAAACACAAGCGCCTTACGAGGGATGAAAGAGTTCGTCCAGGACGGTAACAAGTTACCTACCTACCTACCTACCCACCTACATTCCTTGTGTTCCTACTTGGCGTAAATAGTAGATACCCTATATGGATCCCCTGTTTTGGTTTGTAAGTACAGCTCAATGTGTTTTTGTAGATACTGTTTGAGGGTGTCAGAGGACTAAATTTCAAGGGGGACATTGCCATCGATGACATCAGAGCTGCTATGGGACCATGCCAATCAATAGGTAACTATGATAGCGGGATGATCATTGATTCAGTTGGGTAAACTGAAGTTAATTAAAACCACGTTCTAAAGTAGGTGACGCAAGTTGCACATCTGAAACTCAGGTAAATATAAACTACAAAATCAACACTGAAAGTACACTTTCACTTAAATGTGTTTACACGTTTCTTGGGATGATTTTCTTTAATTTGATTAAGTCCATCGGGTTTTCTAAACTGTTGACATTGATGTATACAATTCATCTGGAAACCATAACCATAACATGATAGAGGAGCTATCAAATCTACCCACCAATACTTATGATCCGACAGCCTCAAGCCACTCATGCAACTTCGAATCAGCAACTGTGTGTGGCTACACTCAGGACAAGACAGACGTGTTTGACTGGACCTGGCAACATGGGTCTACCTCCAGCTCCGGGACAGGTCCCACGACAGACCACACGACTGGCACACATTATGGCCACTACGTCTACATCGAAACCTCTGCACCGCGACGTCCCAACGACACAGCACGTCTGATCAGCCCCACCTACACATCTACCAACGGTCAGCCACGCTGCGTGCAGTTCTTCTACCATATGTACGGTAGCAATATCGGCACCTTTAATGTGTATAGTATTCCGGAAAATAACCCAACCAACAACTTAACTAATCCATCATGGACTAGGTCGTATAATCAAGGCAACAGATGGTTGAAGGCATTGGTTCCTGTCTACACGCCTGGAAATTTCAAGGTGAGTGAGAATTATTTTATGCCTCTTTGACACATATTCAGCGGTGTAAGACGACGACACCAGAGTGGATTTAAAGGTGTTTAGAGGGGGAAATTTAAACATATGCTTTCAAATTGGTTGTTCTTTTAAAGAGATAACTGAAGTGGACCAGACTTATGGATTGACTGATGTGTGATCTGTCTGTTTGTCTTTCCGTGATCGGTGCTCATGAAGTTTACGACTGGTTCATCTTGTCCAGACTCCATTACTTGGTATAATGTAGGTAGATAAATAGATGTACTGCAAACAGAGAGCTATTTACCTTACTCTCTGTGGTTTATTATTCTTCCTATCCTAGGTCGTCTTTGAAGGCATAGTTGGTACAAGCTTCCTGGGTGACATTGCCCTGGACGATGTTTTGGTCGGTCAGGGAGCATGCCCTAAATCAGGTAGGTTAAACCTCAGGTATTACTTGTGTCCAAAATTAAGTATTCATTCTTCATATTTTAAGTAGGAAGTAACATTTCTGAAAATTCTCCTATTTCCTTCAAGAAAATCATCCATTTTTTCTCAATATATATCAACAACTTACACGTGTGGCACGAAAGTTGCATATAACAAAGAACTGTTGTGATAGGGGGAAGTAAAGAGGCGGACATATGAAGTGTTGAGTCTCTAACATGATCCGCTGTTCTCGTTTGAGTCAAGATTTGCCACGGTGGTGATCCTTGGTCGTTTATATTAGCACAATCACAGTGCTCTTAGAATCAACGAAACAGTGAACATCTATATCATCCCTCTTTCAACATAAAGGTGAAACATGGTGATATAACTGAAATATTTTTAAACAGCATTACGCCCACTCAGTCACTCACTCACCCATCAAATAATCATATAGATAACCAAGCTTACTTTCCAAAATCACAGGATTCTGCGACTTCGAGCAAGACATGTGCACTTGGTCCAACACTCGTTATAACGACAATTTTGATTGGATGCGGTCAAAGGGTAGGACAACTAGCAGTATGACCGGTCCCAGCGTTGACCACACTCTTAGCAGTGGCGCCGGTTACTACATGTTCATGGAGGCCAGTTCACCTCGACTTCCTGGAGACCGGGCGCGTCTCATGAGCCAGGTGAGCCATAGAAGCACACACAATATATGATCTATTGACTTACCTGAATCAACTTCAAGTTCAACAACACTGGTGATTGTGTGTAAAACAATGGTTTGGTGAAAGCTCTTCCAGATGAAATTAAGTAAATTAAGTACTATTTCTTAGGGACCGACGATTCGATATTCTGGGGTGGAGAGGCTAGCATTTTTGTTTGAGACAGATTATTCTTTTGGTCATCACTTTTACTGAACTGAACTTAACTTTATTACACTCTGGCCGCTGTCAGCGCCATTAGAGGTACAGCATTGATACATCAACATAAACTTCCCTATATACAAATATACAAATATACAATATATATCAACCGATTTCCCGAGCAGTGGCTACAGTAAATAAGGATACAGGACAAGGTTCAGTTACGAGACATATTGATAGAGTTAAATAGCAGCATTGTCATTTTACAAAGAAAATGGATAGTTTTCTTGGTGTTACTATTCTTTTACTATTTTAAAGCGAATTCATTTTGTACACATTTTGGGAAATGTAAAAATATTTTCTAATTAGCTGTTTTCTCTCAATTGGAAATAGTGGACAGATAAAGCGATAGTGGAACTCATCACCTTAATCAAATGATTTAGTAAATGGACATTTTCTTTCAGTTAAAGGTATCTTTCTTCCTTCCATCTCCAAGTTTCAACTGGGAGCTCGAGATTGTGATTGGAGGTTCTAAATTTTAACAAGTCTCGCCAAATACTTACTTTTGTTTTAAAATAATGTTCGAAATTCAGAGATTCATTTTTTAACTCTGGTATACTTGGCTTCTTTGGAAGATGTATCTGGAGTGGCTTTCCACTATTGGAAATTGATATCATTTAATATGTTCTTAACCATATTTTTAAGATGATTTTGACTGAAAACTTTGTGATTGCCAAATGAAACTAAGGCTAAGATCATCAAAGATTTGTTTTGAAAAGGTTATCCATATATTTTTCCGTCTTTCAAATTAGTTATCCATATAAAATCGCTTGTTGATGAGTAAAGAAAATTTTGATGATTTTCTGGATAAGAGTTTTGCCCATAAAGAAACCATTCTGATCTTAACTACATATATTACAGAAGTTTACAATAAACCATATATAATTTGGGGTACTGGTCCTAAGTGATGTTAAATGTTTTTGGAAAGGTAGCTGGACATGTTCTATATAAGATAAAGTTTCGAGCCGCACGCTTCACATCCATATGGCAGAATCGGTAAGACCAAAATCGAAAAGTCGCAATTGGCAACCAACTGACAGACTAAATTTACGTCCTTGGGCCAAAACATAATACATTGATTGGGCTGCTTGCTCTAACAGATTTTGTTTTGTAATGATTAATTTAGAATTCTTCTGCAGGGTGATGCCTAGGTATTTGTAGGACCCAACATTTTCCAAAATATAGTTATAATCACGATTTTCCCTCCAAAATCCATTACTTTTGTTTTTAAAACATTAACCTAAAGCCTCCATCTATCACAATACTTATGAATAGATTCTAACATGGTTATCAAGTCCTGTATATTTGTTGTCATGAGGACTGTGTCTTCAGCATAAGTAGCTGTAACAACATACAATGTTACTCGGAAAGGAGGTGACTATCCTTGTCATAAGAGGCGACTAACGGGATCGCTGACTTGGTTGATACATGTCATCCAATGCTAATTGCGTGGACCGATGCTCATGATGTCAATCTCTCGATTATTACCGACCGCTGTCATATAGCTGGAATATTGCTGAGTGTGGCGTTAAACAACAAATAAACAAAACGAAAACGGAAAGGAGGAGGCAAGCAATTGTTTTAACCCACAATGCATTATTTTTCAGAATATCCAGCATGTCACCCCCCGCCTCTCTGAATAACCAAGGGTCCTTAACTGTCAGCACGCTCGAATTAAATCAAATGTTAAATGTATGCAATTCTACTCACGCGATATTAATGATCCGTTGATGACGTTGACACACACTGAACGTCAAGATCAACATCAATATCGTCAATGTGTTTGTTGGTTAGTGAATTCCTTAACTAAATTACGCCTTATATGATTGGTGTATCTGGTTGTAGACCTATCCTCCGGTCACTGGCGGCGCGTGTATGCAGTTTTGGTATCACATGTACGGCTCGGACATCGGCACGCTCAGAGTGAAAGTGTTGGTCAACAGCAGTCACGACTCAACAAGCACCGAGGCGACTTTGTGGGAGGTGAGCGGCGACTCTGGCGATCAATGGAATAACGGACAAGTGAACATCTCCAAGATCTACACCAGTAAACCCTATCAGGTATATATCACCACCTCGATCATCGTCGACAAGGATCCAGAGTTTCAGTTTGTATGTGTGTGTGTGTGTGTGTGTGTGGCTGGGGTGTTTCACATGTTCAGCTATTCAGTGTGGTGTGAGAGTTGGTGAGTGATACAAAGGTTTATGTTTAAGTTCAGCTTTATAAATCCTGATGGCAGAGTTCCAAAACATCTTTCAAAACAACTGGTAATATATATTTTTATGCCCGACCTTAGTATGTCGGACTATGCGCAGTCGACTACATTTTGTAACAATTCATCTAGATAATCATCGAGGGAGTAAGAGGGAAAGGTTACCATGGCGACATTGGCTTGGATGATATCAGCGTTACCAAAACCCCATGCCAGACTGTGCCGAGCTATGCACCACCATCAAGCCAAGGTAAATGCATGTTTTGAATTATACTTAGGACTTTTTCTTATATTCTTTCTTATCCTACAAATGATTTTCTTCCTCGTACCATTTCCGACAATATGTTTGAAGAACAGATGCTATCAACTTTCACTAAAATTCGACGAGACGGAAAAAGCCTCTGATTCTTGCTTTTAGTTTAAATACTTTATTATACACCATTTCAAAAACTGATTATTATGATTAAAATCAAAACACAATGTCATGCTTATAAATAAATGTTTCCCTTGCGCTGATTGGAGCCTCTAAGAATACCCATCATGTGTTTCAGTCTCAGGCAGTGCAATGTGCGGCTTTGACTCAAACAACATCTGCAGCTGGACCCAGAGTTTAGCGGACAACTTCAACTGGACACTCAACTCTGGACATACACCATCTTCAGGCACTGGACCTATCGGCGACCATTCTGGAATGGGTCAGACTCTGTTTTCACGATATCAACAATGGTGTAAAACTATTCAAGGATCATGCTATATAAACGTTTTTGAGTGCATTTGTGAGAACATAAGTCGAAGGTACCACAATGACCGTGCAATACTGCCGTAAAGATACCCACTGGTCATGGGTTCAAACCCTATATTTACCGCAACTATTATCATTCGAATTAAGCGCTAATATGGTACTCATTGATTTTACCAACGTGATAAATGTGAAGTAACCACTTTACGTTGTACCTTACTCGCAGATGATGCTGGACTACAGTGAGAACTAATTCAGAAATATTAATCATAGCTATGGTAAAACTCACACATCTGTGTGTATACTCCTTCTGACAGAATATACATGTTTCAGCATGGATAGAGATAGCATTGATTTTCAGCAATCCATGCTTGTCGTAAGAGTCGACTAAAGGGATTGGGTCGTCAGGCTGATGTCAGTCACTACATTGGCTGGTCCAGACTCAATTATCTGCAGACCGCTGCCATGTCCCTGGAATACTGCACTGTTAAACAAGAAACAAACAAGTAAACAAACAAATTAAATTTTCATACCTTTAGGGTCTTACCTTTACCTGGAGTCATCCTACCCAAGGAAGCCTGGCGACAAGGCTGTGCTGGTGTCCCCAGTGTTGCCCCCAACTGGCACCACCTACTACTGCTTTAATTTCTGGTACCACATGTATGGACCAAACATCGGCGCCCTCAATATTCGGGTAAACATCGGTGGACAACAGCTGTTGAAGTGGACCAAGTCCGGTACACAAGGAAACAGATGGCAACAAGGACATTTTAACATTATCAGCAAAACCAATTTCCAGGTATCTTTCGAAGATTTGTGTATATTTTGGTATACGTTTAACCCTATTTACGCTTGTCGGCATTTGATCTCAAGCTTTCAATATTAATTTGGTTCGTTTTTCGGATTTAGGATAATAATTGCCAGTTTGTATTAATGCATCATATAGATGAAATTTCACAGGAATCAAAGGAAGGAAGCAACGACCCATTTTTGGCCTACAATGCTATGTCTTCTGTTGGAAGTTAACACTCTCAGCCAACTGTCTTTATGATAATGTTTGACCTAGTATCCGTTCGTGGTGATACACCACAGTGTTGAAATATCACAGGGAACAAATTACCTGTAGCTCTGTTACCTTTTAGGGGAAATAATGTCTTCTTGATATGGACAGTGTGCCAACGATCTACACATGCGTAATGTTTTGTTACCGGCAGGTGACAGTTGAATAACTATTCCTTGTTTCAGATCTTTATTGAAGGAACAGTGGCGAATGGAGTCTTCGGTGACATCGCTATTGATGATCTAAGCATGGCTGCCAACGCCTGCCCTGGAACAAGTAAGAATTAGCGTGAATCACGATAGTAATTGTTGAAACGTCAAGTAATATGGAGTTGTAGTGCGGTTTGATCATAAACCAAGGCTACACGGATATAATTCTTTTGTACTTTTGAAATAGATATTCAATTAAGGATTGACTGTGTATTTTTTCGGTTCATTAAGGTATGAACCTCAATGAAACGAGGTTCATATGCGGATTCATACAGTTTGCACATCAGTTTTTCGATTCACACCTCAATGAACCGAAAAAATACACAGTCAATGCTTATAATTAAATTTGACAATGAAAATATGTTTATCAACTATAGTTAAACCAAAAACAGTTGTATATATCAAAGCAGACAAAAATAACGAGATTGATAAACATTCCAGGTGTAGGAATACATACTGTGGCGTGTTATGAATCAGGTGATTGTTTAATCTGTGCACATAACTTGACACGCCTACACCAGTCAGTAACCAAACAACGAAGAGTAGGATCAAAACAATGTTCATAGAACCTGTCAATCAAGGCAAGAGGCGAGAAGATCTGCAAGTCAGACTGTAACATACCGGAAGAAACATGTCCGGGAGAAAGCGGTGGTTTCAAAACATATGGTCAGTTACCACCAGATTCAAACATTACTTCCCTGAAAACTAGAAAACACACTTGGAAAAATGCTTGGTAGAAATGAAACCCGAAGACATGAAAGTTGTGGAACCGAGGTGAGCGGGAAAAAAACAGGCGACCGAGCATGGACGTTTGCCATTTCATTCCTTCTCGGCCTTCGGTTTCAAAGAGTAGTTTGGACAATGAATATATGTCGCTCAATGTCCTGTGCATGACAATACACGTGAGCAGAAGGGATTACCCTCGACTGTAATATTGGGATTCCCAGACATTCCACAGTAATAAAGTAGTGCCCCTCGGCGGGCGTGGCTTAATTTTTTACATTCATTGGGAAATGAATGCAATAACACGACACTGACCAATTCAGCTAATCAGAATGCAGGAATTTCAATGAACGTAACGAAAATTTTAATTATTTTACTTCGATGGTTTCGTCAATGAAGTTCTTTACTACAGAACTGTGCGACTTTGAGATTGACACCTGCGGCTACACACAAGATAAAACGGACAACTTTGATTGGCTGAGACATTCACAGGGAACGACGAGTTTTGCAACAGGGCCGAGCGTAGATCACACGGAAGGAACAGCTGGTGGTAGGAATATGATGTTATTTAGATGTTGAAACGTTATAAGAGATTCAAACATTATGAATCGACAAAAATGGAATAAGTAACTTTTATATGTACACGTGTTATCCAAACTTATTTAGGATATCTTCTCCATGTGATACGCCTGAATGCGTGAATAAAGGCAGGATACATGTACCACATCAATATGGTAGGGATTGGAGAGATTTTATATCTACGTACATGTTTCTCATAACCATAAGGATATAGTGATTGTTACAAAGGTATAAACAAAGACTGGAAAAGTGTTTTGTTTTTGTTTGTTTTTTGCATATTTTTATATGACACATGATCAAAAATTATATCTATACTATGAAGGACATATATTTGTTTGATTTTTTTCACCTAAAACCGTCTATAAACATCAGACACTTCCTACATTCTAAAGTCACATTCTGATCCAATGGCAATCTGCACTTTCAACCTTTCAGTTTATCAAAGAGCAAATTTGCAAAGTCGCGAGAACAAAATATCCATAACATTATCCCAAACCATATCGGACCTTGAAAAAGTGTGATTTTAAGCATTACATGTAAAAGTTAAGATGGAAATAAACAATATATTTCAGGTTACTACATGTATATTGAGGCCTCAGCTCCACGCTTACCACACGACAAGGCAAGAATGGTCTCCCCAGCATACCAGCAGACATCCGCAGAGTGCCTGCAGTTCTACTACCATATGCACGGCAACACCATGGGCAGCCTCAACGTCTACGTCTCTGTCAACGGCAACAGGGGCAGCCCCGTGTGGACACGGAGTGGTGAACAGGGAAACAAGTGGATTCTTGGAGAAGTGACCGTCAAGGCATCCACTAAATATCAGGTAAACAACATGTTTTATTACTTGGATCACAAACTACGATAAATGGGCACCTGTTGACAAAGCAGTTCTCTTTCATTCATTGAATCATAAATAATGCCAAGTGCCTTTCTATTTTGAGAGAACTTTTTTCATATGTTTATTACTGTCTGGATTAAAAGTCTATTAGTTACATGTGTATCATGTCCCCTGGCTTAATGTGGGAACAAAACCAAACGTGACACATATGGTGTTAGTGTTTACAACTGTGTTTAAATCCAGAAGCTCAGGTACGCTGATGACAGCTCAATGATCATATTTGGAGTGGGTCTTGAATTTAAACCCATGATTATAGCAGCCTGGTACATGTAGGGGGTGCAACTCTGCACGGTGACTTGTAATACGTAGGCCCATGACGATCCATGCCGCCAGATGTTAAGGGTTTAAGATATGAAGATCACCCAGACCAAATACATATTGTTCCAGAAATACTTATATCCGAGTACACATTACTTTTTTGTTTGCTTACAAAGGTGGTGTTCGAAGGTGTTCGAGGAAGCAGCTACTACAGCGACATTGGTCTCGACGACATCTACATCGACAATGCGGCATGTCCGACGCCTGGCTCTTGTGACTTTGAAACTGGACTCTGTGCCTTTACAAATATTCAAGGGGATGATTTTGATTGGACACGTGCTAAGGGTGCTACCCAATCGTATTATACCGGTCCTTCCACTGACCACACCACAAACTCTGTGAATGGTGAGAGTACGACTTTCCACACAACTATTTCATTTATATATCTGATGTTAGAGGAATGTTTTTTCCCTTGGGTCCCCATATCACTTTACATTCCGACAACCCTTTGAGGATTCTGGTTAGAACTGCTCTCCAGCAACATATGATGATCGTAAGATGGCATGGCTGACATTGTATCAATCACTAGATTATCTAGTCAAGGCCCGATTATTTACAGCCGTCTGTCATGTAGGTGGAATATTGCTGACAGCGGCGTTAAACAACATAAAACACACTTTGAGTAAGCTTTTCAGTCCTTTTACACAGCTGTGAGTCGGTATTCATAATTTGCCCTATCTATTACGTGAAGTATATCAGATCCATATCCGATATTCTATGTCTTAAAATTACTTCAGACACTGGGAGTACTCTTACCCAGGATCACCACCTGGCAAACTACCCTCATTATTAACACATCATTATTTTCAGGCTACTACATGTTCATTGAATCCAGTTCCCCAATGGTGACGGGTGAAAAGGCGTGGCTTCTTAGTGAGAAGTTGCCAGCTACAACAGGCTCTTGTCTCACTTTCTACTACAACATGAACGGAGCAGGCATGTACAGTCGTGTTTTCTCTAACTGACTGCATAATGAAATACTACTGACAGGCCTTCAAACATGTTGAGATGTCAATATTATACTCCAGATATGAAATATCAATGTCATTTCCTCAAATAATATAAATATACCAGTAGATACTATTAAGTTTGAGTATTAACGGACCGCTCACGTGCGCATCTGAATATTTATGTATGTGCCTGCAGATGACTATACTCACACAAATGACTTAAGTGGACACTTCAAGGTCTTACCGTGTACTCTTCATGTACCATCTGTTTTCAAGGTATGGGAACTTTATCCGTGTACCAACTGGGCACGTTGTCAAACAAGACCATCTTCAGTGTCACTGGGAACAAAGGCAATGTCTGGCTGCAAGATCGGGTAACTCTCACCTCAAACACTCCCTATCGGTTCATGTTTGAGGGCAAAAAGGGAGTAAACTACACAAGCGACATGGCCATTGACGACGTCAGCCTGCTAGTCGGAAATTGTGCCTCTCAGACGACACCAGGACCCTCGACAGTCCAGCCTGTGTCCACCACAGGTGAGAGGCCAGACTGCTGCTTATAGAGCGAGATCCCGTCAGGCATTGACACTTAATAGACTAGAGGTGGGGTGGATTGGGACGGATTGGTCAACTGTTTTGGTCTGCAAAAAGCATATTTATTTCTAAAAGAAGTGGCCAATATCTTTTTTGACAAGTTTTTTTTCAGGACACGCTGCGTGTCCAGCGAAATTGATTATTCTTTACTAGATAAAAAATGAGGTTAACTGAATTAATTTCAGACAATCATAATAAGGTTTTTGATTTCAATAAGACATTTGTAAAGTATGGTACAATGTCAATGAGATGAAGAGACAATGGTACCATTAACAATTAATAATTACTAATAATAACATGAATAATACTCGTCTCGCCCGTACTTGACTCTGATGCGGGCATGAGATGTGTGGTGAGAACAACATAGGTTTAAGACGTGTTCATAATATTGTAAATAAAACCACCTTTAGCAGAAACCTAATGGGCACTATGGTCCATTATTGTAATCTCAAAAACATGATAACTCGAATCTATGGTCCCAAGAGCTTCGGAATGTCATTATTTTGGGTCAATAATTGTTGTTGAACCTTTGGAGAGAATACTCCATTGACAGGGAATCCCTATACAACAGCTGTTCTGTTTGCAGCTCCACTTTACAGCTGCGACTTCGAGCATGGCTCTTGTGGATGGTCGCAAAGTTACACTGACTCATTCGACTGGACGCTCCACCAAGGCTCCACCGGAAGTGTAGGAACTGGACCAAGCTTTGACCACACAACGATGAGCACACAAGGTAGCCCCTAATGCGTATGGATTGCTGTAACGTGTACTTTCAGGTCCAAAGGACTTTTAAGACCAATTCGATCTATCCAACATATACTGCTCACATAGACAGTAATGTGTATTATCACTATTTTGGGATTATAGTGTGTTTTGTCATAACCAACATTTCGCTTTATCCATCTTTGTTATATTCAGTGTACATCCAATATGTGAGTAGTGCATATACAATAAAACTGAGTGTCTGTAATACTTCATTGCAAACGTAGTATTACAGTGGCATCATACAGACCTGAAACACCAGGTACCTCGTAAGAGTTCATCAAATACCATTTAAAGAAACCGTCTCATGCTCCTTCAGAAGTATTGTCCTCTGATAACGCTGGACTTTTGTCCAATCCTACTGCTCCTTGATCTGGTAGGGGAGAACAGGTATTGGTGCAAACAGTTAATTCTCACTGACTTAAGAACTGGTTCATAGATCCGAATAATGACGGTTTCTTGTATCAAATTTCCTTTTGTTTAAGATGTCCTAGGGTGGAATGGCACACCCACATGTTCAAACTTATTTTACCCTCATATTATTTAGGCCACTACATCTACATCGAAGCGTCGGGGAAGCAGCCAAACGCATCAGCCGCCTTTGTAAGCCCAACGTTCACAACAACAGGTCCGACGTGCGTCACGTTCTGGTACCACATGTACGGTTACCATGTCAACCGTCTTGGAGTCTATCTGCAGAGCACCGGCAAGTTTCAACAACAGTGGACCAAAATCGGTACCCAGGGAAATCAGTGGAAATATGCTGAGGTGGAAATAGGAGCAGTCATTAATACCCAGGTGGGTCAACATTACACTTGTTCAATATGCATACAGCACTGATTATGTTAGCTCGTCCCTTAGATTCATTTAACTCGTTATTTTAAGTTGATTTCATAGAGTTGATACATTGTGGAGTTGTAGTGGTTCCATTCATTTCCTCCTTTTGACCGACCCGATTTTTTGCATTGATAAATTGATTGATAAATATTCTTATATTCTGAATCTGTAAATTTACTAATATCCACTTGAGAAGGAAGGGTCCTTTGTGGCCAAGCCGTCTCTGTGCAGTGTTGCGTCCCTTGGGCTCGCGAGAAACCTATGATCAAGGATTCAAATCTCGCTATGCCCTGAATATATGTATACCCGTGCACGTGGATTTCACCAAAACGGTAAAGCCTTCCATCACCTCTAGCTTTCCTCACACATCAATTTGACACCTGTGATATGTCGTAAATTCTGTTCAAAGCAGCTTTAACCCAAACGCATTGACACCCATTTTTGTATTTTCTATTGCATATTCCAGGTTGTGTTTCAAGCCCTGCGTGGTATCGGCTACCAAGGAGATATTGCCTTAGATGACCTCAAGATTCTCAACGGAGCCTGTCCTGCGCCATGTATGTTTATACGTAATAGACAAAACCAACTTCTTGTTCCTGACACTCTGTATACCAGTTCCTGTCATTTTGTAACCAAACTGTTTAAAAGACCTGCGATATAACTGAAATACTGTTCAAAAGAGGTTACACCACTTGGTAAACGTCTATGACCTGATGCACTTACGGCCCGCTTCCACTGGCACACAGTGATGTAACTTACACGTTGTGCTAATAAGATACACATTGAAGTAGAAATTACCATAACACATACTATGTTTTAGCATACTGTGACTTCGAAGACATTAAACTGTGCGGCTACACCCTGACCAGCACTGATTGGTCAAGAACACAAGGGACTGGACCAGTCAAAGACCACACATATGGAACAAGCCAAGGTTATCTTTAATTAAAGTGTTCTTGCGATAATAATGATAATCAACCAGTCGCTATGTGGCTAACCATTTATGCCATACATAGCCAATTGTAATGTTATGGACAACAGTATTTCCATTAGTCAGCTATGGTTATGCACAAGACCCTGTCGCCAAATCGGTCGTAGATAATGTCATGTTAAGAAATTTGGATTACAGTGTGCCCATTGACCAACACGTGTCTTCAGAGACGACGCAAACAGAGATGGGTGGTTACTATGTGTGACCTGGATTTTCGCGTGCCGTCATGCCCCAACCATGCTATTGATATCTATTGAAGTTCACTTGGCCATATCCCTACTCCTGTGAAGACCTCCAAGGTGGAATAGCGTCCTGATATATTGGCGTAAAAGCCGACTTAGGGGGACTGGGGTTGTTGCAATGGTTGAAGGTGTCATGGGACACATCGTTACCCATTCAATTCATCTCATTTCAGGGCATTATATGTATATCTCCCCCAATCCTGCCACAATGAAAGTAACGAAGGCCCAGATGTACAGCAAGCAGTACCCTCCACCACCCAATGGCCAGTGCGTCTCATTCTGGTATATCATGAGTGGTCGTAATGGCGGTACCTTCAACCTGTACGCCAAGCAGGAGAGCGACAAGACCCTGGCCAAGCCCAAGTGGAGTCTGTACGGAGACCAGGGCAACAGGTGGAAGCTTGCTAGGATTGATGTCACTGCACAAGAGAAATACCAGGTTAGACATAGATAGATGACTAATTACACAGAGGGATGGGACACAGTTTGCCTATTGAGTTCTGAGTAAGTTGTTTTTGATATGAGTGAGAGAGTGAAGAGTGGTTTTTATGCCGGTTTTATCAAGATTCCAGCAATTTCAGGTTCGGGACAACAGAGCTGGACTTCATACGATGATGAATTGAAACCCATTACTCTGACACAACGTGATATCACTAAAATACTGTCATAAAACAATGTCACTCATTTAAGAGCACCCCTGGGTGCATATTGTTTATATCAAGTCATTTGAAATAGGATTGTTCACATAAATTGATTAGGAAGTAATCATATTCCGATCTAAAACATGTTTGGCTGACCCAGTAGTTTTTATGTTTGCTCCAATTTGTGAAGTGTGACCTTGTAGAATCTACATTCATCTGTTACCCTTCCTCGATGAGCCTGTATTGAAATGGTGACGCTATTGAAACCAAGCCAAACTAGCTCTGAAATTACAAAAGTTCCTGAATGACATAATAAAGTATCAATAATTGTTGTTATATTTACTGGGCGGCCTAGTGATTAAAGCGTTCACTCGGCACGCCGAACACCCAGGTTTGATTCCCGACATGGGTACAATGTGTGAAGCCCATTTCTGGTGTCACCCGCCGTGATGTTGCTGGAGTATTGCTAAATGGCGCGTAAAACCATACTCACTCACTCTGTCATATTTACTGCATGTTTACGTATTTCAGCTCGTGTTTGAGGCAATTCAGGGCAGTGGCACAGGAACTTTCATTGCCCTTGACGACATCAGCGTGTCCAGCGCTTCCTGCGCCTCCGTTGCCTCCTGCGACTTCGAAAACAGTTTTTGCAGCTGGATGCAGTCCAAGTCAGATGATTTTGACTGGACAAGGCGTCGGGGGAGCACACCGTCCTCCTTTACCGGACCCATGACTGACCACACACTCGGAAGTAGCACAGGTAGGCTCCCCTCAGCCTCAGTGTCTTTCTAAGTTACTAAACGTCTTTGTTGGGGACCTTCAATGCTTAAGGTGACATACATTTATTTCGCTGAAAGGGAGAGCTAAACACTATTCACTGAACGATTTTTGTTTGATTAAACTTGAGCATAATGTACCATCTATCAACAGGGTATCAGACAGGGTAGCCTACTATCGTAGATTCGTTCCTCTCCATGGGTACACTGTCTGTTTGTTGTTGGTAGTTTATCGCCACAATAGGCCATATTCCACCTATATGACGTGTACACTGTGTAAAGTCTATGCCTGGTGTCCCCCGCCCTCATACAGCTGGAATGTTGCTAAAAGCAATACACGTTTTTTTCAGGTTACTACGCCTTTATTGAATCCAGTTCCCCAAACAAGGCAGGCGACATCGCCACCCTCCAGTCCCAGATCATCCCAATGAACAGTGCAGTGCCTAACTATTGTCTCAGCTTCTGGTACGACATGAACGGTGCCTCCATCGGCAGCCTCAACGTCTCCCTCCAGTACCCTCAGTCTCAGCCTCAGATGATCTGGTCGCTTAGTGGTGCCCAAGGCAACAAGTGGCAACAAGCTTTTGCCAGGATAGACAACCCATATGACAACTTCGAGGTAAACCGCATAATGTTATTGAAATGATTTAAATATTATGCTGTAAGTGAGCGTATGAGTTGGGTTTGACCTCACTATGCATGTGCGATCATAGTGTATGTCTGTGTCCGTCCTGGTGACGGATTAGTCAAAAGTGTAAGTTTGGGGTTTTTTTTGGCCAGATCGATGCGATTTTGAAGATATATTTTTAACTATACAGAAATACTTAACTTATCATAAAGCTCTTGCAGGTGCACTACAATTGAAGATTTTCACCATCAACTGCCCATGCACAAAATGCACAGGATACACAGTTACATGCTTTCTCCTCAGTCAGAATCAGGGATCTAATTAGCATCACATCTTATCTTCGAACACAATAAGCTTAAAAAAAAAGGTAAATATAGACAGGTCTCTGATTTTAAATTCCACATCAGCACATGTTGAACAATATCTGATGATATGTCAACTTTTTTCCAGTTGTATATTTCTGCATCTGTGGGCTCCAGCTATACGGGAGACATCGCCATTGACGACCTTAACCTTATCACCGACTCCTGTGACAGCGGTGTGTACTTTAACACTATGGACAAAATATATTAAGATATATCTGTGCATACCTGACATGTATTTGAAATAAGCATAATGAAGCTGTCACAAGAATTACATTGTTAGACGTGAGCGTCGCAAGAGCACCAACGTCTATGTTTCAATGTCGACACGTTACTTGGGGCATGAGGTGTTGAATATTATTTTTTTCATTATGGTCAACTGAAAGCTTTGTTGGTAACATGTTCTCTTGTCGATGAAGACCTGGTTCAACTTCAACGTTTATACAATGTGTGAAGCCCTTGATATATAATAAGATGTGTTTGTGTATTTACTTTATGGTATCATGTAGGCATCCACATATCATGATATATCATATCAAGTGTTCTGTCACAAGAAGTAAACCATATCATTATGTTATGTTTTGGCGACGATACATTTTCTTGAAACTTAAATATCATATGTTATATAAAATATGTTGCAGCTCAAAAAGGGGCAAATGGCACCTTCTTCTGCCAGGACACCGCCAACACAAGCGTCCCTCTGTCGAACGTTTGCAATTTCATCCGTGACTGTCCAAACGGAAACGACGAATTACAGTGTGGTAAGAAACAACTGAAATCGGTTTTCTCTTGGTGTTTGTAAATTATTGATTTTTTGTCACTGTATTGTGCACGCATCAGTGAACGAGCTGCGACAGAGAGAAGGTGGAGAGGTGACGATGGGTGCGTGACCCGTGAGAGTGGTCATCGCTCTGTGCTGCACTACATTGAAACAAGGGTGTATATCTTCTATCATGTTCTCTCTGTTCACCAAACAGTACATGGGTACCGAGTAGAATTTGTTGGTAATTTGAATTCAAAAATATAATAACGCCTGACAGATAGCTTGGCTTGTATACTGAATCTGAGAATGCAATATAAACTATATAAACAGTGGAGACAATAACGGGGACGAGCAATGTCATGTCAGTAGCCTTTCACTTGATATGTGGACTGATTCTACGCTATGACAAAAGTACCCAAGACAATTTGTGACTTTCTTGAGAAAATCATGAACATCACCTTCACACATGCTGGGCGACTTATGGTTATACTATTGCCTCTGTTCAGGTGACTGTGGATTTGAGGGCACTTACTGCACTTGGACAGATGATAGTCAAGGAAGCTTCCAATGGACCCTGGGACAAAATGAAACCAGGACGTCAAACACTGGTCCCAGCTTTGACCACACCTATAACAGCCCTAAAGGTAAGCGGTCAGATTCAAGCAATTACATACATTTTTTCCTACCTCTGATCTGACAGACACACCTTACTACGTACGTCATGATGTTAAATAACATATTTCCTGACATATGTGTAGGTCACTGTGTAGAGGAGGCAGTATTTTACACAAAAAGGTTCAGCTGATCGCTTGGCATCTGGAGTTAGTTCCCCCCCTTTCGAAAATGGCGATATTTTGGTGAGGCTCTACAAGTTGGCTGATTGGCTGTTATTGTACTTGGGTCGTTATTCATGGTTTCAGCCATTGGTGTTTGGGCACCAGCCTCAATTACTGACACATTAGGTCACCATGGAAATAATGTTCGTGTGTTGTTTGATGTTGCAGGCACGTACCTGTATGTTGACGCAAGCTACGGCACAAGGAGCAGTGTAGCAGAGTTGGTTGGCCCCAAGCTGGGTGCCTCCAGTTCCACCTGTCAGATGTCCTTCTGGTACTTCATGTATGGAGCAGGTGGGTGGACATCCTCACACAATTACTTTACGTTCACACAATGCTTGGTCAGTGAAGATCTCTTTGCCTTTGGCGGTTACATATTTTTTATTTCTTTCGTTTTATGTGACATATATAAGAAAAACTATGAATATCCCTAAGGATGAGGCGTTCCAACTTCACCGACCAGACGGAGATAAAGGTTCCCAATTAAATCAAAATAGTTGCTGCATATAATGACATTTGCAAGTTGATGTTATGCACAAGGACTTCTTTGAATGGCATGTACAAGTTGGTGTGTTGAGATAGGTCAAGTTATCATGGATAAACTCCTTTAGGTGTTGTATAGTTGGTTATCTCTAACTTGTCCCCCTCTTTCAAAAGGTTATGCTGTGAAAGAAAAGCTGTATATTTTCCTGTGTATGCATTAGAACGGATGTCAATAACACAATAAAGTTCCACGTTTGAACATTTTTTCCAAGGTATTGGCACACTGAATGTGGCAGCCCGGGCAGACAACAGAGACACCGTACTGTGGGAGAGACACGGGAACCAGGCTAAAAAGTGGCTCAATGGAATAATTGACATCGGAAGGATATCTACCTCATTCAACGTAAGCTTTACAGTAGAACCCTGTATAAATAGGCAGCATCGTTCCTATATAGTCGTCTTGGCTATCACGTTTCCTAATAAAAACACCATTATGACAATTAACTATTCATATAATTGATATCTTGGATTGTTCGTGGCTGTATCCTCTAGGAGGTTAAAGTAGTGTAAAATTATTGTCCCCCTGAGAGGGTATAGTAAGTCCATATCATTCAAAGTATGTTATTCCTACTATGCTTTTAAGCGTAGAATATATGTTCTCTTAATTTGGCTAAATTTGTAAAAAATCGCCAATACCTGAAGGGAGGATGTTAACCCGGCTTGGGTCCATGCAGGAAGCTTAAGTACTGTACGTCCCCATGGTCCCTAGTGTGGTGATCTACCTTCAGTTGCTGGCGATCTATAGCTCGTTTTTATAATGTAATGTTATGTATAGTGCTATTGATTTTATGATTACAAACTAGTTTTAAATATATTTCTGTGATAAGTCTAGTTATTTTATTGTCCTTCGTTGGCAGGTATTTATGTAAGTCCCTATGTATTTATTATGTTTAACCTTTGATAGTCTCTGATGGCTGAAATATTGCCGATGTGACTTAAACTTTTATCTCACTCACTCACTATTCAAAGAAAAATATTGCTGACTTTAAAAGGACGTAACATTTACTGATTTCGAGACGAACTTGATTTAGTGATAAAGGCAGAATAATGTTTTAGGTCAGTTCTATTAACAAATTCTCTGAAAGGGGTAGCTGAACAATTGTTCTTTATTTAACAACGTATTGGGATATCGTCAGAACATTCCGCATGTCCAAGTGTGTAAAATTTTCAAATCTGAGGGGATTTTTTTTCAAGCGTTTTCCCGAATAAATTATTTTTTCTCTCAGCCACCCCACTCCTCAAGAATAATAACTCCCTGACTTGAGTCGTTTTTATTTCTAAAATTTGTTGTTGCAAAAGTGGAGTTTATATATCAGGACTAACTTTCAAATTGTTTTTAGAATAATTTCGTATTGATGTGAACGTTGAATATGATCAAATCGAATTTCCATGTTATGCGCTTGTACAAATAAATAATATCAACAAGAGGATATGAATTTTTTTGTTCAAGAATAGTATATATATACGTTTGAAGTGTCATGAGTGTATCTTTGTGTTAAAGATCGTCATCCAAGGCAGCAGAACATTCAGTGTGCTGGGCGACATCGCTATCGACGACGTCCAATTCATCAACTGCAACTTCCCTCGTATGTCTCTGAATCATGTTGAAATTAAAACCCAATCAATGATCTGTTTATGATAGTGTTGTGCTTGATTTAATCCTACCTGTGTGTTCTATAAATAGATACACTTTGCAGATAGATGCTATTTTAGTACAATTATGTAAAAAATAATTCAGAATATTTGAAGCAACGTTTTTTATACGTTGCAATACAATTGATCACACTGAATCATTAAAATCATGTTGTGGGTGGCCGGAAAGTATAAGTTCAAATATTAGCACTATGTAGCTTATCTCCAGGCATAGGTAGTATCAGAACTCATTATTATTATATTGTCTAGCGTGACCTCCGGTATCCACTGGTCGTAGGTTCGAATCCACAATTGCTCAAGTTATGATCCTGCGCAGGCACCATTCACGAGGATGTTGTCAACAAAGTGATAAAAGGCCAAGACTTGCATCACTTTCATCTCTCACCAAACGACACAAAGTTGTTTGACGAAAATAATTCGAAGTTAATACACAAAGCTTACTCACGCAATGATTTCGTTGATTACACAGCTGTTCAACCAACCTGTAGCGGAAGTCAGTTCAGATGCAAGAGGGGTGCATGTGTACCAAACTCCGACCGCTGCGACTTCTCTGACGACTGCGGAGACGGTAGTGACGAAACCCAATGTAGTGAGTAGCTGAAATAACTCTGTAACCTGAGTAACCAGTGCAATAAGTCAAGAGCCAGGTCACACCCAGGCAACATCCAGGCTAGATATACATAGCATTCATAATTTACATTACGCAGATGACACTCGGTAAACAATGTACTAGAGGCAGGATGTCCACGTGTATTCCAGCTAGCTTCCCGCCACTGCCTTTACAATAAGGCAGATAGAGAAAAACAGATAACAGAAATGACCCTCTTGATAACAATGTACTAGAGGCAATATGTCCACATGTATTCCAGCAAGCTACCCGGCACGGTGTGACTTTGAAACCAGCCTCTGCAGCTGGACACAGGATAAGGGAGACAACTTCGACTGGACGAGATCCAACGGTCAGACAAGCTCAGTTGAAACCGGACCATCACGTGACCACACCAGAGGAACATCTCTTGGTAAACAGATTAACGTTTGTTCCCAACCGGTAGAGACAGTCACTGTCATTGAGTGATGTTGTGACTGCAGTGTTCATTTACATATTGGTAATTTAAAATTGTGCAGTGGAATAAACACAGTATTCCAGTGTAAAAGTTGGAACAGTGGAACAGGTTGGTTGGGTAGTGGTTAAAGCATTCCCTTGTCTCGTCACGCCAAAGTTACATGTTCATCTCCCAACAGGGGTACAATGCATAAAGCCTTTTTTTTGGTATCATCCTATGAGATATTGCTGTAATATTGCTAAAAGCGAAATATAACCTTAATTCTTTGATACTTGTCCTACTTTATTAGTGAGAGAGTTTGGTTTTGGAAATATACGCGGGTCTTCAGCTCATTGTAATTGAATTTTACATTTTTTGTATATGCTGAACTTCCCAAAACGTATTGTTCCTTACGTCTATATGGATACAGAAGGACATAAGTCAGTTTCTTTTATTAACTTGCCGACACTACTCCCAATGTGAACAATTACTTCGTGGTAAACTCGTCGTGTACATTAGTACACGTTAAAAAAATATGGAAATTCTTTTGTATATGTGTTTTTCAAAATGGACCTGAAGCACTGCTTTGAATGAGTGTTTAAATATTTAATGTTAGATGTGAAACGAGTAACAGACGTGGTTCTTCCTGCCCAGGTTACTATCTATTCATTGAGACGTCAAGCCCACGTAAGCAAGGAGACAGGGCCCGTCTTGTTAGTCCGACCTTCAACCCAACCATGAGCAGGAAACGAGCAGCGACAACGTGCACGGTAAAACACTTTCTGTTACCTCAACGAATAGTAGATTGTTACCACAAGGTGACATTGAGGAAATAGATATTGAGGAAATATGGCATTGATATTTCTCCCTCAAACATGCATGCACAACAGGTGTCGACGACAGGTGTATTGTATTATACAGGCAGCAACCGTCTCAGGATCTCGGGATATGGTTGTTGTAGGTTTGAATCCAACATTTGACCTAATCAGGATCCCTAGATGACATTCCAAATATTGTGCCATATTTGTCTCCATGAGTAGATGTTAGATGATCTGCCGTCACCACACCCTCCCACTTGGACTCTAGTTTATGGTAAATGTCTACAGCATCACATAGAGCTGCTATGCCGCCACATAAAGGAAAACAACCACACCAAACTCTCATTATGGTAAACGTCTACAGCGTCACATTGAACTGCCATCCTGTCATACAACGGCTCACAACGTCACCATACCCTCACTCTTGGACTTCAGTTGATGGTAAACATCTACAGCGTCACATTGAGCTGCTATGCCCTCACAGAACTGGTCACAACACATCAATGAAACTCACGTGTGATTCTTGTATTTCTAGCTCCGGCTCTACTACCACATGTACGGCAGATCCATTGGGGCTCTGACTGTCTACAGTCGAACATCAACAAACGGAGCTTTACAGAAGATCTGGACCAAAACCGGAAATGTTGGAGATTTCTTTGAGAGAGCAGACATCCAAATTTACGCTGCACAAACATTCCAAGTAACTATGTTTTGTTTATTTTGGAAATGACATTTTTTATATATATATCAGGTATCATTTGATTCTCAAATTCATCCCTTAGGCGTTTAAACGATGTGAGAGTTAACGAACATGAAGTTAATCACTCTCCTTGATTGCCATTTTCAGATTGTCATTGAAGGTGTCGTTGGCAATGGCTACACAGGCGATATCGGCATTGACGACTTGTCAGTAACACCCGGATGTGTACCGAGTTCATGTAAGTGCACATGTCATTGAATCCCATAATGTCACGTTATCTGTGCAGGTCGTAAGATGCAACTTGCTCGTGTAGACAGGCTGGCTAACTTGGTAGACTAGGTATGATCGTACTCTGGTATATTGCTCGTTATATCAACAACTGGTTTGCCAAGGCCAGGCTCGATTATTTAGCAGGGATAGTGCTGACTCAGGTCTTAAACAGTATTTATAAACTCACATGCCCATGCAAGAATCTGCTTCCACTTTGCCGATACATTTGTATTCAAATGCCATAAGAATGTGATAAGGTTCTCAGTATTAAAATATTTTGAACTCAGTTATATCCCATTTCGTGTTACCTAGTGAGCCGCCCAAGCTCTGGTCAACTACTTGTCTGCTACCCAGTGTTAATAAATATATGTATTTCATTATTCGAATAGGTTTGAAATATTATAATGTGAGAGAATGTCATAGGTTTCTGTTGGTTTCAGCGGTTCTTCCAACTGGCTCGCCAACCCCTCCGACCACGCCGAACCCATGTGGTTTTAACCAATCAAAATGTGACAACGGCCAGTGCATCCCAGCATCTCAAGTGTGTGACTTCATCGTTCAGTGTCTGGACAAATCTGACGAGAAGAGCTGCGGTAAGTTTCAGTTACGTAGACCTACGCTACGTGGATCCACATGCACATGAGTGAGTGAGTTTGGTTTTACGCCGCTTTTAGCAATATTCCAGCAATATCACGGCGGGGGACACCAGAAATCGGCTTCACACATCGCTTGGCATTTTATTTATTCATTTTTTGGAGGGTAAGAGAGGCCTGGTTCTGTGCAAATTAGCGTCCCGTGTGCATGCGGGATCGTTGGTTCTTTTCCTGTGGAGATCTGCCCCCTGCAATTGTACTGACTGCATAAACACTGACTGCATATATCTTTATGTTCATAGGTACCTGCACCTTTGAGAATGGCCAATGTGGCTGGATGGACATCAGCACCGGTACCTACAAGTGGAGCTCATACCAAGGAGTTGCTGGCACAGTCGGCCCCAGCGTCGACCACACCGACAACAACCAAACCGGCCACTACATGGTGCTTGGACAAGGGTCAGGGGTCTACAAGAGCCGCGGTCAACTGGCCAGTCCTATCTTTGGGGCAACTGGACCCAGCTGCCGGATGAGCTTCTACCACCATATATTCGGAATGAGCGCAGGTAAGTACAAATATAGAGCTCATTCTGACTGCTAAATGTTTGGAATATGTTCTAAACAGTACAAATACAGAGCTCACTCTGACTACCAAACGTTTGGAATGAGCTCAGGTAAGTACAAATATAGAGTCATTCTGACTGCCACATATTTGGCATGAGTTCTAGTTAGTTGGATAGTGTGAATCGTATGTTGTACCGAAATTCTAAAGTGTGGCCACCAGATTTTTGTTTACTGGGATAACGATTTTCAGAAATACTGTCATTTAGGTCACTTTGACCTCTTTATGTCAAAGGCCTGTTGGCCTAGAGTAAAGATACGATCACAATTGTAGTTATGTCTGTGCATTAAAGGAAATTGTTCATTTTTTGTCAAATTTAAATTGCTATTCAGGCAACCTGCGTGTGCTGCTGCAACATAGCACACATCCTAATGACGTCGTCACTCTGTGGAGCCACACTGGTAACCAAGGCAACAGCTGGATAACAGACACAGTTGACATTGGGCAAATCAATGCTGGCTACAGGGTAAGATGTCGCTGCAACATAACACCTATGACATTAAGGAAGTGAGACTTTGGATACATAAAAAGCATTTGCTACTTTTTGATATTTTCAATCTGGTATATGATACAAGTAATCTGGTTAAGTGGAACTCCATTGTATCATATTCGAATCCAAACAGTGGTACTTTGTGTGATGCTGAGTATTGATTTCCCCTTCATGACATACCCGGATAAATTTACTTACTTTGGTTTTAAGCCAGTTTGACAGTTACAACAGTTTTCCGCAGGTTTTAGCAGTATACCGGGATACCAATACAACTAGACTCATGCATAAATCTTGCACTAATCTTGACATTGGAATATTGTTTCACTGTACTGTGATTTGGAATTAAAACTGAAAATTGCAATGAAACGAAACTGTATGTTTTATGTTCTTTAGATGTCACAACTGTATTACTAGGTCAGTATGACAAAGCAAAACGCTTTCATTCTAACCGTCAAGTGAGTTTCAGAAACGGCTCATACCAGAACCAGACTGACAATACTGGATTCCTCAATATCTGATGTTAGTTGCCCCATGTAACTTTGTAACCAATTATCCATAATGCAGGTTGTGTTCGATGGTCTGCCTTCACCAGGCTACGGAAAATACGATGTCGCCATTGATGATGTCACATTCCTGGACTGCCAGACGGGAGTAGTGTACAACGATACAAGTAAGAACTTTGTTTAACAATTCTTACATAACTGTTCAGCAGATCGGTATATATGTCGTCCTTGTTTGCCATAAGTCACAATAATCATAAGGGTCTACAATGGCTGGCCGGAAGGATTACTTGGATATTGTATGACTATGTATCTACCTTACCACTTGAAGAAACTGCGCGCCCTCACTTATCCTTTTACCTCTTTATCTTTTTACGGACCTAGGAAAAAATACAGCGCGGTCTTTTTTTCATTTTGTCCTTCATGGGCCTGAGACCTTCATGCAAATAAACATTTTCTTCTAATTTAGACTAAAATAATTTATTATCAACTGGAAGACAAACACTATACTTTTGGAATTTAAACCTCAAAATATTTAATTAATGGGAAAGATATATGCCCTCTATGACAGATTAAAGAAGTATGGTTGATCTTAATGATGACAACTGAACTATAATTGGCCTTGTTAAAATGAAACATCATATTTTCAAATCTTCAGGCATGAACTGTACCTTCGAAACCGGATACTGCGGATTCTTCCAGGAGTCACTGGACAACTTCGACTGGACCAGAACCAATCGATCAACACCATCATCGGGAACTGGTCCTGATCGGGACCACACCACCGGACACGGATTCTACATCTACATCGAAACATCTTCTCCACGACGATATGGCGAGAAAGCACAACTCACTTCTGGTGTCCAGAAAGCAACTGACCAAACTGGCGCCTGTCTGACGTTCTGGTATCACATGTTTGGACCCTATGTTAGCACCCTGAATGTGTACATGAGAACAGGAGGTTCCACTGTCAACAACTCGGTCATCTGGACCCGTTCCAAGTCCGTAGGGAATGTGTGGACTCAGGCACAGAGATGGATTACCAGCACTCAACCGTATCAGGTAGAGTATAAACATAGCTCAGCCATTGTTGTTTAGAGACTAATTGTAAACTTAACATTTTGGCGCTGGCTCAGTTATATAGCAGTGTATCGCATTAACTTGGATGGAGTGTCTCGCAGTTTGCAAAACCTTACCACTTTCGTGATATCCACGAGAACGAGTGATGGGAATCTAGGATGTGAAGTCATGATCAGCAGAACGCGGCAGCCCAGGACGTTCAGTATAGGTTCTTGTAGGATGGGTACATCTAGTTGTCAGGGATGCAGACAACTACAAACCTGACAGGAGAAACCTTTATGGAATAATTAAACTTTGCATCAGATACCCAGGTTCATTCAGGACAGGTAGAAACCATTGCACGGGTGGCAGAAAATCATGAATAATATGGATCGAAAATTAAATGATTTATTGTATAACACCTTAGATATTTGATATTAGCTCTGCGTTCACGGGTATACTAATCTAGGCGTAATAACAACATACAGTATTTGTTTTCAGGTTATGTTTGAGGGTACCGTTGGCCAAAGTTATCTGGGAGATATCGCACTTGATGATATATCACTCATGCCAGGACCGTGCCCTGCTTCATGTGAGTAACCCCACCTTATTGTAGTTAATATGGCAACTACAGCGGTGTAATAGTTTGTTGTCGTGAATAGTAACATGATATAACGGGCGTATTGGTTTCAAACTGTGTAACATTTTATTAGCATGAATAGTGAGGGTGAAATTGGTTTCCGTCTGTGTTACATTTGTTAATCAGGAATAATAAGGTCTCTGATGTAACGGGTGATATTGGTTTACAGATGTATGTGACTTTGAGGTCGACACCTGCGGTTACACGCAAGACACAAATGATAACTTCGACTGGACTAGATGGAGAAATGGTACCACTTCGCTTAATACTGGGCCCAGCTACGACCACACTACCGACAGCGGCTTAGGTTTGTTATATTATCAACCTGTCTACTTGTACCCTTCTTTATATCTGTCTATCTTCGTCTTTCCAACTGCTCACTACATGTGTGTCTACAAATATTATTGCGTCATACCATCCTTCTCATTTTTATTTTTATTTTTTGCTTTTGGTATACGTCTGTCTGTCTCGCCCAGTCTTTATCGTGTTCCCTCTCCCTGTCTCCTACTGAGAGAAACTGCATTTCTGGCTTTAAAACTTTTACCGCAATAGAGTTTTTCAATAAATGAATAAATATGAAGCAAATCCATTTTACAACTCTGCTGTTACTGACCGCGAACTTGTGTTCCATACATTCTGAAAAATACATTCTGTACCCCACCCTGACATTGACGCTTCCGTGCGTACAGGATACTACATGTACATTGAGTCATCGACACCGAGGGTTGGGGGAGACACAGCACGATTGACCAGTCCATCATACCCAGCAGTCACGGCGCCGAAATGTGTCAAGTTCTGGTACCACATGTACGGGAATCAGGTCGGCCAGTTGAACGTGTACGTCAAGTCTCAAGGAGTGATGGGGACGGCGGCTTGGTCCAAATCCTTCAACCAACTGAACCAGTGGCATCATGGAACAGCTGATGTAAACAAACAGACCTCATGGCAGGTGCGTCTCTTGTGGTCTGATTCATGGGTGATATCTTTGATCCACAGTTATAATTCTTGAAGGAATAGCTGTTCATAACTGCAGTCAGACATGTAGGCAAGTAAGGATGTTGATCTATGTTTCCATCATAAACCTTGCATAGTTTCCAAAACAAGATTGTTGTCTTGGTTCTGGTGCTTGTACACTTAAAGAACAAACTCAGAATTCCCACTGTTATAGGGTAAGCAAAACGTCACAAACCTTTCTGCAAGATTCTTGTGAAATGACACAGTCTATTGTGTATTATTATTTATATTTTCTTCTTTAAAGATTGTGTTCGAAGGCGTTATAGGATCTGGTTACCACGGCGACATTGCAATTGATGACATCCGTATCGTTGACGGCAAATGTCCTGTACCCGGAAGTTGCACATTCGAATATGACACGTGTGGTTACAGCGATGGACACAACAACGGCGACCAGTTTGACTGGTTGAGGAGCTCAGGAGGGACACTTTCGGTTGGAACAGGACCCAGCGTCGACCACACATCAAACTCAGACCAAGGTGCGTACAAAACTGTCTACAATGCCTTTTAGTCACAGTCAATGCATCAAGGAGAAGCCAAACACTGTTTCGGAACCCTCAACGTGTACTGCTTCTGTTGCAGGATACTACATGTACATTGAAGCCAGTGGACGTAACAAGAACGACAGAGCCTGGCTGTACAGCGAATACCTCCTCCCGACATCATCTTCCTGCCTCTCCTTCTGGTATTTCATGTATGGAACGGGTAAGTGGAACGAACATACGCTTCGTAATACATCGCATAATAGGTGTTGACGTTGCACCAAATCATCACAATGAGTCTTCAATTTTAGGCAGGACTTTCTGAAATCTTACATTCCATAAACAAATTAACAAAACAAACAAGACCTTTCTCATCTTCCATTTGTAATTTTTAGGCATCCGTGACAAAAATTACCTTCAAAGCAGTTCTGTATTTTGACTTGTACCATATGGTCCTGTCTTTTATCGGGTGAACAATTGACTTGACTTTGCATGTGTTTTTGATGGGTGCCACCGGATGTTTCATAGTGATTGTTAAACGCATGCTCATGATACAGTCGGTATCATACAATCGACCGTACGTTTTGGGCAGATGTATTGTGGCTATGGAAAGGAGTTTAGTCGCACCTGTATATTTTGTTTCTGTCTGTGTGTTGCCTTCCTCTACGTTGATGGGCGTCATGGCTATTTCTGTGTATCTGTATAATCCACTATGATACTCGCATGTTCCTACATCTCTAACTGTTGGCACTGTGATTCATGTCCATTCCCTTAGGCATAAATTAGACAAAATTGTTCATTTGAACAGACACAGTAATATTCTAAGGGAAAAGGACATTTATGCTTATATCGACATACAAATGTAAGCAGTAGACACTATATGATCCAAATGCAGACAAACTGAAATCCACAGATATATGCATAAGCACAGCCTTTAGTTTATTAAGTCTATTCAGCTTTCTATGGATAATGGTATGTTCTTCCATACCTGACCACTGACGGATAATTTGTGTCTATTCCTTATGGCTGCCTAAAGGATATATAGGCCTCTTACTATGGTTATTCCTATGTCTGTGATTAAAGTAATGCCAATTACCATGTCTGTGTATCTGTTCCTGATGTAGACGTGGGAGCACTGCGCGTCTATCAGGCAAATCCCTCCAAGAGCACGCTCATCTGGTCTATGAATGGAAACCAGGGACAGCAGTGGATCAACGCCAGGCTCCACATCAACAGCACCGTCAGCTACCAAGTAAGATGCTGTCAAAACTCCACTGGCATGGTATAACTTTGAATAGGACGTGATTCCTGAATCGAAGTTTGCAAGGTCAACATATAATCTGACAGGCAAAAGAAAGTATATGCCCATGTTTGATGGTGGCTTAAAACTGAAACAAACACGAAATGGTTTTTAAATGGTAATGTATTCGATACGTGAATTATTCTTATTTTTCGAATGTTAAGTTTGCACTGTTTCGGCAAATGTTTTCAGCCTAGTAACGTTTTGATTACGTTTGTATTTTTTGGTTTAATTCAATTTTCAAGTGTACACTTTTCTTTTGTCCAGAATCTTATCTAAGCAATTACACAAGATATACATTGGAACTCGCCGATAACTGTCACAGTAGAAGTGTTATTTAAGCTGTAACTATGGCTGCTCTAGCTCTAAACAAATACAAAATAATTATGTCCAAATTGGCTATGTCGAAATGATCTATGTATAATGAATTTGTTCCAGGAAGGTCCCAGTGCGATAACCTTAGTGTACAATTCATGAATAACCTACCACGCCAACCTAATTCCAGTAACACATTTTGACATACATTATTTCCTACAATAAATGTTGCAATTGTATTGCCAGGTCATCTTTGATGGCGAAATTGGGACGGGTTATCATGGAGATATATCTATTGACGACATCGCCATAACACTTGGTCTCTGCAACGCAACCACCGCGACCACCCCAACTGCAGCCATCACCACCGTGACCTATGGTCAGTTATTACATTGACCATTTAAGTTACCATGTTTTTCTCAGAATGCCACTATACATTCAGTTTGATATGGAGCCCTCTATTGTCAAAGAAACACCATTTTCATACAGAGGTTTTTTTAGGAAGATTTGTGAGGTCTGATTGGATTGAAGGTTTGCTTCTTCATGCTCTTGACTTGTTCTTATCAATAGTTATCACTTTATTCTCCACTCTTCAAGAACCTTTTGCGGCAAGACAAACTCCCATATTGTCATATACGGTGACAGAAATGGGGATCGGTTGTTTGGAATGTCTATCCTGGATGTTGCAGATGTGACATTAAATTACATGTACTCACTCACTCACTTAAACATTGGATATGATGCGATCAAAATGTACAGTTCAAGGATCATACGCAACTACTGATGCAGATATAACTTTTATACCATGCTTGCTACACCACGTCCATCACTTAAATGTAAATGTAAATATTTCTCTGTGAATATTTCAATATCCAAATCAAAAGTTGAGTAGCACTTACTTCATGAAGAATGGCTTTTCCTGCCATGAAGTGTTGACTAACAGGCCTAACGTAGTTTTATTATGGTAACTGTTCTGTGATAATTACACTTAAATAGGAAAGTACTATTGGTTTGTTGTTTTCTATCAATAAAAAAAATGATATCAGTGTAAAGAAATAATTCTGCAGATCTCTTTATTGATGACTATATTTTGAACAGCCCCAACTGTTGTTGACTGCAACTTTGACAGCGACAACATCTGTCATTGGCATCAAGACACCACCGACGACTTTGACTGGACCTTACAACAGAATTCCACAGGCTCTATCAACACTGGACCAACATTTGACCATACCACACAAACATCTAAGGGTAAGTCTGTATATTCCACACGGCGGCATAAGTACATCTCACTCAATCAATTTATATTCCGTGTAAGAAATATTATTGAAGAAAGTAACTATTTTAAGGGTATCATTGAATTTTTCTGGTTTAACCAGATGGTCGCGGTTGCAATGGTCACGAATGGATAGCTCATACAATCATTTTTACGTTGATTAAGGAGTTTCCAAAGTTGTACCTATGTACAACATGATGCTGTTATGATATAAAACAATATTGAGCGTTTTCACATAGCAATATTATGTTACCTAACGTATCACAAATATTTCACTGCTGAAATGAACGCATGGCTCCTGGTTGTATTTGCGTATCAAAACGTTAATGGTAATTTTTGCTGTCTATGTCAATGAATCAATGTTAAACGTTTCAGATTTAGGACAACAAATATCCTACCTATTATGGGCTATGTGTATAGTAGGGGCGGTCGGGTAGCCTAGTGGTTAAAGCGTTGGCTCGTCACGCCGAAGACCCGGGTTCGATTCCCGACATGGGTACAATGTGTGAAGCCCATTTCTGGTGTCCCCCGCCGTGATATTGCTGGAATATTGCTAAAAGCGGCGTAAAACCATACTCACTCACTCACTCACTATGTGTATAGTACATTTACATAAAAATTAATTCTGACCTTCACCTTCAATGTTCATGCAGGGTACTACATCTACACAGAGGCTTCTGGTAAGAGGGGCAATTATACAGCTCGAATCATAAGCCCCAGCATAACAGTCGACACAGTGGGGAAATGTCTAAAGTTCTTCTTCCACATGTACGGAGGACAAGTGGGGCGTCTCGATGCATACGCAATGCAAGGTAATGAATAATCTGTGAAAATTAAAATACTTAAACCTCCGATTTAATCTGACAAATGATTTGTTCTTTGAAAATGATGTATCTGTGAAATGTGTTAATATTCAACGTGGATAGAGCACTACATTTTGTGAGCATCATGGTACTCCTTGTTACCCCTTAAACATTGAAACTGCCGAACATACTTCACTATAGTCAGGATTTTTGGAGATGTTTAGAGCATACGTTTCAGGATATTATGATACACTATGATATATGATTAAATCAACAGGGACAACACTCGGCAAGCCAATTTTCACCAGAATCGGTGACCAAAACAATCGGTGGAACTACGGTGATATTTACCTGACCCCTCAAACCCTATCCACCCCGCAGACAGGATCCACTGTCATACAGGTGAGCTGGGGTGTTACATGTTGTCATTACTCTAGCGATCTGGAAGACCAGTCATCTTGTAGAAACCGTACAAGGCTGCTTGCCAGACTTTTACGGATTTCAAGACGTCATTATACTTTGTGTGACATCACAAGCGTTTCACATTATAATTAATCCTGTTCCACCTTTGAGTTTGACAGATAAATGTTATTTATCGCCGAAAATAAGTTTTTGAACATATGAACTTTGTGAACTGTGTAATAATAAATGTGTTACATGTGTCACTAGCTGGGCGTAGTGGATATTTAGAGCTGAAATGTTCGCACACCCTTTGTCCTGGCTAAATCATTTTGGTATTCATCTAGCGCTCCTAGAAGTACCAGATTTCACACTATTGTTGAAATGTACTTCGTTGCTACTTTTTACCATTCTGTGTTGGCATCCTCTGTAGAACCGGCCCTGTAATGCTTTTTAAAAAAGCTAAGGCGATTCAAATAAAGATTGAGTAGTCCTATCTGCTGATATATGTCACTGGCAATGTACCGGGTGTGCTTGAAGCTCGGCGGTGTGGATAGATGTTTGTTATTGACTGCTGGTTTGCCTGTCCCTGGATCAATACTGTTAGCACATACACATGGATAAGAGAACTTGATGAGTGCATGCATATTTGGCAAAAAGATATATTGACAATGCAGCATGATGGTCCTGGTGAATACGTATCGACAGTTTGTTCTGTCCTTAACAATGGATAACTCAAATTTTTATGAGAATTGGGTGTCATTGTACCTATTTGTGAGTGTGTACTAAGCATTTGTTACCTTGGACGTATTTGTCTTTCAGCTTGCGTTTGAAGGTAAAATCGGGACAGGTTACCAAGGAGACATTGCTCTTGACGACATCTCGCTCAACGATGGACCATGCCCACCTGACCGTTAGTGGAATCGTTCATGAAACATCTATCATATAGTCCTACCTGTTAAATCGGTGCAGATGTGTCAAGCTTCAGATCATATCAGTGAAACCTTTTCACAGCTCAACCCTTTACCTTACTATCTGTAGTGACTACCATATAAGATACTGAGAAGTACAATTGAGTTACCTGTTACAGTGTGTCTGTCAAGGCCCTATCGATTTATATTCAGTCAGTAGTTACATCTTTAATAAACACTGATGCATTGTATTGTGCTTTAGAAACCATATCTATTATTCTGTATTAAAATGAAGAAGCTAACATCTGCTAATAAGTGCATATCCACATCAATGTGATATTTCTATTATCATAATTGAATTATCATTGTTGTTGTTAAACTCCTAATAAATATTCCTAAATACTCCTATAAATTTTATCAATATGCTTTTTTCAGAAGTATGTGACTTTGAATCCCCCGACATCTGTAGTTATCGCCAAGATCAAACAGACAATTTCGATTGGACACGAGCACATGGATCGACTTCGTCGTCTGGCACGGGTCCACCTAACGACCATACATATGGAACTTTCAATGGTAAATCTGAACGTCATTGAGCGAAATACACGCACGGCACTCAAAATGCAATAGTCGGATCAAAACAAGGCGCAGTACTTGGCAATATCCCATTTAAAACCTTTACACTAAATCATAATACCCTAATACCAGATGTTCGCAAATGTTCTAAAGTAATTGTAGCATAAGCTGTTGAGGGCGTGACACCTGCATGTGTAGTGAGTGAATATGTCTTAACGTCGCATCAGTGTATATGAAGACCATCAATGACAGAAAGTACTTATATATCTTTGCTGAATCTCTAATTTGTGAATATTTATTTGGAAATTACAAAGCTGCTAGTTTCAAATGTAGTGTGCAGCATACAAAGACATAGGTATGTTTTCAGGTTACTACATGTACATTGAGGCTTCGGCTCCGCGGAAACAAGGTGACAAAGCTCGTCTGATTGGCCCTCATTTCAACAAAATTAGTGGACAGTGTCTTCAGTTTTACTATCACATGAATGGAGTTACCATGGGAACGCTGAATGTGTATTTCAAGAAACAGGGCAGTCTTGGACACGCAGTCTGGTCGAGGTCCGGTAACCAAGCTACCGATTGGCTCCCAGCTCAGATAAATCTAAACAGCGACGTGCCATTTAATGTATGTTGGATTTGACGTTTCCTTTATGGGTGATATTGAGAGCAAGATTCTGTGACATCTAAGCTTTTCTTTCTTCAGCACATGTTTCAGGACGGTGTGACATAAAATGGAACTATTATCGACACAATTGTGTGATTCTATTGTCTCGTACTATTATTAACTTGTTACATTTTCGAGAATTCTAAGGTAACCTGTTGGCGAAATTTGGATATATAGTTACACTTTAGTTAAGCACTTTAGCCCTACACAGACACATTTTTAGCAAAACATGATTTAAAAACGTCCAAACGAAATTTTGAAAGCATGTTCTGTGTTATTAATTTTATCAGTTTATGTTATTTTTGATATACATATATATACAAGAACAAAGCATCATCTTTGATCATTTTAAAGTCACATTTACCTCACTTTGAATGAAGTTAAATTAATGCTTCCATATATATAGATGTTTTGTCTGCAGTTAAATTCATCATCTTCTCTACATGAGATATAGCATGCTTTCTGTCATCCATTGTTACAACTCCTGCTGCCCTCTTCAGGTGATCTTCGAGGGCATAGTTGGGAGGTCCTACTACAGTGACATAGCAATCGATGACATCACAGTCAAGCCTCGACTCTGCCAGCCTTCAGGAGGTTGCGATTTTGAATTTGATACCTGCTTATGGACTAACGCCGTCGTTGGAGACGACTTTGATTGGCTGAGAGGCAGTAAGAGCACAGGTTCATTTGGCACGGGACCAACAACTGACCACACTCTTGGATCAGCACAAGGTATATTTGGAGTGAGTGAGTGAGTGAGTGAGTAAGTGAGTAAGTAAGTATGGTTTTACGCTTATTTTATGTATGGTGCAGAATAACTGATACATAATATGTTGCAGTCAGTAATCGTTATCTCCAATTCTAACTTGATTTCGTTGCAATAAAGTGAAGTAATATGTGCTGCAGATCACTTTACAAAATCACAAGAAATCTCTGCTTAAAGCACATTCAATTGTACGATTTTGTAAGCATGTGTTTATGAATCAGTATCAAAAAGTGATGATACAAGGTTCGTCAAAGGGTGGCACTCCTCACTTTGGTTTGACATTGTTTATGTGGCTAGACTTATGGCGTGACGATCTCTAAACAGATGTGGAACACTTCGTTAAGATAGAAATTATCTTAGTTATTCTGAATTTCGATGTATATGGAAACGAGGTTCCCAAAGGACATATTTATTTAAAATGGTAATTTCATTAAATTTCATTAAATAAAACAGACCATAATTAATGTAAACTAAAGTTGTAATGAAAACACAGGTGATTTGGTAATTTGATACAACCGAGAATAACAGCTTTCTTTCACAGCACTGTGTTGTCTCCCTCACAGGTCACTACATGTACATTGAGTCATCTAGTCCAAGAAAACAGGGAGACAGAGCGCGGTTGACGTCCGAGGTTCTGAAAATGACCACTGGGGGGTGTCTGACATTCTGGTACAGTATGTATGGAGCAGCCATGGGAACTCTCAATGTCTACCTTGACCCCTCTGTTGCAACACCAAATGCACCTCTACAGAACCTTTGGCATCGCACGGGCAACCAGGGCATGCAATGGGGCAATGCAGCTGTGTCTGTTCAGTCCCCAGCTCAATTCAGAATCATATTCGAAGCTATTGTCGGAACAAGCTACACTAGCGACATCGCTATTGATGATCTGAGAGTCACACCAGGACTATGCTCATCCATCAGTGCACCAACTCAATTCACCTGCAAAAATGGACAGAAAATCTCAGCAAGTAAAGTGTGTGACTTCAGCCAGGACTGTACTGACAACAGTGATGAACTAGCCTGTGGCAACTGTACATTTGAATCAGGTCTCTGCTCGTGGAATGATGCAAGCAAGGGGTCCTTCAGATGGCAGATTGGTCAGAACAGCACCATGACGTCCACAGGTGGGCCAAATGTAGACCACACAATGGGAACAATTTATGGACACTTTTTGTACGTTGACAGTGCCAAAGGAACTGCAAATTCACAGGCAACATTGACCAGTCCTACAATGAGGCAGTCCTCATCCACGTGTCAGATGCGCTTCTATTACATGAACAGTGGAACCAGTTATAACAATGGACAGATAACAATATCCATTCAGCTTGGATCAAGAACAACTGTCATCTTAAGAGAAACTGCCAGAACAGGAAACGTGTGGACACTCGGATATGCAGACATTGGCAGAATAAGTGCATCATTCCAAGTACTTGTCGAAGCAACCAGAAGCTACTATTCAAGAAGTGTAGTATCTGTGGATGATATTGCCTTCATCAACTGTGCGCTCCCAGCGGTCCAAGTCAGCTGTAATGCAACAACACAGTTCCAGTGTGCGAGTGGAGCTTGTGTGGACCTGTTCCGAATTTGTGATACTACCGATGATTGTGGAGATAACAGTGATGAAGCCAAATCCCTCTGTCTCGGGGCATCGACGTGCACCTTTGAACAGTCTTTCTGTCACTGGACACAGAGCACAAAGGATAATTTCAACTGGATAAGACAAAGAGGACCAACATCATCAGGAAGCACTGGGCCAACGAGAGACCACACTACCAACATGAATTCTGGGTACTACATCTATATTGAATCTTCTGCTCCTCGCAGAACAGGTGACAAAGCACAACTTCTTAGCAGAGTGATCCAACCTGCTTCATCATCGGATCATTGTTCCTTAACGTTTTACTACCACATGTATGGCGTGGGGACAGGGTCGCTGAACGTATACATGGTAACTCAGAGAGGAGGATATGTGCAGAAGATGTGGAGCAAGACTGGAAACAGGGGCGACTTATGGGCAAGAGCAACAGTTCCCCTTACAAACACCCAGAACTTCCAAATAATGATAGAAGGAGTCCGTGGAACTACATACACTGGTGATATAGCTGTTGATGACACTGTAATCAGTCCAAATTGCAGGATAACAGGTATCACACTACCAACGGCATTGTATCCCGCGACATCACCAACCACCACAGTCAATCCCTGCAGTAGTGGAGGTCATAAGTGTGGTGACGGAACTTGTGTGACTACATCTAAGGTCTGTGACTACACTCCAGACTGCTCTGATCGTTCTGATGAAAGAAACTGTGGACCATGCGACTTTGAAACTGACTCATGTGGATGGACAGACTTCAGCACAGGCAGGTTCAATTGGACTAAGAGTACCAGTTCAGTCATGGGTACAAAAGGCCCTGCAGCAGATCACACTCTACGTTCAAACAAGGGTCACTATATGTTTGTGGAAGATTCCAGAGGTGTATTCTTTAGTTCCGCTGTCCTTCAGAGTCCTACATTACCACCAGCATCAAGATACTGCCAAATGTTCTTCTACTATAATATGCGAGGACAAACGGCTGGAACTTTTGAGGCAGGAATAGTTATCAACGGTACTTACAAACGCCTTTACAGTAGAAGGTCGAGTCCATACTATTCGTCAACAGCATGGTACCGAGGCACAGTGTACATCGGAGCATCATTTAGAAACGCCATACCAAATAATTACACAGTCCAATTCAAGGTTCTGCCATCTCAAGGCTTCACCTCTACATCCACTTCTGATATTGCTATTGATGACATTTCATTCAACTATTGTGACAGAAAAGTGTACCCACCAAACCTCGCTTGCAATTTTGAAAAGGATCTGTGTTCCTGGGCCCAGGCCCAAGATGATCAGTTTGACTGGACACGAAAGTCCGGCTCAACAACCAGTGTTGGAACAGGACCAAGGTTTGACCATACGACACAGAGATCTGGATATTATATCTTTATTGAGACATCTTCCCCAAGAAGAAAGGGAGACATTGCAAGATTACAGAGTCCGCTACTGCCACCAACACCATCAGATGGACACTGTTTAAGCTTCTGGTACTACATGTTCGGGCCTACTATCGGAAACCTCACCATCCGTCTAAGCACAGACTCCAACTCCTCTGTGTTCTGGTCAAAGTCAGGGCCCCAAGGTGATAAGTGGATCAAGGGGCAGAGAACACTGGTTTCAAGCATAAATTATATTGTATACATTGAAGGAACCGTGGGGTCTGGATATCAAGGAGACATTGCTCTTGATGACATTGGTATAATAAAGGGGGCATGTCCAACACCTCGAGGATGTGACTTTGAAAATGGATACTGTAACTGGCAACAATCTACTCAAGATGAGTTTGACTGGTCGATTGGTAGCAATGGAACTGTATCGCTTGGAACTGGCCCTACATATGACCACACGTTTGGGTCTAATACAGGTCACTTTGCTTTTATTGAATCATCTGCTCCAAGGGTCAGAGGAGACCGTGCTGTCCTTATCAGTCCGATGTATAATGGTCACAAAGGCGCCGTCGGTACATATACATACTACTCTACAACCTGTTTATCATTCTGGTACCAAATGTATGGAACTAGCGTTGGAAGTTTGAACGTGTACCAAAAGCAAAATGGGACATTCAGAAGCCAGTTATGGTACTTAAATGGAAACCAAGGGAATATGTGGAGACGGGCCAGCGTAATGGTTAACGCTCACAATAAACCATTCCAAATTCAAATCGAAGCAGTACGAGGATCTTCATATTCAGGTGACATTGCTATAGATGACATAGCATGGGAGGATGGTGGCTGTTCACCTCCCGGCTACTGCAACTTTGAAGTGGACATGTGTGGATACATAAACATTCAAACAGGGGATGACTTTGACTGGCTCAGAGACTATGGTGGAACACCCAGCGCGGCAACAGGACCAAGGGTTGATCACACTAAAGGTACAACTACCGGGTACTACATGTACATTGAAACATCAGGTTCCAATAGGATAGTAGGACAGAAAGCAAGACTTGTCAGTGAACATCTTCATGCAACAAGTTCCTTTGGAAGCTGTGTCCGTTTCTACTATCACATGTATGGATCAGGCGTTGGAGCTCTCAATGTCTACACGCAATCAGTAGCATCAAATAACACCAAACTCATGTGGTCTTTGTCTGGCAATCAAGGTAACCTATGGAAACTGGGGCAGGTCAACGTGAACCAAGGCTCAGACTACGATGTCGTATTTGAAGGAGTGTATGGTGGAAACTTCACTGGCGATATCGCCATTGATGACATAACAGTGTCCAACTACAGATGCTATGGTGCCACAACTACAATGACGACACCAACGACTGTGACCTCACCAGCAACCTATCCACCAACGAAAATTGACTGTGACTTTGAAATGAACATTTGTGACTGGAGTCAAGACAAGACTGATAAATTTGATTGGACAAGACATGCAGGTAGAACATCCTCATCAAACACAGGTCCAACAGCTGATCATACTCGCGGGGATTATCAGGGACATTACATGTACACTGAGGTTTCATCCAAAGCTCCCAATAGTACAGCACGATTGATCAGTTCAACATGGGTAATATCCTCACAAGGGAGCTGCTTTAAGTTTTGGTACTTCATGTATGGCGCAAATATCAATCGACTGAATGTGTATGCCAGGAATGGAGGAAGAGACACCAGGTTATGGACACGAGCTGGAGATCAAGGACAAATGTGGAAATATGCCCAGATATTCTTGAAGGGCTTTTCAGGGTCTACTGCTATTGTAATTGAAGGTTTTGCTGGGTCAGGGTATGTAGGAGATATTGCCATTGATGATATATCCATGAACAGTGACCACTGTCCAGCTCAAGTTTCTTGCGATTTCCAAGAAGGAACATGTGGTTACACTCAGGAGTACTCTGACAACTTTGACTGGACATTACACAATGGAGGAACAACTAGTTTAGGAACTGGACCCACAAGTGACCACACCTTTGGAACTCCAGAAGGTGCATACATGTACATTGAAACATCATCCCCACGAAGGCGTGGTGACAAGGCAAGACTGGATAGTCCTCTTCTCGTTCCAACTTCTGGATCTTGTCTTCAGTTTTGGTATAATATGAATGGGCGAACAATGGGAACTCTAAATGTATATCAGAGACAAGCAAATAATTTAGGGACTCCTATCTGGACACGAAGTGGAAATATCAATACTGACTGGCTCATTGCACAGGTGAATTTGCGAAGCACAACCCAATTCCAATTTACGTTTGAAGGCATAGTCGGTAATGGATTCCAGGGTGATATTGCAATCGATGATCTAATGTATAAGTCCGTACCATGTGCTCCTGAAGGTGACTGTTCATTCGAAAACGACTTCTGTACCTGGCAAAACTATGGAAAGAATGACACATTTGATTGGATAAGAGGCAAGGGTGCTACATCTTCTTCAGGAACTGGCCCTAGTGTAGATCACACATTAAACTCACGGTATGGGACGTACGCCTACATCGAAGCCTCTAGTCCAAGAAGACAAGGTGACAAAGCTTGGCTTGTATCTACAGCTTTCAGTAATGTGACACGATGTCTTTCCTTCTGGTACAACATGTATGGGTCAGGAATGGGATCTCTTAATATCAAGCTTTGGCCAAATGGTGCCGCAGTACAAAATCTGCAAACAGTGCAGAAGGCCACTTCTGGAACACAGTGGTATCTGACACGATTGACAATCCAAAATCAAACAGTTGACTACAGAATCATCATTGAGGGAATAGTTGGGCGCAGTTATTTGAGTGATATGGCTATTGATGACGTTGTTTTACAAGTAGGTGCCTGCAATGCCATCCCTACCCCTACACCATTCCAGAACTGTGCATTCCAATGTCCAACTATCTCAACTTGTGTCAGTACTCCCCATGTATGTGACTTTAATTCTGACTGTCCAAATGGAGAAGAAGAAACTGCGTGTGGCTACAACTGTAACTTTGATAATGGTACCTGCAAATGGGTCTCAAGGGCTAATGGAGGTTTCACATGGACACGTTACCATGGCGCTACACCGGATTCCAACACTGGTCCTTCGACTGATCACACTCTGGGCTCATCATCAGGCTATTACATGTATGTGGATGCTTCTAATGGAAGCAGGTATCAACGGGCCGATTTCACCAGTCCTGTCTTACAACAATCGGCATCAACATGCCAGATGTCATTATGGTATCACATGTATGGTAGTGGAATAGGAACAATGACTGTGTATCAAGTAGAAGGGACACTACGGACTAGGATATGGTACACGACAGGAAATCATGGCAACAGATGGTATCAAAAAATAGTACCCATTGGACGAATGAACCGACCTTTCCAGATCGTCATCCAGGCAGCAAGAACTTATAGTGTTCTAGGAGATATTGCTATTGACGATATTCAGTTCCAGCACTGTGGAATCCCAACACCACAATCCTGTACCCATACTTCAGCCCAGTTCCACTGTAACAACAACGCCTGCATAGATACAAACAGACAGTGTGACTACACTGATGACTGCGGAGATGGATCCGATGAAGCAACAACACTTTGTGCTGCACGCTACAAAAGCTGTGACTTTGAAAGAAGCATCTGTATGTGGACACAGTTGAAGGATGATGACTTTGACTGGTCGCGTCGCTCAGGCCAGACACCTTCAGCACAGACTGGTCCATCAAAAGATCATACATTAAACACAATTTCCGGACATTACATGTACATCGAAACATCATCCCCAAGGAAACAAGGCCAGAAAGCGAGACTGGCTAGTATGGTGTTTGGACCATCAACAACTGGACCATATTGCACCATGCGCTTCTACTATCTAATGTATGGAAAAGATGTAGCATCACTAGCTGTTTATACCAGAGCCTCTGTTAATGGACCCTTAATGAGAAAATGGATGAGACAAGGAGAGATAGGTAACTTCTGGTCCAGGACAGAGATTCCACTCTATTCTGCAACTCCATTCCAAGTAGTCATTGAGGCAAGCGTTGGCAAGAGCTATTTCAGTGACATAGCCATTGATGATATCACTTTCTCTCCGCTTTGTACTAATTACACAGGATCATTCCCCACAGTTCAACCAGGCATTTCCACACCTTCAACACAAAGCCCGTGTGGTGCTGGAAAGTTCCAGTGTTCCATCGGAAATCAGTGCATATCATCAACTCAAGTATGTGATTTTATTGCCCAGTGCAATGATGGTTCTGATGAGTCTCTTTGTGGAAAATGTAACTTTGAGACAGGTCTCTGTGGCTGGACTGTGGCTGGACTCAGCGTGGGAAGATACAAATGGGAAAGGCATAATGGGTCCACACCATCAGCTGTATCAGGCCCATCTCATGACCATACTCTAGGATTATCTGGAATTGGCTGGTACATGTTTGTCGACTCTTCTCTAGGATCCTTCTTTGGAGATGCAGCGATGATGTCTCCGGTTTATGGACAACTATCAAGTGGATGTCAAGTAACATTCTGGATCTTTAAGAACGGCAATCAAGGAGGAGTAATGAGATTGTTTCTCCTTGCTCCAGGTGCATCAGTGAACAGTAAGACAGGAAAGACTTTGATCTGGTCAGCACTTGGTGACAAAGGCAATCAGTGGGTCAATGTAACAGTTGGAACAGGCGCAAGAGGACCTGGATTCCGTCTGTTGTTTGAGGCTACTCAATTCCAGAAATCTGTCGATATGGCCATAGATGACATTTCATTCACTCAGTGTGCTATTGGTAGTCAAATGGCTTCATGTTCAAGTAATCAGTTCCACTGCAAGAGTGGATCATGTGTTGATCAGAATTCTCTGTGCGACTTCCAGAATGACTGTGGAGACTGGTCTGATGAATCGAGCTGTTCAAACTATGTGGAACGCTGTAACTTCGAACAGGACATGTGTAACTGGATCCAAGATAAAACAGATGACTTTGACTGGCAACGAACTAGAGGAAGAACAATGACGATTGGCACTGGTCCAGATTCTGACCACACGTATGGTAATGAGACTGGATACTTTGTCTATATAGAAACATCGGGTCCACGCAAACCAAATGACACTGCAAGAATTATGAGTCCTATCTTCCAGGCAACAACATCGGGCTCTTGTAGCATGAGGTTCTTCTATCACATGTTTGGTAAAGACATCAATTCTCTCACAGTATACAAGCAAACGGCTGACGTTGGAGGTAGAATTCCCATATGGATGAGAAGTAACTCCCAAGATGATGCCTGGAATCATGCAAGTTTTGTCCTTACCAGTCAGCAGAATTTCAGAATTGTCATTGAGGCGACGAGAGGCAGCGGCTATCTTGGAGACATTGGACTTGACGATGTATCATTTACACCAGGGTGTCAAATTGCAAACAGAGTTACTCTTCCCGTGTCTCAAGCAACGCCTGGTCCGTGTGGGTTTGGTAAACAGCAATGCAAAGATGGGAAGCAATGTGTCAAGGCAGGATCAACCTGCAACTTCAGAAAAGATTGCTCAGATGGAAGCGATGAAGCATCCTGTCCTTATACATGTAGTTTTGAGGGAGGCAACTTCTGTCAATGGACAAACCAAATTGCAGGATCAACATTCAACTGGACACTAGGTACTAATGGAAACCCAGCAAGTAAAACCGGACCTAGTGGTGATCACACATCAGGACAAAGTAATGGCCATTATGCAGTTGTAAGTAATTCAGGGCGAAAATCCCAGGAGAAGGCGCAGCTTGTCAGTCCTCTTTTCAGTCAAGGCGGACCTACATGTAGCATAACATTTTGGTATGCTTTAGGAGGATGGGAATTCTCATCATTCAGTCTGCTGTTAAGGACAGGAGGAATTGATGCACATATCTGGCAAATGCCTAACAGTCCAAAACCGTTGAACAACTGGTACAATGTCACTGTTAATTTACCAGTCTGCTCCTCAGACTTCCAGCTTGTGTTTGAGGCTGTTGCAACCTCAAGCTCAGTTTCATACATCGCAGTCGATGATCTGGCATTCGTCAGTTGTGGAGAATCGTTGCCTCAGGGACAGTGCCTTCTTGGACAGTACCAGTGTGCCAGTGGGCACTGTGTACCAGAAAACCTGAAATGTGACTATCAAACAGACTGCTGTGATGGATCGGATGAATCCGTGAATAACTGCAATGCTTACTATGGATGTGATTTTGAACAAGGCACATGTGGGTGGATTCAGGATATGAACGACAACTTTAACTGGACCAGACAACGTGGACGAACAATGTCATTCCTGACAGGACCAAGCAACGATCATACAACTCTTTCAACCACAGGCTACTATTTGTATATTGAATCATCACCCCCAAGAATGCCTAACGACACTGCAAGAATCATATTTGCTCTGCCAAAGACAAACGGGCCTTGTGCCATTCGATTCTGGTACCACATGTATGGAGCAAACATTGGTGCCCTCAATGTCTATCAGAAATCTTTCCAGGCAACAAAACTTCTGTCGTCAACAACCAGTGAGCAAGGAAACAGTTGGCTGCGACAAGAAGTAAGCTTCCAAAGTTCCACACCATATGAAGCTATCATTGAAGGTGTGGTTGGTGTTGGATACAAAGGTGACATAGCAATAGATGATATCACATTCACACCTGGCTGTGGTGCTGCTCCACCAACCACAAATGTTCCAGTTACAGGAATTACACAGTACCAAACATTTACACCACCAGCTAACTACACTGGAACTCCATGTGTTAACAACCAGTTCACCTGTAGTGATGGATCGTGCATCCCTCCAACCAAGACATGTGACTTTACCCCTGATTGTCCAAATGGCATTGACGAACAAAACTGCCCCATCACGTGTGGTTTTGACACGGATACGTGTGGTTGGCTTAACGCTCACCAAGACAAATTCAACTGGGAGAGGGCTTCAGGGGCATCAACAGCGAGTGTACCAGCTATGGCTCCAACGGTTGACAGCACATCCAACCCTAAGGGATACTTTGTATTCATCCATGATCAGACATCAGCTCATCCAAGTGGGAACAATGCTGTTTTTACAAGTCCAACTTACAATGGAGCCAGTTCCGAGTGCAAGCTTCAATTCTACTACTACATCCAAGGATCAGGATTTACCACTCATCTTACTCTCTCCATCTACGAAAAGGGAGATAAATCAAAGCTATGGCAAGACAACACAGACCATGGACAGACATGGCAACACACAACAGTAGGAATTGGTAGAAGACAGTCTCCCTTCACATTGGAATTTGAAGTGGTCGGTCCCTATTTCTACCAGCGAAAGATTGCACTGGATCAATTCCAGTTCCAAGACTGTGGACGCCCCCTTCCCCAACCATCGTGTAACCTAGCAACTCAGTTCAAGTGCACAAATAAGGCTTGTGTCAGCTTAAGTAGGAAATGTGACATTACAGACAACTGTGGGGACAGTTCCGATGAAACAGATCCAGACTGTTCAACATACAAGAAGTTTGACTTTGAGCATGGCTTTGGGGATCTACTTCAAGGCAGAAATGGACTTGATGATAACTTTGACTGGATCCGCTGGAACGGCAGCACACCTTCATATAACAGTGGGCCAGATCGGGATCACACTACCGGATTAGCAACTGGGCATTACTTATATATGGAAGCCTCACAACCGCACAAGTATAATGACAAGACATGGTTGATGACTAAAACATTCAGTCCAACAGCAGGGAAGAATTGCCGTATGAGGTTCAGCTATTTTATGTATGGGACGTTTGTCAAGCAGCTCAACATCTACACCAGAATTTACAACTCTGGAACACCTACCAACCTTGTCTGGGCAAGGGCCGGAGATCAAGGTGCAGCCTGGCTACAGGACGACGTCGCTCTTAATAGTTCCAACAGCTTCCAGGTTATCATTGAAGGCAAAATCGGAGACAGCTACTCAGGTGACATTGCCATTGATGATGTATCCTTCACACCAGACTGTCAATACTCGGGACAATCTCTGCCAGACGCTCCTCGTCCTGATGTGACTGGGACAACACTGACCCCACCAACCACAGCCCCCCATTCCTGTGATCTGAACAAAGAGTTCAACTGCCATGTTAGTGGAAAATGCATAAACAAGATAAAAGTGTGCGACTTCCGAAAAGACTGTCCAGACGGCTCAGATGAATCCAGTTGTGGTAAGTATGCAGTTATGGTTGTAACTTGAATGTGTTTATCTATTGCATTTTAATGATAATGTGAAAAAGGCAAGAAATATTACTTTGGAGAAGGTCTCTTTTGTACAATAATTGACAAATCCTTCACAAATAACACACCGACCGATTTAATGACAAAGAAGAAAAAGAGATTGTAACATTCATTCGGGGATGGTGGAGACAAGCCCCGCCTCTCATGTAGCTGCAAATCTCATGTAGAAGATCAGATCAACAAGCACTTTCTGTCTTAGTTGCTGCAACAACCACCTTTGAGTCAGGAAACATGGGTAACTGGCATATCAACGAGACTGAGCTTGTTCCTGGGCAGACATACATCTGGCAAGATACTTACGGCGGGGCCATACTGAATGACCAATACCGGTACGTTCTCGCGACACCTTCATGGAGTATACAAAACTATAACTGAGAAGGTGCTAATAGGAACAATGCTTATCACGAAATACACACTGCACATTCATCCATATCATTTTTTGTTTTCTTCAATGACGTTTGAATGCGATGTCATTATCCCGAAATCAGTTGGTGAAAAGAGGAACGCAATCTGATTGTAAACAGTTTGTATGTAATGTGTCAGTATGTTAGGGTGATATGGAAGGAATCCTTTTTACACTAAACTGAATCTTTCAAAAATCTGTCAGGTACTGATATCTTGTTCAGGTTCCATACCATGAACAGTAGATCATGGTATCAAAGGTACAGCGAGTATTGGGAGCTTGTATCTTTGGGTTAAATGGATTATTAAAAATATACATAATCAGTTTACATACAGATACTCGTCCTGACCATTTGTTCAAGGGTTAACTCATCATAAATGTTCTTAATTAGGCCATCACATGACCATACCAACAGTGCCACGAACACAGGCTGGTTCTTGTGGGCAGACAGTTCTCCAGGTTCAATCAAGGATACAACAACAATCATCACTCCCACAATTAGCCAGACAGGGCCTCAATGTCAACTGCAGTTCTATTACTTCATGTCTGGGAATGCACTGGGAACCCTGGAGGTGTACATGAAGTTTGGTAGCAGCATGGTGCAGATGTGGGCGACAAGTGGTGTCCATGGGACGACGTGGAACAAAGCACTTATCTTCCTTGGATATTCGCAAAGCTTCCAGGTGAGAACAAAGAGTCGGTGTATATAATGCTGGCATGATTCTTTCCAATCTACCTTGTAGATTGTGACAATTAACTATGTGTCTTTACGTTCAAAGGGGTTGGGATATATGTGAAGATCATGCGTGCCCTTTTGCATTATACGCCTGGACTACTGGATAAATAACAATTACATCTTCCTGCAGATTGTAATTCAAGCAAGACGTGGATACAGCTACCGAGGTGACATTGCACTAGACGATGTGTCCTTCATCAACTGTAAGCCAGTGACACCATCCCCGAATGGATGCAGTGCAACACAAATGACCTGCAGCAACGGCTTCTGCATTGACCAGTCCAAGAAGTGCAACTTCGCCAACGATTGTGGAGATGGATCCGATGAGTTGGTCAGTACATAAAGATGCCATGGTTCTTTGGATTAAGAAAAAAGGATATGTCTAAGAGAACAGTCCGAGGAGATTTCAAGCATACGTCATTAACCTTACCATTTGCTGCACAAGAAGTTAAATGGTCTTGTATTGGCAATATTTTGAAGTAGGCAAGTGGTTAATCACACTAAAAACATATGTTCCTTTATAGGTACTTTCCTGGTATCTGTACCATTCATGTTTCTGCAGGGAGAAACATTGTTGTGTATGGGATAGGATGTTGCATACTCACTGGCTTTCTCTTTCACAGCAAACCCAATGTAATAGTCTGTACAAAGGAAGATGCGATTTTGAACATTACATCTGCTCGTCCTGGACCCAGGAGGTCAGCGCCAAACTCAACTGGACATTGCACCAAGGTGTCACACTGACCCCAGGCACTGGACCATCGGTGGACCACACATCGCGTCATGCAACTGGTCAGTTCTCTTTATCCAGTTGTGGTGATCTTATATATTCATTTAGGGGTCATGAGTGACTAGTTATCTAAGTAATGGTCGAAAATCGATACATTACTCATTACTGTTAACTTAATGGGATAACGTCCCTGTTCGAGTCCCTCGAATTGTTTACTAAACCTTGAGCTATAACGAGTGTATGTCATCTCTACTTGCAAACTGCAATCACCTGCTGTTAACAGTTTTAGTGTTATTAACCGTATTGTATGTCTGCACTTTTATCACGCAGATCATAGAATGATAATGTTATACTTACCTTCGTTGATATCTCTCCCCAGGACACTATCTGTATATTGAAACCTCCTCACCAAGCCAGACAGGAGACAAGGCCAGACTCGCATCGTTTGTCATTAAGGGGTCGTCTACCAACTGTGCTGTAAGTGTTGCGTTATTGTCATGGCGTTGCTTTAAAGGATCTGCATCGTCTTGAAGTATTGTTGGGGACTGTAGATATTCCTGTTGGAAAAGCCCCCAGCAAGCTATGCTTAATGATGGATAGTCAGAATCTATTGCCTGTCATCATACCCTGACGGCGCGGATTGTTGCTCATATTATCAAGCACTGGTTTGACAGGACACCATCATATAGATGTACTTTTGCAGAGTGACGCGTTAATTTGTTTTAACCTTCTTACAAAAAGGATTACAGTGAAACTCAGTTCTGTAGATTTCCCCTTGGAACTTGTATATATAAACTTTAAGATGATAATTAATATCAATGTTTCATTAATCTGGGCGATTCACTTGGAACGGTACCCTCACTATTTCGTGTTCATTATTCTGTATAGTTATAAGAAATGGCACCTAGTTGTTATGAACTTGAGTGCGGTTGTTTTATAGGATAAATTGACAGTACTTTGGCTCACATCGACATTACTATCCTTCAAAGCCTGTGGTATGATTCGGATATTTTGTTCATTCTCCGGTTTTGCCCCCGTTTGTCTTTATATTTCAAACTATTGGTTAATGGAATTGGCTTCGTATTTCACAAAGATCCGACTATGGTACAACATGAACGGCGCGGATGTTGGTGCACTGACCATCTACAAGAGATTCGACTACACTACGACTGGGCTGTATCTGATCGCAAACTACACAACAAATAGAGGCGATGTCTGGATAGAGTCACAGAACACCCTCGACAACAAAGGCGGGACAGGAGACTACCGGGTAAGAAGATAGTCTCTGATGACATGGGGCGCTTCTGTTACAAACGTCAGCCATGTTCAATCGAAATGTTACTTTTTATCCCTATCAGTAAATGTGTAGCCGGTAGGACGTGATCATTATCTGAAGCGGTATACTCACCAGGAGAATGTTATCAGATCACTGCCATGTTGTGGTCATTATATTGCTGACTCCCACCTAAAATAATTCTCAGTGATGAACACTAATGTTTTCAATTTATTTCAGGTTGTGATCGAAGCAACGAAGGGAAACGGTTACCATGGTGACATTGCAATTGATGACGTTTCACTTACGCCAGGTTGCCAACGAGGAGGTAAATCACTCATCAACCTCCATATATTAACTTTGCAACCAACAGATGTCCAAAATTAATAACCCAGTCTTGATTTTCTTTTGAAATGGTTCTAGTAATATTCTGCGTGATGTGTGTGTATATAGTAGTTATTCACATAAATGCATTATTCAGGGTTTTCGACACGTCCCTCTCTGTGTTATAGGGTATATCCCCGGTCAAGCCACGCCTCCCCCGACCACACCATCTTCTTGTAAGAATAACCAGCGCAGCTGCACTAACGGCAACTGTTACAGCCGGAATGAGGCGTGCAACTTCCATGACGACTGCGGCGACCAGACTGATGAATTATCATGTGGTGAGGAAAATCAAATTCTCATCAGTCAGAAGAAAATCAAGTATTGATTTAGTTCAGTTTTCAAAATGTTATTTGATATATTTAGCCCAAGGACGCTTGTCCAATATAGAAGTTGCGATTGTTCTTTTATTTTTTCACAACACATATTTTTCAGGGCAATTGCATGTCCAGCGAACACTTTGATGTTTTGTGTAAAAAAAATTATTTCAGGAACTTCATGTACATTCGAAGACGGGATGTGTGGGTGGAAGAATGACAAGGGAGAGAATTTTGACTGGACCACTCACACCGGCCAAACAACCAGTGCCAACACGGGGCCTACCAATGATCACACTTTTGGCACCGGCAATGGTGGGTTTCATCAGAATACGACATCAGTAATATCTTAATATTATCAAATGTTATGGAAGAAGTTTACATAATGTGAAGATAATGTGGATATGAATGTAGCCATTCAATAGTAAACCTAAATCAGATACTATCTTGTTGTGACCTTAATGTTATACCTACGAACATCTTTCCCTTGAACATGAACAGAGAATAAAAGGAACAGTTTGAAAAGTCCGTTTTTAGTGGCTATTCACATTTTGGCATAACAATGTTAATCTACCACATCCTGCAGACAATGGCCAATGTCACAAAGCAATCTTATTGGTGATGTGTTATCGAATCATAGGCCATAAAAAACTTATTTCAACAATAGCTAATTCAAGAATATTTTGTTCTCGTAAGCAGCCGTTGCAGTATAATTGAAATATCAGTATTGTCTCATAATGGCTCTAAGTTTCTACTACTACCACTACTACTATTACCACTACTACTGCTGCTATTACCACTACTGCTGTTACTACTACTACTACTAGTAGTAGTCTTATTATTATTGGTCTGAAACCGATTTATTTCATGTACAAAACCAAATAGTATTGATCATGCAAAATAATATCGTTCTGATCTCACAGCTTTTTTTAAATCAAGACGATAGTAGGGTGATGTATCTTTCACGGCCTTACGTAATCATAGTAGATGGATAAGAAGTCATTACTGTCACACAAGTTTTCAAAGTCATTCAAGCAATACCTTCATATTTTGTAGGTCATTACATATACATAGAGACCAGTGGACAGTTACGTAATGGCGATACTGCAGTTCTTGAGAGTTCCATCTACACACAGAGCGGTCCCAACTGCCAGCTGACGTTCTGGTACAACATGTATGGCGCCAACGTCGGGAAGCTCAATGTCCTTGTTAAGACAGTGCAGGGTGGCATCGTTTCACTGTGGTCAAAGACCGGAAATCAGGGACAGCCATGGCAACAGGCAAATCTTACCATTGGTTCAAGGACTAAATTCGCAATACTCTTTGAAGCTACAAGAGGAAATGGTTATCAAGGCGACATTGCACTGGATGACATATCACTCAACAACTGTGGGATTGGTAAGGATTGCGTTGGTCCCCAAAAGAAGGATTTTCGAATTTACTATTTCTAATGAAACAACTCGTTAAGGGGGGTTACAATACTCTTGTTTATTTTCATCCACATTTTCCTTCCACAACTTCCTATATTTCTTGATTCTGCCTGTGTTATTCAACCCCGTGCATTGATTACTCATTTCCGTCACTACCTTGGGAATTCGAGGGCTGATTAGGTCCCTAGAACCCCTCGCTTGTGATATGGACCGACTACTCAGGATGTGATAGTATATTACACTGTGTGTAACCTAGTTGACAGACCATGTGACTTGCTTGATACTACGCATCGTGCTCCGATTGCAAGCAATATTGATCCAGCTAGTAACCATTTACCAGGTATAGACTCCATTATTTTAAAGGCCTTGGTAATAGGGCTGTGATGTAAATAACTGTTATAACATTGATTCCCTTACTCACTCCTTTCAATTACTTGGGTCCATCAGCTCATAGATGCTTATATTCAACGTTAATTGGTTTTCTGCACTGTTTGTTTGTTTGTTTCTTGTTTAACGCCACACTCAGCAATATTGCAGCTATATGACAGCGGTCGGTAAATAATCGAGTCTGGACTCGACAATCCAGTGATTGATATCATGAGCATCGATCCAAGCAATTGAGATACGATGATATGCATCAACCAAGTCAGCAAGCCTGACCACCTAATCCCATTAGTCGCCTCTTACGACAAGCATAGTCACCTTTTACAACAAGCATGGGTTTTCTGAACTGATTACAATTGTAACTAGCTGTATTGATAACTATAATTTGAGCAACAGATTAGTGTAACACATTATTTGACTGGAACTAGCTGTACAATGGGATGGTAGCATTTTGCCTGTGTTGAAATCGTGGACTCAGCATATCCTCATATCCGCTTACAGGCACATTAGCACAAAAGTGCGGCGACAACCAGTTCATATGTACAAACCAGATCCAATGTGTGGACTACATAAATATGTGTGACAAAAAATCCGACTGCAACGATGGCTCAGATGAACTTTCAAGCAACTGCCGTAAGTAACCCATTTTCAACATAAATCGTGTATACTCCCAACAGAGCTGAGAATATGTGTATTATTATTATTGTTGTTGTTATTGTTGTTGTTGTTTTTAACGTAGAAAACGATGTACCTGATGTGTTTTACAAAGTTGTAATCATTTACTGTTAAATTTGAGATACATGTAACACCCCAGTCGATTATATAAAAGATTAATCGGTTGCAGCCACCCAGCTTGGAGACTGCACGTTTGACAGCCAGAACTGGATGAGCACATGTCAATGGACATCGGTCAACACTACTGATGCCCAGTGGTACCAGGCTGCACGAACACCCACCAAGGGCACAGGACCTGGCAGTGACCATGGTCGACGTGCAGGAGGTATGTAGCCTACTTGCATCATGAAGCCACACACATATATCTTTACAAGCTGTGGTAGCAGTGTAGACTTGTGGATTTCAACTTAAATGCATCAAACAGACAGTGATCTTATTTATTGTCTCTGTTTCCAGGAAAATACATCTTCATGGACAGCAGCAAGATGGCTGTTGGAGACATAGCCAGCATAGCCACGCCTCAATTCCCTCCCAGCACCGAGCTGTGCCACCTGCGATTCTACTACTATATGCACGGATCAACTAACATGGGACCACTAAACGTATGACAGCATAATCATGTGGATATTTTGAAAGTATATTATTAACAAACAAATAGCTTGCTTCAAGAAAGGCGCTTTAACCACAAGGCTACCCACACAGGTCCAATATGTGATGCACATTTCTGGTGTCCAACACCATGATAGTGCTGGAATATTGCCTAAAGCGGCGTAACACAATACTCACTCAATAGTCCAGATAATTGTGAAAAAAAATTTTTGGCCTCAAGTTTTGCAACAAAACACATTGTTCGCTGGACATGCAGTCCTGGCATAATTGTGTTGTGAAACAAATATTCTTTTGGCTCCGACTTTCAGAGGAGTGATGGAAAAATATTCAGTTTTTAACAAAAATCCCAGTCCCTTGAGTCTGCACATCCCAGTGTTGTAAAGAAAGCTAAGGGCAAACCCTCGCTCTCCACTGTCACTATGTATCTATACCCATACTGGAGTTACAAGGACTGTTTATTAGCTGTTTTTATTTGACACCCAAAGGTGTACATGGTGAATACACAAGGTCAACGACAGCTCGTGTGGACGCTGCAAAACAACCATGGCACACGGTGGGCCCGAGTCAACATTCCTATTGGCAACACGCTCGGGTTTAAGGTCATCTTCGAGGCAGAACGAGGTACTGGCAAACTTGCTGACATCGCCATCGATGACGTCACATTTACCCCGGAATGTACCACAGGAAGTGAGTATGCATGTGCCTACCTAACTATGTGCAAAATGAGCTGGGAATAGAGCAGTTTATGTAATGGTAAATAATGCAACTGATATATAACGTCAACGCCAGAGCATAAGCACTCTGGGTTATTCGCCGAAACAGATTCCATTGGGCGTAAATGGCAAAATGACGGTGAAAGTTATAGGAATGGATCACTGAAAATCAGTGATCACACTTGGTGTTTTTGAAAAGGGTAAACCTATCCTATCCTACCCGTAGCACCCATCGCCAAACAATTAAAAGATATAAGTAGACGGACGTGTGGTAAAATTACACGCGTCTAGATATAGAATCATTTTACAAGGAGAATAACACTACCGTACTGAATATGCTTTGACGATGACCCAAATGACCCAAGTTTCTTAACGCAAAATATGACTAGCGAAATCCAAAAGAGCTGCCAATTCTCCTTTATTGATCCTCTAACCCATCAAGGACTCCAAGCCCAAAACACTGAGCATTTGTTTTTCAAATTTGATTGACAGAGGCTCGGCCAGCCAGTGGACTTGTGTGTAGTTTCAAAGAGAATCTGTGCGAACCTCTCAATCAGTGTCAACCAAGCACCTGGCACTGTGATGGTGTGCAGGACTGCACCGATGGAAGTGACGAACCCGCCAGCTGCCCCACCATCTCTCATTCAGTTTATTGTAAGATATTTTATTTGGAAAAACTTTAATTCTGTACAGGAGGATGATAACGATAAATGGTGTGTATAAACACTGAAACGCAGACGCCTGTGGCGTGTCATTTAAGAAGGTGAACTAGGGGAGATTAGTTTGAAACCTTGGGTGTATATACCTTTGGTATGTTGAACATATGCTTTTCTTAAATTGTCAGCAACACAGCATGGTGCAATACAACGATTTAAAGTTTTGGAATGTCACACACACAATGACCAAGCCTTATGGCATCTATGAATGATTGTTTAGTGAGCAGCACTGTTTCTTAAAAAATATTATTTATGTCAAAGAATTATGTTTTGGTTTTTTTCAGCTAAGACAGTCACGTCGACCACACCAACCACGTCACGGACGACATCTGGAATCACGTGTCCAGATAGTAAATTTGCTTGCTCCGGACTGTGCATCTCGTCCGTACTACTCTGTGATGGTGTGAGCGACTGCCCTGACGGCTCAGATGAAAACTCGTGTGGTAAGCATAGTTGGCATTTATGTATATGATACCCTGGAACGTATGTCATGTAGGTGGCGTCACATTGGAATGCCCTTTCTGTACACTTCCAGATACATACATGTGAGTATAGAAACAACCCAGTCACGTCAAATAACACAAAAGTATAAGCCTCGTTAGTGAAATAAGCCCGCTTTGATGGATCACCCGACAACAACCTTTGAATCAAACCACACACGTATCGTTGTGAATGTCTTTTAGAGATACTCTTGTATGTTGTTATAATATTGATATTGTGCCTTTCAGAAACGTGCTCCAAAAGCAGCTTCTACTGCCTCCAGAAACGACAGTGTATGGGTCGATGGATGATCTGTAATGGAAAGTCCGAATGCTTCCACAACATTGGTGACCAATTTGGTCAAGATGACGCCAGTTGTGGAGGTGAACACGCAATATGATCTTCTATAGTTAGTGATGTTTGGCGCGACAACGTCTGCCTGAAATAGCACAATCCCTGCCAGCTGTTTCAGTCCTCATGGTTTCCTTGTGATAAAACTAAAGCCAATGAAATAAGACTTGTAGTAATGTAAAACCATACTTGCTCCCCAAAATGCAACTGTACGTTCAAGAAATATTTTGCATCTGGAAGGTATCGAGAATTCTAGCGGGGTACTGCAAAAGGGGAGGTAAACCCTACTGTTTCTTATTTTCTGATCCTCCTGTTGTCTTCGTACCTGATCTCAACTGGGTTATTACAGAATGTCCGACCAACTATTGCCTGAACGGAGGGACTTGCGTCGTAAAACCAGGAAACAAGGGCCCAGTTTGCAACAAGTAAGACTGTTAAATCTTAATCTTTAATCAGTTGGAACCTATGATCATGTCTTGTTTACCACTTTATGATTTATTTCATATGTATCTTAAATTGAAAAATAATTTAAATTGAATGTGTTATTTTTGTATTCAATTGTTTCCTGACCCATCCCTAACCGTCTCTTGTAGCTGTCCCGCCGGGTTTGGAGGTCGGCGCTGTCATCAGAACATCCAAGGTCCTACACGAGCTTCTGTACAGAAGACTACCACTCACACTGGTAAGGGTGTGTTTCATCATGTGGTAGCCTTCAAACCATATAACCAAACCATGGAAGTCCTATTGCTCGACGATCTTGCCTATTAGATGGTGCCAAAGAACTACGTCTTTATTTTCTCATAATGTCTGCATCAAATTTCGGCCCGTGAAGACGCCGGGGTAGAATAGGTCTTCAGAAACCCATACTTGCCGGAAAAGGCGACTATGCTTGTCATAAAAGGCGACTAACGGGACGAGTGGTCAGGCTCGCTGACTTGGTTGATGCATGTCATAGATCCCAATTGCGTGGATCGATGTTCATGATATTAATCACAGGATTGTCTGGTCCAGATTCGATTATTAACAGACCACCGTCATATAGCTGGAATATTGCTGAGTGCGGCGTTAAACAACAAACAAACCATCAAATTTCAAATAGCCCCATGAAGATTCCGGGGTAGAATAGGTCTTCAGCAACTCATGCTTGCCGTAAAAGGCGACTATGCTTGTCGTAAAAGGCGACAAACGGGATCGGGTGGTCAGACTCGCTGACTTGGTTGATGCATGTCATTGATCACAATTGCGTGGATCGATGCTCATGATATCAATCACTGGATTGTCTGGTCCGGACTCGATTATCTACAGACCGCCGTCATATAGCTTTAATATTGCTGAGTGCGGCGTTAAACAACCAACCAACCAACCAACCAACCCAGATGTCTCTAACCTGTCCCTTTTATCCAGCATATAACCTTCCCAATAACCTCCTCAATGTTTACAGGCAACCTACTCAATATGGACATGAAACCTTTTAAAACTGGACATGTATCTTCTAAGTATGGATATGTAACCTCAATGTGGACAGGTAACTCCTCAATATGGGCATGTAACATGTGGGTATTTTTACTCTCCATCTTCATCTGCAGCTGCCCTGGCGGCCTCGCTCAGTGTTGTCCTGGTGCTACTTGCTGTGGGAGGCGTTGTTGGCGGACTCTTCTTCTACCGGCGTCGAAAGGCCAGGTGCGAGCCAAAATTCACATTAACACGATTATGGGACGTTTCCTTTATAAGAACTCTTATACAATTATGCTTCCAAAGCAATTTTTACTTCTGTGAAAACCACATGCTCAATTAAATGAAGATTCCTGATCAGATTAGGTCCCGATCATCCCATTCTTGTCGTAAGAGTTGGCTAAGATGGGATGCGGATGATTACAATGTGTCACTTTCTTACTGTGTGTTGTCGTATACCGACGGCGTGGATTGTTGCTCATGATATCAACCACTGGTGTGCCTGGTCAAGGTCGGATTATTTATAGGCGTGTGTCATATAGCTGGAATATTCCTGACTGCAATAACAATATGCATTCGCTCACTCACCCATTTTACCATTTGTCACATTGCACACCACAACTTCTCTTGTTTCAGGCAACTCCTGTATGGCAGTGGAAATCAAGGCTTAACCAACCCTGTGTATGACTACGGGAGCGGAGAAACTGACGTAAGTTATGAACTTTACTCAGATCGTTGCCAGCCAAAATAAATTAAATTGAAAGGAAATGAGAAATCAAAAAGGACCCCAGACAATTTTGTACAAAACGGACTCGTGCATTGAGTGCCTATTGGCCGTAACAACTGGTCCTAACGTGCTGTATATATTGATTGTAGCCCACTCACAGAGCTACATCGTCTTTTATCTCTTGAAACAGTTTTTTTAAAGCTAAATATGTCCTATATCGTATTATCATCTGAGCGTCATGGTGAACTACTTTTGATGATTGATTATTGTTTCATAGTGAGTGAGTGAGTTGGGTTTAACGCCGCTTTTAACAGTATTCCAGTTATATCACGGCGTGTCAGCTTAATGTGGGAGGAAAGCCCGAAGTGATGCAGGTCTCAGACGTTTACCACTTCGGTGAAACCCAAGAGCACGGGTATGGTGCTGACAAACCTAGAAACATAATCGGTGCGAACTGGGATTCGAACCCACAATCATAGGTTTCTGGCGTGCCCAAGGGACGCAACTCTGCACAGCGAATCGCGGCGCCTTAGACGACAAGGCCAGCCGTGCCCCCTATTTTTTCATAAATTATAGACTCGCTATCGCGATAAGAAAGGAAAACTATGAGCTATTATTCAGAGTGTTGAGATTAAATTTAACATTAAAAAATCAGTTTTCTTCTGAATAAATGATATTTCCCGATGAAGCTATATGTTTTCGACTGTTAGTGATCGACTGTATTTTAAACACGTTTTAAAATATTTTTTAATGTGCTGGTGTCAATCAATCCTTGTACAATATTATCAAAATTATTCTGTGTCAGTCAAAGAATAACTTCAACATAATTGTTTTTCTGTCTATTATGAGTCAAAACATCCAACAAAGATTAAGCGATGTCAGAAGCTACCCATATTTCTTAATCAATGATAATAAAGAGAATATTACAGTCATATAATTTCAACTAATAAATTTCCAAATTCGGCCATATGTACTAGGGCGTTGGGGTAGCCTTGTGGTTAAAGCGTTCGCTCGCCATGGCAAACATCCAGGTTCGACACCCATTTCTGTGTCCCAAAACCGTGATATTGCTGGAATATTGCTAAAGCAACATAGTCACTCACTCACTGATGTGCCTGTCAAGTGTTAGTATATTTTCTTGACATTTTTCTTTCTTGATATTATTAATCTGAGTATTTGTTTGTTTGTTTGTTTCAGTACCAAATGAGTGATCTTGAGCCTCAAGGCCTCAGCTCAGACCCATCGCTATCCATCGACAACCCACTCTACTCCGAAGCTTAAATGTCCTGTCATCTGGAAAATCCTGAACAATGCTTGCAAATATATAATTCTTACTTTAAAACATGTTTTCCGTGATATCTAAATTTGTAAATGTTACAAGTAAAACCATGTTGTTATTGTTTAATTGGTAATGTTCCTCTGAAATAAATGAATTTTCAAATACATCTCTGCGTTTTTCGTCACTTCAAGTCTGTGAATGGATGAGTGGGATTTTACGCCGCTTTTAGCAATATTCCAGCAATATCACGGCGGGGGACACCAGAAATGGACTTCACACATTGTACCAATGTCGGGAATCGAACCCGTGTCTTCGGCGTGACGAGCGAACGCTTTAACCACTAGGCTACCCGACTGCTCCCAGTGTATGGATAGTGAAGACAGAATGCAGTATGATAACAGAGGGAATACTCACTCAATATTTTTGTATGGCGGTGAAACCAGTGATCCAAGGCGCATTGATTATCTGTACCAGGATTCGCTGGTCGGAGTTGATTCCAAGACTCGCTTTCATTATTATTTTTGCTCATCAACACGACTTTTTACGCTTGCACACATTGGGATCTTAATGCACACGTTGTAATGATCACACATGTGGTAGCATATAATACAACTTCACATACACCAATATACACACATTGATATATAATAAATTTTATGGTCATGAGTAGATGTGTGAAAGCGAGTGAGTTAATAATTTACTTCAGCTGTCTTGATGTAAGCATCATAACCCAAAGCATCACCATTACTGATGTTGACGACTGTTTGCATTCCTGGATGAAAGTGAAATGAAAATGATACTTATGTTATTTATTCAAGAAGCAATCTTTAAAGGCAAAACGGTTAAATAAATGTCAAGAAATACATTCTATTTTTTTAGAAAGTATCAAGGTATGAGTTTCCGTTACACTTGAAGTGTGGCTGCTCGTGGTTACCCAATACCCGTTCACTTTCATTAGACATATCCCATTGGGGATTCCAGGTTGGAATTATTCTAACATAAACGAACACGTTTGCTGGTATCATACACATACACTGGTCGTAAGAGGCGACTTATTGGATCGGATGCCCCAACGGGGAATAATATTCTAACCATATCAATCACTGAATTCTCTGGTCCAAAGTTGATTACTTACAGGACGCTGACATACAGGTGGGTTATTGCTGAGTGCGGCACTAAACAAACAAACAAGCAATGTAGGCATCCGTTTTGGCTTTCATTGCGATCATATCTGATAGAATTGTGGTCTAGATCTGTCTCTGCTACTGAAAATAAATGTCTAAGAAGTCTGCATACAACATTCCATGGAAAGTGTGTAAAGGTATGCAATGGAGGATGTTTTTCGAAGTGGCCACCCCATGAGCCTCACTATTATGCCAACATTTATAACAATTTTTAACATATGTTTTATGATAACATATGTGTGCCCTTGATCCTGATAAGTAAGTGATTTTCTACAAATTGAATTGGACAAATTATACAGATCATCATTTTTCAAATTTTCTTTGGTCGCATTGTACATACTCTAGTTCTTCTGTGCTCGTACGTTGTGTCCAACGCTCCTTTCTGCACTGAGCCACATCTTGATATGATTTTCTCTTATTCCAAGTTTTTTTATGCATGTTCGGAAACATAAGTGCCTAAAAGTTAAAACCAACAGTAGATGTGAATAGATTTTGCTGAGTTAAACCCAAATAGCCCATTTTTGTTCAAGACTAGAATTACCTATCAATTGTTTTTTAATCACACGTAGGTTGCAACATTGAATCCCTGTTCTAAGTTAGATAAAATGCTTCTTTTACACAATGTATTAAAACATTGTTTGTAGATGAGATGTATATACAGATTTAGCCCCCTTTCAAAACTGGTGTGCAGGTTGCAGTTTGAAACCTCTGTTTATGAGTCAAAACATACGGTATCATACCATGCCGATACATGAAGGAACATATGTCTTGACAGTGTAAAAACACATTTCTATATTTTCAAGTTTTTGAATTACATGTATCTTTATTAATTATATTTGTGTCTAGCTGTGTGTAGCTGCCTGTAGTAGTCCAGATTAATGCTGATTTATAGTGACAGCCCACTGAGATATCAATCCGCAGTTTAACATAAATACCCAACTCAGACACAGTATTCTGACTCCGAGCAGACCAGTCCTTCTTTTATCCCCTTAAAGCCGAGCACCAGGCAGGGAAACAACAGTACCAACTTTTAACGTCTTTTGGTATGACGCGGCCTGGGATCGCTCTCTGGGCGAACGCTCTACCACTAGACCACCTAGGTGGTCAATGGTGCAATGAGTGAGTGAGTGAATTGGGTTTAACGCCGCTTTTAACAGTATTCCAATCATATCATGCCGTGTCAGCTTAATGTAGGAGTAAAGCCTGAAGTGATGCAGGTCTCAGACGTTTACCATTTCGGTGAAACCCACGAGCACGGGTATGGTGCTGACAAACCTAGAAACATAATCATGTACTTATATACCGCAGGTATAGTCATTGGTGAATCCAGTTTTTCTTTCCTTTGTCTTTGAGGCTGCCTCTTTAGTGTTCTTAACTCTTCAAATTTTGCTCTGAAGTCTGTAATAGCTGTGTGTGCCCTTGACATGCACTTTCTCCTTCTTGTACCAGCTCTTTGGTTGTTTTAAAAATCAAATTCAGTGAGCACTGGTCCGGCAACAGCTGCTGTTGAACTCCTGAATACCAGATTCACAAGGGTAGACTATATCTGTACTTTGGTTTCGTAATCGTAAGATTGCATGCTGGGTAATCCAATAGGACGCATGTGCTTTGAACCGCTTCCTGTGATTGGGATTGATTTGGAGGAAGACAGAGCAACAATAGATTCATTTGGACAGCGGGATAAGTCCAGGAAAACAATAAATGGTACGAAAATCAGGAGACAAACTATTTCGGTAATGTTAAGTTTGCTGACATTGTTTTCAACCCTTTTGGTGATATGTAGTGATGTCAAGCACAGCCAGCATCTGAGCGAGTCAACAGTCGACTCAACACAGAGCTCTCTATGTATCTATACAAAACTACCCCAACGACGGCGTTGTGAGTACTTTGAAGGCCACACAGGCTAGTGTACAGTCGCTGGGCAAGTGTATCCGATAGGGCTGGCTTAAAAGATAGATAATTGCTGTGAATGGGACGACATATTTACAACTTTCAATGTAGCAGTGCCATTTTGAAGGTACTTTGATGTCTTAATTTGGTTTCTTTGTACATATCTATTTTACAATTATTGGATGTAACATGGTGTTTAATATTTTATGGTTTAAAGGAAAAATAAGAATAAAAATAAAGTTTAAGTCATAAAATGGTTGTTAAAAATATTGAAGGTTGGCTGCAGTATTCTATTTTTTGTGGTTTAAAGCAAATGTTTGTTTGTTTGTTTGTTTGTTTGTTTGTTTGTTTGTTGTTTAACGCCGCACTCAGCAATATTCCAGCTTTATGACGGCGGTCTGTAAAATAATCGAGTCTGGACCAGACAATCCAGTGATTGACATCATGAGCATCGATCCACGCAATTGGGATCGATTACATGTATCAACCAAGTCAGCGAGCCTGACCACCCGATCCCGTTAGTCGGCTTTTATGACAAGCATAATCGCCTTTTACGGCAAGTATGGGTTGCTAAAGACCTATTGTACCCCGGAATCTTCACGGGTCTTTAAGCGAATGTCAATTATATTGACATTTGGCTATGTTTACCTATTATTTCATTTGAATTTCATTCATCTGAATGGTTATGAAGTCAGAGTTATGTAATGTATAATGTTTGATCAAGAGTATTGCCTCATTCTGGATCCAGGATGAAACTTGTTGATCACCTGACCCTAATTCTTAGCTTCTCATTGGCTAATTTCAAAAATAAGATAGTCCCCTTTGCAGCAATCTAACCACCTCACAATCACAGCACAGCATATGAGGCAACAACAAGGTGAAAACAGGATTAAACAGGTCGGTTAAATACTTAAACACTAAATAATGTTTACGTTTATTAGTTCTTTTATATGTTCATTAAATATGTTGTTTCTTAAACATTAATGTTATGTGGTAACTTGTTTAATATGATAATGTTGAAAAATGTATTTAAGTATCTAATGTTGGTCAACTAAGTCCAAGCTAAAGTTCATTTGGTAGTGGTAAAATTTGGTAAAATGTAATGTTTTGTATAGATTATTTATCAAAAAGCAAATTTGTGTTGTTAGAATGATTTTTGCATTATTTGACTGCTATATACATTGTTGTTTTATTTAGTTTTGCAGTCAATCCTATCCTTCTGAATATATCTCGACCATATCATGGAATAAATCGACGGTTGGATTGGAATTGTCGTTCCCTCTTATTTACAATATATATGAAATGGTTTTGTTTGAATTGAGTAAATGGAGACCATGATCATGAGTGATGGTGAATGCATTGTCACAATGTTGCATGATGGTGTTTGTGAATTACAGGCAAAACATGGTCATCGAGCGTGAGTCACCACGTTTAATTACATGGCTCAATTCCACAAATAGGTAAGGCTTATTATCATGTTTAAATATATTTTATCTTTATGTACACTTTTTGTGTAACCTTTGAGGGTTACCACATATTTATCTGAATGTACGTCATGTTACTTGTGGAATGATGTCTATGTTAGGTATATGTGTAATTGTAATTGTAATTGTCAGTATGTGGGCAAAACCTAGTATTTTGCGGGAGATTATCTCTGTTGGCGTGATAGCATATGTCATGACTGACTGATTGATACATTTGTATAACAATATACTTGTGTTGTAATTCCTAAACTCCTTTTTTATATGAGCTGCTTGTGATATTAATGTATAATTGATTTAATTTATGGCCGTTACCACACAGCTGTAATTGTTTCAGGGCCATTTCTGCATTTCTGAATTTTGACATTTCTGAATAAAACGATCACAACCCCACAGCGAGTCATGTTTCACCTTTGGCGACGACAGCAGCTGTAACTTCAGTATTGACTTGTATTTTTGTCGGTTCATTGAGGTATGAATCGAAAATCTAATGTGCAAACTGTATGAATCAGCATTTCATATCGCTAGCATTTTTCCAACTGTCTTCCCGTTCTCAGGGAACTAATGTTTGAATCTGGCGGTAACTGACCATGTCATTAGAAACGGCCGCT